CCCCCCCCCCCCCCCCCCCCCCCCCCCCCCCCCCGCCTTTTAACGGTCTGAGTCTATCCAGCCCACACAAACCCTCAGTTCATGAAACCATAAGCTGTCAACACGATACTATCAATCATAGAAATTCCTGGGAAAGCAAGACCATGGGTTCTCGACGACGTCATGTCCTCCTCACCGATTCCGAATCGGAGTTCTCCGAGTCGGATATCTCGATGATGGAGTATCCCGGCCGCAAAGTGAGCCATCGTCACCGCTCCGTCTCGCGGCACCGGCATTTCAGCCCGGAATACAGCAGCAGCAATGCCTACCTCAGTCCCGTGCTGCACAGCGATGCGCAGCAGCACCTGCACCGCTCGGCCTCGACGGGCGCCCGCCGCCGCTCCGACCGCGACCGCCACCACCGCGATCACAGCCAGCACCCGGTGGCCGTTATCGTCGACGTCAACAACCACAACGACACCAAGTCCGACAACAAAACGGACACCAAGACTGACGCCAAGACCGACTCCCGCAACAAGAGCGCCACCAAGCAACGCAAGGCCGAGCACCGCCTCCAAAACAACTACAACATGGACTATGACGAGTCCGAGGATGAGACCAACCTCCGCAGCCACCGCCGCCGCCCGCGCTCCAGCACCGCCAGCATCTCCCGCGAGGCCTCCCCGCGCGCCGGCCCCGCCCCGCAGATGATGCCCGGTCGCGACCGCGACTTCGAGCTCGTCATCGATCAGCGTCTGCTGGAGCGGAACGATGCCCGTCAGGACATGGAGCTGTTTCGTCAGCAACAGGAGATCGAGCGGCTGGAGCGCGAGTTGGCGCGCCACCGCGAAATCCGCCAGCACCAGCAGGAGTATCGACCGCACCAGGAGGTGCGCATGCTCAAGGAGGAGGAGGACTGGTACGAGGACGAGATCAGTGAGCGGCTGCGGCGTCTGGAGCGATTCGAGAAGAAGCAGCGTATGGAAGAGGAGCAGCGCGAGGTTGAGCATCGCTATAAACTGATCAAGTTCGAAGAGGCCCAGCGGCAGGCCGCCGAGCAGGAGGAGCTCAACCGCAAAATGCGCCAGAAGCGACTCGAGGACTTGCAGCGCAAGATCGACGAGGAGGAGGAGCGCGAGCGCATCAAGAAAGAGATCAAGGATGAGGAGGCCCGGCGGATCCTCGCCGAGCAGGAGCGGGCGCGCAAAGAGGCCGCCATGAAGCAGGCTGCCATCGAGGAATGGAAGCTGGCCGAGGAACGCCGGATGATGGCGGAGCGCGAGGAGAAGAGGCGCCGTGATCACGATTTCAATGAGCGGTTGCGACTCGAGTTCGGCCACGATGAGCGCGAGCTCGAGGAGATGCTCAGGAAGAAGGACAAGAAAGAGAAGAAGGAAGAAAAGGAGGAGAAGAAAGAGGAGGAGAAAAAGGAGAAAAAAGAGGAGAAGAAGGAGAAGGAAAAACTCCCGGAGCCTGAACCACCGCACCACCAGCGGGCCACCTGGATCAAGGTATGTCACCCAGCCCTCCCACACTTGAAAAATGACAATCGAGTTGACATGGCTCTAGGTTCACCGCAAACACCTTCTTCCTGACACCCTGATTGCCTATCGTCTGCCATGGGACTGGGACGACGTATGTCAACCCCTGCTTTTCCCCCAGCTCACAATCAAGAAGTACCGACTAACCCCAACCCACAGCTCGACAGCAACTACATTATCATCAAGCAGTGGATCTCTGAGGACTTCCAGGAAGAGCTCTTTGCCCACACGCGGCGGTTGCGCGAAGGCAAGCTTGTGACCCAAACATCCAGCACGCTGACCGAGCTCAAGGTCAACGACAGAAAGAAGAGTGACAAGATGTACCTTGTCCGGAAAAAGAACCCGGGCGGCCGGGCCTGGATTCTCACTTGATTCGAGCCAGGCCCCAACCGTCCTGATATAGAAGAACATGCCACCTTGAATTTATGATACCACGACACGACCTGCCTGCTTGACGTCCTTACGAGATTTGGTATCACCGGCCCTTCTCCTTATATTCTCGTGTTATTTCTTGTTTCCTATCAATCGTTTCGAGAAATCTCATTATCAAGTTTGTGACAGATGAGAGTTTTTGATGATTTTTTCCATTTACCATATCATGAGTTGGGATTCTGAATGCTTTTTTTGTTGTCATGCCAAAGGAGTTGTTAACATATGATACATTTGCATTTCCGACGCAGCCAGGAGAAACAATTCACCGAACAGCCTTTCCATCTATAAAATTCGTAACGAGGGGGAAAGAGATCCCCGAGAAAAGAGAGAGAAAGAGAGAGAGAGAGAGAGAGAGAGAGAGGTCAAAAATTGTAGGCAGCGCCTTCTACCCACGCTGCTGTATATAGTTCGTTGTTGTAAATAGTAAGATAGCCAGGATCAAGGGCGCGACGATGCCCCCTGCGCCGCCCACTGGACCTCAGCGCGAAGAATCAGCTCCTCATAAACGGTCCACGCGAGCGCAGAGCTCAGCGCCTTCCGCGTGATACGTAGCCCCAACCCGCCGAAGAGGCTCCGCACTCCGTCCTCGCGGACCATCAGCCGCGCGGCGCGCATCATATTCCCGTACCGACCCGGCATAAGCTGCAGACGCGTCTTGACGGCATCGAACGGATTCGTGATCGCTGTCGCCAGACCGGCGGCCAGCCCTCCGGACACGAAATTGATCGACGAGGAGGACGGCGACTTCACGACGGGGCCATTCGCATCTCCATTGTTCTGTGCTTGTGCATGTGGATGAGGAGCTGCCGTCGCCAACGCAGCGAGCCGCCGCTTCAACTGCTCGTAAAAGAGCACGTACAATCCCGCGTAGGGCGCATCCCGCGCCGCCGTCGCCCCGAACCCGCTGAACAGCCCGCGTACGCCCTCCGTGCGCACGATGTCGCGCCCCGCGCTGGCCAGGCTGCGGTACGCGTAGAAATCCGATTCGTACCGCACTTTCAGCACGGTCACGGGCATCATGACGAAGCCTGCGGCGACGCGGGCCGCTGCGCCGGTGGCGAGGTTGGCGGAGTTGGAGAGCTTGGGGAGGGCGGAGGAGGATGAGTTGTGCGAGGATGTGTTGCTGCTGCTACTGCTGCTGGTGGCGGTAGGGATGATGGGGGGACTCGCGAGGAGGAAGGGGATCTCGGTTTGCGCGAGGCCCTGGCGGAGGGAGTTGAGGGATGTGAAGTACAGGGCGGAGCCGAAGCCCGTCCGCAGCGCCGAGGGCAGGGTGCCGCGCCATAGGCCGCGGATCGGGTGCGGGGAGGAGAGAATCGCTTTGAGGGTCGGGAGGAGGGAGGCGGATTGGGATTGTTGGATGCGTGTCTTGAGGAGGTCGGCCGGTTGCAGGAGGATGGAGGAGGTGAGGCCGCTGCAGAGCCCGGCGGCGAAATGAAAGGTGGTTTTTGAGGCTGGTTGGTGAGGTGGGTCGTTAGTGAGGGTTTCTTGAGTATTAGAGGCTTGAAAGAGAGGTGAAGGGAGGAAGAGAGGGCTGAATTGGACGGCACTGTTATATGAGATGACTGGTAGACTCACGGCTGGAGGTCGTTTTCACCTGCGTCACGGCGTAGGAGGCATTGTCCGACATGTCTTGGTCGTCTTCCTCGGGGTCTGCCCTGGGAGACTGTTATGTGATTTAAGTACTTAGGAAGATGTATCGCGGGTGTCGGTTTTATTGAGAATTGAATGAATGGTTCAATGTGTGAATCGGTGAATAATCCGAGGGTTGCTAAACAAGCCGCATAGAAGCGGTCACATTTACGGTGATATAGGCTGTGGCATTTCAGTCGGGCGATAGATACTGTATAAAGAGAGAGAGCAGTCAATATAGGCGCTGAAATATAACGATAGGGCGAGAAAATTGCCTGGAGCAAGTCAGGTACTAAGTTCAGATGGCACCAAAGAAGGTGGGAAAATGAAGCAGAGCAAAGAAAGACGGTGTAGATGAGAATTGAGACTCGGACGGATATTTTGGACCCATCCGAACTTCCTGAAGCGGACACAAGCGGATCTTCTGTGGTGAGGTCATCATTTTTTTCCGGGGGATCCCGCGCAAGGGATCACAATGCAGCATGAGCTTATCAGGGAGTACATACAGGATACTAAGGATGTCACTGTATTACTAGTAGTTATGAGATGCGAGCTAGTGCAATAAGAGAAGAAGAACGGGTTGCACCGCTTCAGATAACCTTGTCTAAGAGGCTCACTCGATTCTACACCTATCTACGGAGCAACGAGCATCCAGCCACCAAAGCTTTTCTCTCGAGTCTAAAAACTTCGTATAATGGAATGACCCAACATGCCTTGAACACTACTATTGGCAACAAGCATATCTCGTGCGGGGAGAAGGGTTGAACGCAGAGGAATGCTGGTCTATGGCCAATCGGCCGGCAATGAAAGCAGGCTGACAGAGTCCGACTGGGCCGGGGGCGGATCACTGGGGGTCTCCGATCGACGTCAGAGAGGGATCGAATTGAAGATGGATGGAGAACTTTCCCAGGCAGCTCCATTTGTCAACCCCAGTCTTCACTAATCTTTCTCTATTCTGTTCTTTCCTTCGGCAGAAGTCTCATAACTGTCATGCTTCTCTGCCTATAGCCCCAGTCTCCTTCCCCTCATCGTCGTATTCGAGAGCTTATCACCGCCCCTCTGCTCTGCGGAGATCTTCCTCCCTCCGTTCATCATGTCTCGATGGGCTTTCCTTCCGAACATTCCGTATCCGCCCTCCAGGTCGGGATACTGGAGCCCGGTCACCTCCACCTTGAACTGGTGTGAAGAGGTCTGCTTGTCTTTACATTCCTGTCGCAATTTCGATGTCAAGGTTCTATGCTAACATGTCTCTTGCCTAGGACTACTATGCCACGATTTACTCCGCCGAGATCGTCAACACCCTGACAAACCTGCTGTTCATGTGGCTTGGGATCAAGGGTATTCGCAGCTGTCGCCGCAATGGACATGACCGAATCTTCGAAGTCGCATACTACGGCTACCTTGTGGTCGGAACAGGCAGCTTCCTCTTCCATGCCACTCTGAAATGCAAGTAAATCCCCCCGCAGCCTCCATACACCCAGAGTACTGACCGGGTTTCTTCGGCTCAGATCCCATGCAACTGGTGGATGAGCTGTCCATGATCTACACCACATGTCTGATGTGCTATGCCTCGTTTTCCTACTCCCGACCCGCGCCCTTTCGCCTCTTCCTGGCCTTCTTTCTGGCCGGCCTGGCCATTTTCATCACCCTCTACTACCACTACCTGCAAGACCCCGTCTTCCACCAGAACGCCTACGCTCTTCTCACCACGGTGGTCGTCCTTCGCAGCATGTACACCATGGAGGTGACGCTGCGCCCGAAGTGGCGCCACTCCACCGAGGCGGACCGGCTCGCGCGCGCCCGACAGGGTCTGCCCGTCCCCAGCAAGGAGCACCAGCACTACGAGAATGTCCGGGATATGAAGACCCTCAAGACCATGTGGTTCATGGTGATTTACGGTCTCACCATGTTCTTGGGCGGATTCGGCATCTGGGGCCTGGACAATGTCTTCTGTTACAAGATCCGCGGATGGCGCCGGGAAGTGGGTCTGCCTTGGGGGATCCTTCTTGAGGGCCATGGATGGTGGTATGTTCTCTTTTGGTGTCATGTGAGAGACCGCAAATCAGCAGCAATACTGACTTAGTCGTCTTAGGCACTTGATGACGGGATTTGGCGCTTACCTGTATATCATCTGGGGGATTTGGCTCCGTCATTGTCTGAATGGTCGCCAGGAGGAGTACCATCTGTGGTGGCCGCACGTTTGGAATTTCCCCGAGGTCCTTCGCACGGGCAAGAAGTGTGCCGGTGAGAATGGCGCGGTTAAGAAGTCCAACTAGATCCGTCATGCTCTCCTATTGATCCCTCTCTGTTTTAGATCAGCCGCTGGAGTGGTTGGGAATTAGGGTGCACTTCCTCGTGCTGTGTGCTCTTTCCGAAAGCATTGCGGGTTGGACACGCTCGAGAAGTTATACTACTCATAGAAAATAAACAAGGTCCACTTGCATCACAAGACATCGGTCTATGTTCCCTATCCTCTCAAGCCTCGCTCAATACAAAGAGTTGCAGCGCAGTAGGCACGTCTAGCGCAAAGCATACAACCCAAGCCCTCACAGCTTCGACTCCTTGGCAGCCTTCTTCGGCCGCTCCGCCCTCGGCACATGCTCCTTCCACCTCGGATCGATCGTGACCTTCTCGATCTTGGATTTTTTGTGCCACTGTTCGCGGAAGGCCGCCTCCTCGGCCCGCCACCGCTGCAGCTCCGCACCTAACCACTCACTCGCCGCCTCCGCGCACTGCACCGGCGCCTCTTGGGCCAAGAGATGCCCGTAGTCTTTGAGATATACATCCTTTACACGGCCCGCCGCCATACCTCCGCTCCCGCCCAGCCCCGTCCCCGTCGCCTGCAACTTATCCTCCATCATACTAGGCAAACACATATCCGACTTCCCCGCGAAAATGTAGCACACACTCGGCCGGAGGTGCGGTAGCATCGCAAACACCCGCGCTGGCTCCGGGCGGTAGAACGGCCACGATCCGCGATGCGCCGGGTTGAGGTCCGGGTGCGTCGTCCGGTCCACGGGCACGTCTTTCCCTGGCGGTCCGTCGTAGTTGGGCCGCGAGAAGGTAAAGACTTCCTGGTGGAGGGTAGTTTTTAGGGTCACGGGGCGAGGGGCTTCGGTTTTGTCTCGCTGCGCATGGGGTTGATCAGGTAGCGGGTGGATTGCTGTGGGGAGGTCGCGGAGGCCGTGCTCGATCCACCGCGAGAGCACCCGCGGGTCCCATGCTTGGTAGAATGGGCTGCGCTTGAATCCCTCCGCGGCGGCTTCGCGGGAGGGCCACACTTCGCGGCGGTAGGTGGAGAGCTGCGTGGTTTTGGCGATGAGTTCGCGCTGGTGGTGCGCCATTTCGAGGTGGTCTAGCTGGGTGGATTCGCGTTGGATGACGGGGTCGAGGAGGACGAGAGTGTGGATCAGGCGTGGGTGCATAAGGCATAGTTGAGTCCTTGGTTTTTGGGTTAGTAAGAGGCACAGGAGTGCGGTACTGGTTGGGCTTGGGGTTCTTACAGGTGTGCGCCTCCCATGCTGTGGCCTATGCCGACGATGGGTCGGGGCATCTCCTTGCGCTTGACATTGAGAAGGTGCAGAAGATCTCTCGGGTGATCGAACCAGCTGGCTGTTTGCGATGCGCATGCAGTCAGTGAGTGATGGTGGCTGTAGTTATCGGGATGGGGAGATCGGATCACGTACGGTCATTTCCGAGCAGGTCTTCGTTCAGCACACTGCTCTGGCCCTGGTGCGCTACATCTGCCATCCAGATGCTCCGGATGCGAAAGCCGTTCGCTTTTGATCGCGCATAGATCTCCTCCCACAGAGGCTCGTATAGTTCCTGGCGGCTACATGTGAGCCTTCTTCTAGTATTTGCGGTGCCCTTGAGGCGCAGTCTAACCAGTGGTAGCTGATTCCGCACCTTCGTACCTTCGGGAAGCCATTGGCATGTGCAGCGAGAATTGTTACGTCCCCGGGCTGAGGGTTGGGATTGTCCAATGGGATATACTGTTTTATTGCAAGGTTGAGGACATCCTCCTGCTCGTAGGCCGTGGCCGCGGGATACTCGCGGATATGTTGACATTCGACCGTGTGCTCGACTATCCGAAAAGGACCGGAGGTCACTGGTGATGATGATGGGGTTGACATGGTGAATGTCGGTCGCTATGAAGATCTATGCAGGGACATCCGTACGGCGGGGCTATACATATATACCGGTCTAATCAGTGCCTCGGAGCGTGGAGAAGGGAGGCTATTTCCCCAGAACGGAGTGATGAACTGCCGGGGAGGAAGCATGAGCCGAGGTTGTCTGGCTTGCATCTTATAGATTAGTTCATATATGATTACAGAATGAGATCTTCGTCACATCACCAGGCAAGATGGCCGAGTTGGTCTAAGGCGTCAGGTTAAGGTTACCTTAGCATGCAGCTTCACAGCTTCCTGATCATCGTAAGATGGCGTGGGTTCGAATCCCACTCTTGTCACATCTTTTTGTATCTTTGCACCTTCCCAGGTCACTGACATACTACATGTGTAGTCCAAGTGTGCGTGCTTTTTTGGTCCTTCCGATGTCTTAATGATGGATTGGCAAATTCGTTCTGATGTGCCCCAAAGTGGTTGGCATGTTTATTGGGTCGGATTCACCAACAAAGAGCAGTATACGTATCGGGAAAGAGTTAGATATACGGCGGGCCTGCCGACTCGTAGTCCAAGCAGGACCTTTGTCCCTCGTAACCCTTAGAATCACGATCGCCTTGGCTATGTTGCTCAGTAACGTGTTCATCCGCTAGCGTATGTAGCTGGTCAAACGTGGAAATTCACAGCTGCGATCCGGTCATCCAGCTGTGTTACGAGAAAGCTGTGGGACCTTGGACTTAGAAGTATATCTGTGTCTACAGCTTCACAATGCACCCACTATTTCAAGCCATTAAAGATTACTACACACGCACATGGTAGTTACCATAAATATTGACGGTGGACACATGCTTCGCCATCATCGACGATTCCGTGATACACCTTATCTACACGTGACGTGGTGTCGTGCGGCGCGTCGGCGCGTCGCATTGCAGAACCACGAGTTTCAGCTGCCACTCCAATCTTCTCAGCACATACATCATTCCAAATATCCGTCGCCCGAATCCACGGTCGCTTCACCTTAAATTAAAGAATACATACAGACAAGAGTCCCAGCTCCCACCATGGGGGATCCAGGTGCGGAGATTCAACTCTTCAACCAATGCAAGATCTGTATCATATGCTCCAAAGATCTCCCTGCCGATACGGCGCATCAAGTCTGTCGCCACCCTTACCTGTGCGCTTACATCCACCGAAAGACACCATTGCTGACCCTTGGTCGTTTATAGTACGCGTTCACCTTCGAGCAACATGGCGGAGAGACCGTTATATACGAGTCACCCGCCGAGTTCCCTCCTCTCACCGAATTCACACATCTCATGAGCTGCACCATCGACTTCCCCGCATTTGACGCCGCCAATGACGCCCTCATCCCTATAGTCAAGCCCAGCTGGCTTCAGGCATGCCTCCAGAAGAGAAAGCTGGCAAACCCACGCCAATATAGCCCAGATCCCAGACTGTTTCTGAACGACGTGGTGGTGACATGCGGTGACATCCCGGAGGGCGACAAGGAGGCGATCATTGGCGGAGTCCTCGCCAAGGGCGGACTGTATAGCCCCAGAGTTTCTCAGCCGGTCACCCACTTGGTTGACCTGACTGCCGACTCGGACAAGGCTCGCCTGGTGATCGCGAAGAGACTGAAGATCAAGATTGTCTTGCCCCACTGGTGAGGTGACCCAAAGTAAAGTACATCGTAACAGGTCTAACGAATATACTTGTAGGTTCGATGACTGCCTCAAACTAGGACGACGAATCGACGAGCGCCCCTACCTTCTCCCCGACCCCGAGATCTTGCGTGCGGCACCTGACGCTCCCATACGCTCTGCAGAAAACCGAGATATTATCGGTGCATCGACGCCCGACCCTGCCAACCTCCCAGCGGCAGTGCAGTCTCTGACAGTCTTTGAAGGGAAGAATATTATGCTTGCTCCGGACCTTGCAATCGGATCTCGTCTGTCCGGCTCCATTGAAGATATTATCAAGGACGGTGGGGGCTTTGTTGTCTCTGACATATCGACCGCAGATATTCTGATCTGCCGCTATAGAGAGGGGTTTGCCTATCGCATGGCCTTTCAATTGAACAAAGACATTGGCAACCTATCCTGGCTCTACCACCTGATGACATACAACACCTGGACCTCTCCTCTACGGCGACTGCTACACTACCCTGTTTCACGCAAAGGTATCCCAGGATTCCATGGGTTTAAGATCAGCCTTTCGAACTATGTTGGCGAAGCCAGGAGCTACCTAGAGCACCTGATCACGGCCACGGGTGCTGAATGTACGAAGACCCTCAAGCAAGAAAACACACACCTGGTGACGGCCCACGGACACAGTGAGAAATGCGCCGCGGCGAAGGAATGGGGCCTACAAGTCGTCAACCACCTGTGGCTGGAGGAGAGTTATGCGAAGTGGAAGCTACAACCAGTCTCCGATCCCCGTTACACGCACTTTCCCAAGAGAACTAATCTGGGGGAGGTTGTGGGCCAGACTCGACTGGACAAAGCCGTGCTTGAGAACCAGCTATTCCTCGAGAACAACAACGCAGCACAGGCACCAGCAAGCCTGCGACCAGTGATGCAGAACAAGGACCAGAACACTATGACTTCTTCCAAGACGGCGAAACATGTTCAACAGTCCTCTGCAAAGGCTACCGAGTCCGAAAGTGAAGTTCCGCGCATGTCGGGCGTTACCCCACGGGCTGCGGATAAGTCACGCAAGATCATGGAGCCTCCTCCGTTGCAGACGCCTGCTCGGACTCGACTCACATCCGAAGGGAAAGAGAATGACACGCCGTCAAGCACCAGCAGTCGCAAGTCAAAGGAGGTTGCTGCTGCTCGACTCCATGAGCTTGCACCGGACATGGCGCTGTATGAAAAGGAGAAGAGGCGTGTTGGGGGCGTGATCCACGGTGGTCGAAGAGTGTCAGACGAGGATCGCGTGGTCCTCAACCCCAGCAAGAAGCGTGTGTCTATGGAGCCTCAGGAGGAAAGTGATGATGGCGAGACGGTAGATACGAAGAGGCACAAGAAGTCTAAACCTCCAGTCGCAATGCACCTATTGATCACTGGGTATCAGAAATGGGTTAAGAACCCGAAGACTGAAGATTCTGACAAGGTATGTTTGTTTTTTGATCAATTGGAACTTCAGCTCTGACCATACATAGCGGCAATTACGTGATCTTGGAATCTTAGTCGTCCAAGACGCAAAAAAATGCTCTCATCTTGCCGCCCCATCTATCCTGAGGACACCCAAGTTCGTCAACGCACTGGCCTACGGTCCCGTCATCATGAACATCGAGTTCATCACGCAGTGTCTCAAGCAGAACGCCCTCCTCGACCCCGCGGATTACGCCCTTCAAGACAATGCTTCTGAGGAGAAGTACGGATTCAAGCTTGAAGATGCAAGGGCCAACGCCAAAGCGAACAAGAACAAGCTATTGCATGGGTATCAGATCTACTGTGTAGAGACAATCCGCGGTGGATTTGATGCATTCAAGTCCATTGTGGATGCCAATGGTGGACAATGCACTCTTTTCCGCGGTCGGGTCTCATACCGATCACAAAGAGAAGAGAATGAAGACAGCTCGGGTGAGGATGTTCCCCGCCGCAAAGAGGTTTATCTTCTGAGTAGCACGGAGTCAGACCAAGTTAAAATATGGCCTCGCTTCCGAAGCATGGTTGTGAGTACCGGCAAAACGCCACGGATTGTTCGCGTGGAGTGGCTTCTGGATATGGCCATGTCTCAGAAGCTCCATGCGGTGGAAGAGTACGAGCTGAGTGAAGAAATGGTCGAGATTTCGCGACAGTAAGTAGGTCGGGATCTGTATGGTGTTAGGAGTGCTGCGTCTAAGCGTCTTTGTTGGTTTGAAAGAAGCGATGAGAATCACCCTCCAGGTCGCTCACCTGGGACCTTTGTAGATGACTTACATTTTGCATGAAAATAGCTTGTTGTACCTACAATCGATTTGTCCGGATATTCGGGACAGAGGAGAGGACATGTTCAGAAGAATTTGACACCTTCTTGGCCGTCACCGCCGAATACCTGTGCCTTGCCTCGTTTTACAAGAACATTGAGACACTTGAGCATCACGTCCGTATCCATACCATGCCATTCTAGACGGTCAGTCTTTCCCCATACGACTAAAATGTGCGCAACATACCTTGTGACATTGTCCCCTCACCCTCTACCAGCTCATACACCGTCAGAACCACGTTCTTCTGCCCCGTATTCTCCACCTGCGTCACTGAAGTCAGCAAACATGCACTGCCCCAGCGTGTCCCACCAATTCCACCTACCCAGTCAGCCACGATTCCTGCCCATTCCTCAGGCCTCTTCCACCAGATGCGAGCCACGTTCTTGCTGCTCCCGTCCAGCCACTCCGCCCGCTGCCCCCCGCCGCCTTCCTCCTCCTCCTTGGTCATCCAATCCAGCACATCCCGCGCATCTTTCATGGACAGCCGTTTCCTCAGCGCCGCGTTGTAAAATAGAGGACTCTCAATGGCGTCGCTCAGCGTCAAGCGGTAGGTGCGGTGATGACGACACCAGGACTGGACCAGGGCGGACCATTTTTGCAACTGGGAGGTGCGCGTTGCGCTGTTGGGTTGCGGGGTGAAGAAGGGTGGGAAGGAGTAGGTGGAGGGGAATTGGAAGGGAGGTGCTGCTGCTGACATTGTCTCTGGGGTATGATGTCGCAGTAGAGGTAGTGGAGAGATCTGGAAAGTCACTGATATGACGAATTGTAAAGGGTTGAATGGTGGTTGTTTCTTCTGGAGTCGACTGACTGTCGACTGACTGATAACTAGCTGGTGACTTGGTTCACACGATATCGATAAGCAAAGGCGGGCGGCGACGGCAGCAGCCCCGCGACGGGGAGCTAAACTCAACTTCCCGCTCCGCTTTGAGAATTTTCCCGCTACGCTCCGTCACCGTTCGTTCTCTTCTTTCCCCTTGCACCATCTTGCAATTGGACTAAGTATCTTCCGAGATCATCGCCACGACCTTTGTACTAGACTTATATATTTCCTCAAGACCTGACGGCAACAACAAGCACAATGACTCCTCCGCCAGCCAAACGCCAGAAGCGCGATGAGTATCGCAAGCAGGCGACCGCTGCGAACCCCGAGGGCAGCAGCGAGACCGGCCTCCCCACTCGGGTCAAGCTGCCCAAGAAGAAGTTCTACCGTCAACGGGCGCACGCAAACCCCTTCTCGGATCATCAGTTGCAGTAGTATGTGTGGCCTGGCGGTCTGGCGGTCCCTGTTTTTTTTTGCAACCCACCAAGGAACTGGGTCGCTGATTATATTCTCTCTTCAACAGTCCCCTCAGCCCGGCGCACATGGACTGGGCCTCGCATTTTCCCGCATACGTGAACCCTGATCCGACGCAGACGAATCTGGCTGGCACCCGCAAGCTGTTGAAGGATGTGGAGATCGTGGATATTGGGTGTGGATTCGGTGGTTTGCTGGTTGGTCTTGCGCCATTGCTGCCGGAGACTTTGATGGTTGGTATGTATCACTGGCCTCATTGTCATTCTTGTTACGACCGATCTTCTTTGCGCTCACCTTCGTATGCTTGACTGCATCATGAGTAAGGGCTAATCCTGTAATGACACCAACAGGCATGGAAATCCGCGTCTCCGTCCTCGACTACCTGACCACCCGTATCCAAGCCCTCCGCGCCCAACAACAGCAACTTCAATCCAACCAGTCCTCCACCTCAACCTCCAACACGACTACCACAGACACTACTCAAGCTGCGACAGAAGCCCCCGAAGCCTCCGCGACAGCAGCAGAGGAGGCCTCGACCACCCCCTCAATGGAGACCGACACCCCCACTGAAACCCCCACCACCAACAACGATCCCAACACTGACAACACCACCGACACCACTACAATTGTCCCCGGCGGATACCAAAACATCACCGCGATCCGCAGCAATACCATGAAATTCTTCCCCAACTTCTTCGCCAAGCACCAACTCTCCAAGATCTTCATCTGCTTCCCGGACCCCCACTTTAAGGCCCGCAAGCACAAGGCCCGCATTGTCTCCGAGACCCTCAATGCCGAATACGCCTACGCCCTGCGGCCCGGCGGCCTGCTGTACACCATCACCGACGTCGAGGAGTACCACCACTGGGTGCTCCGGCATTTCCGCGAGGGCGAGGACGAGGAGTCCGTCCACGGCGCCGCCGGCTCCGTCAAGGAGCTGTTCGAGCGGCTGACCGACGAGGAGCTGGCCCAGGATCCCTGTGTGCGGGTCATGAGCGAGGAGACCGAGGAGTCGAAGAAGGTCACGCGCAACAAGGGGAATAAGTATGTCGCCGTTTTCCGGAGGAAGGAGGATCCAGTCTGGCCTGCCTAGGTTGTTCCGGTGGAGACATTGGACAGCGAGCGGTGGGTGAGTTGGGAGTTGATCCATTCTCTTCTTGTTCTTCTTCTTGGCAAGAGGCGGATTGGGTGTTAGATGGTTAGATAAAAAGTTTATATAGATGAATTGTATATGCTTGGTGGTTTGAGATTCAAGTTCGGCTACGGGTTTTGGTAAGACTGACCCTGTAGCTATCTGTAGTGAGAAGTTGCCAGGTCTTTGGTCTAGTCTGGAAACTGGACTGGCCCTTTCAAAGAGAATAAAGGTTGTAAGATTGGAATAAGACTTGAGGAGCTCGAAACAAAATGCGCAAAATCCAGATTCAAAGGAGCACGGCCGTCACACAAATATCAAATAACATCATTCTCACGCTCATACAGCATCCCGAACATACTGCGTGCTAAACTCCCGCTCACTGCTATGCAATCGACATGGTGGATTTATAGTTCGAGACGGCGACAATGTGAGCAACGATTATAGTCAAAAATGAGCAAGGTGGCGCTAGGCCCGGATAATCAGCAGTTGTGTCTCATTCAATGGACAGCACTGCGAGGTAGCTTATGGAGACCCCGGCTCCCATCCACCTCAGCAAAAGCAGAATGTAGCGCGTCTAGCGAGGAATCAAACCAGGATTCCCACGCTGGCTTGATTGCCAATATCTCAAGGAGACGCTTTCAGTCGAATGCCCTCGCATCGCTCACACACGGCGAGCTGGACCGGTCCTCCGATGATACGACCCTTGGCCGTGCGCTTGGGCTCGCCCTCGCGGACAAAGTACCGACCGTCCGGGCCGAACCCATCGCCGCACTCGTGACAGACGAAGCATTGATCATGCCACTGTCCCCCAATAGCAGAGATCACCACGTCGTCCAGGACAGGCTTTTTGCAGCCCAGGCAGCGAGGGGCGGTACGTCGGGAATGGCATTGCAAGCACCATGCAAAACCGTCCTTTTCCACGAATGGCTTCTCTGAGCTGAAGGGCTAGTTGACACGAAAGCTATGTTAGCACGTACAGGACTCAATAACGGGGAAAGGGGGTTTTCCATACATCACCACATTCAGCACAGAAGAAATGGCCGACATGCCACTCGGCTCCGCACGCCACAACCACTTCCCCCTCAATCGGAGTCTTACAGCTCTTACACCTTGGGCTGAACAACTCGTGGAAGTCAAGGTGGCAATAGAATCTCAATGCATGAGCCTCCTCGTCGTCGGCCGGTGATTCGGCTAGTCGCTCGGCTCTTTTCGCATCGGGCTCTTGGTAGAACGCCACGCATTCAAGAGCTGTTTGACAATGATGGCACACAAAACATTCCGGATGGAATCGGGTACCAGCAGCAGTCACGATCTTTCCAGCAATCGGGAGAGAACAGCTTTCGCATTTTGCCGTGGGAACCCCAGAGCGTGTATAAGCCGACAACCAACGACTGGGTGAGGCCGCGGCGATCTTGGGAAGGGGCCGTTTAGGGGCTGCGTCGCTCTTAAGCGGAGACGTTGATGGTTTGACGGCTATTGTAGAGCTTCGATGAGAATTGGAAATTTCGGAGAGGGTAGGCTCCTTATCATCCGGCAGATTAATGACCGGTACGGACGGTGCTTCGGACACTTCAATCGTGGGAGCTGGAGGTGGCGGTTGAGGCGCAGCGTCCCAGCCTTTGTCGCGTTTAGGAGGATCTGGTGCCTCGGTGGGTTTCCACTTGGGATCGAAGCTCACGATAGGTCGACCAGCACGATCGCTTACTGCGGTGGGCATTGGGAGCCTCGTGCTGCGGTCTCTGAGCTTCTTGCTCGTCGCGGCTCGAAGCTCTTCACTTCGGATTTCAAGGCCATCTTTCATCGGCACGGGCTGCTGTTCTGTCTCAGTTGCACGCGGCGCTTCTTGGGAGTGAGGCTCGTTCGTAGTATACTCAAGGTTCCTCATTTGACTTGGAGGATTCTTGTGGATCTCGAAGCGAGAGAGCTTATCAACGAAGGAGAGACTACCAAAGCGACCGGGTAAAGGGCGGGATCCGCGAGGAAGGGCATTCCGAGGTTTGCTCCTTAAAGCAGATGAGTCTGACCTAGAGAAAATCGAGCGAGCACCTTCATCCTTCTTGGGAGAAAGATGAGGCTCTTCGTAGATTTGGTCATTGGGATTTCTGAAGATGCCTTTCGAAGTTTCGTGTCTGGCATTTGCCTGGCCTAGCCCATGAGTATCGCTTGAGTTCACTGACGTCTCACCCTCTCGAGGGAGTGCAAAGTCGACTTTCATGCCCCTTCGCAGGCTTCCTCCCTTGGCCGGGCTTTGCGGCGGGCTTGTTCCTTCTTCCCATATTGGCTGCGTTTCTTTATCAAATGTGGACTTTCTATCGATTCCCCGGGAGCCGCTCGTCCCACTATTACTGACTGTCGACCCCTGGAAGACAAGTCGACGACTATCCCTGCGGGCCGTTGGGGAGCTAGGACCGCCATTTTGAGAAGCGAAGCCACTTCTTGGCGGACTTTGTTGAAGATCTTGCAGGTCGGGGTTATGATAAGGCGCATATGGATTCTTATACGGTAGGCCCGGATGTTGATGCATCCAGACCAGTTCAGTAGCCTCATCTTGAGCGGCGGCGTGCAGATCAAGTTCGTCATTGAGATCCATTCCCTGTAATGCATCACGCAACGACCGTGCCTCTTCTTTCTCTATGCGTCTTTGGGGATTTTGACGATATGTAGGTCGCGTGGGAATCTGTTCCACGCGAGAGAAGGCTCGCGCTGGAGATACAGTCTGCCTAATCGGAACAGTTCTCGGTTCCTGAACTAATGGGCGCCCGGTAGGACCTCCCAAAGAAGAGGCAGGTCTATGGTTAGACAGTGAGCTGGTGGCCCGGGGGAATCTGGCTTCCGTGGTGGGTGGACTAGACTGCATCCTCATGGAACCATAAGATGACATCGCAGATGCCGCTCGTGGAGGTAGGTCGTCATGGGGATTAGTAGGAGCTGCAGCAGATCTTGCAGGCAGCGGTCTGGATCCACCAGGACGTGTAGGACGATTAGTCCGCAGATCTTTCAAATAGGTCGCTGTGTATTGAAGGTTAGCCCGACGACGTCCCATTGACGTGATGATAGCCTGGATGATGCCAAAATGCTAGAGAACCGAGATAAGCCTTTACGCGGCAACGTAAACATACCAACTTGGTCATCGGACATATAAGTCGGTCCAGGAGGGGAGAACTTTCGTTGGCCATCCTTGGACTTTTGGAATTGAGGCCTATGCATCATACTGGCCATGGAGATTTCTGTTGTTGAGGAATCATAAACAACAGGAGAATATTTGGACGAGAGAAGGGGAGGAGTCCGATTGATGAGTTGGCTGCACCAGGCAAGAAGGGCTATGAAGTCAGTGTCTATTATAGCCGAACAGGGCCAATAAGAGGCGGAAAGGTGGCTGGGGCAAGTGGATCAAATGGCCAAGCTGGAATGAACTAGACAGATCCGATCAGCCCAAGTCGATAATGTTGCTTGTTTCAGGACGGTGTCAGAGGAATGGAGATTGCTGCAATGGATACTATTAGTTAGACTAGCTAGTGTGCATCGACGATCGAAGGAGGGGGGGAAACTTGCTCCCTTGTCAGTAGGAAGAATAGCAGCAGTGGCAGCAAGGGGAGGGAGGAGATATGAGGTACCGTGGAGATTAGACTGGCACGATAACCAGATAGTCGGGAATTTTTCCTCAGGCACCTCAGCCTCACCCAAGCTGAGCCCAGCTGAGCTCTGACCATCAATGATGATGATGATGATGATGATGATGATGATGGTGATGATGATTATTGATCCATCATCACCCGGGACAACCAGGTACGGTACTGTTACCGGTCGGGCCCACCAGTTACTGTAAGGCAGCGGTCAGGCATTGAAACAAACACGTCAAACACACCAAGCAAATGCAATCGGAGCGGATTGAAGGCCAGCTTTGTAAGGCCATACGAGGTAGAAAGAGGGCATTGAGAATAGTTTATCCTCTGCTGCTTGCGGATTCTTCCTACTGTCATGCAGCCGCACGTGGCGTTCGAGGGAATATCATCAACAACAATCCTGGATTGCGCAACTCTATACTCCGTACATCGATTTGCCCTTGGTTTGACCCAGCCGTCAACCCCGGATTTGCATTCCAATGGTGGGGATGATGGAGCTGCTGTCAGTCTGTCATCACTTCTCCCCGCAAATCATCTCACTGGCGCAATGCACCGAGGCTATGTACTCGTCTGTCCTCCTCCCCGGTACTCCGCACCGGGTCAATCGGCACAGCAGGACCCTTTTCACTGAGCCCAGATGCTGTCCCCATGCCTGCCAATGGTTCTTGACCCAATAATGTTTCTGTTCGAGTCGGACAGCTCGCCGACTATCTCGCCTTCCACACTTTTTGACTAGTTGGAATTGAGCCCAATCTTGTTAGTAGTTAGGTGAATGAATCAATGACACATCGTTCGCTTCAGACTCTGCCTTTGCTTGAGCCTTTGCTTTGGCTCAAATCTCTTGCACCCTTGGAGATGCGCTTATTCTCCTCTTCCTAGCCTTCTGTTTGCACTCTTCTCCTTTGCTCAGGGCGGGGGTTGATTCGCATCCGGAATAAGCCTGCATTTGCCTTCTTGTTTAAGGATCTGATTTAAAGGTCAACCGGACGAGATCTAGTCCCATGCTTCTTGCTTCTCAACTCTATTCTTGCTGGCTAGATGTGATTGATCATGACAGACAATCCTCCCGTTGACATGATCCATTCACGAGAACATGATGGTGGTCCGAACCTAGAACTTCCCTCTGACCTTGATCAACCACCACAGTCGGCTCCGCTAGACGCAGAGTCGAAGTATGAGCAAGACGTTCCCCCTGATGGAGGATACGGCTGGGTCTGTGTCGCTTGTGTGTTCTGGATCAATGCTCACACCTGGGGAATAAACAGCGTCAGTAGTCATTACTGGCAAGATAGCGTGAAGGAACCTCCGATGGCTAACCACTTGGCACAGAGTTACGGCGTGTTTCTCTCCTACTACCTCTCTCACGACGTATTTCCCAACACCTCCGACCTCTCCTACGCCTTCACTGGAGGCTTAAGTATCTCGTGTGCGCTCCTCGTGGCCCCGGTGGCTACGTACCTCATCCATGTCTTCGGCACCCGATTCACCCTCAATCTGGGCGTCTTCTTCGAAACGCTCTCGCTCATCGGCTCCTCATTTGCAACACAACGATGGCACATCTTCCTCAGCCAAGGTGTCTGCTTCGGCTGGGGCATGGGTTTCCTTTTCGTCGGGACCGTCGGGATTATCCCGCAGTGGTTCTCGCGGCGCCGCAGCCTCGCGATGGGAATCAATGCCGCCGGCTCCGGTCTCGGAGGACTCATGTACTCTCTCGCCGTCGGCGCCATCATTCCTCGCCTAGGCCTGGCCTGGGCCTTCCGCATACTCGGCATCATCGCCTGCGTTGTCAATCTGGTGTGCGCCAACCTCCTACGGGACCGGAATCAAGCTGTCGGCAGCCGCCACCAGCCCTTCGCGCTGCCGCTGCTCAAGCGGCCGGAATTTCTCCTGTTCCTCGGCTGGGGCGTTTTTAGTATGCTCGGCTACGTGGCTCTGCTCTTCAGCGTCGCCAACTTCGCCCTCTCCGTCGGTCTCACTTCCCACCAGGGCAGCGTGGTCAGCGCCCTTCTGAACCTCGGCCAGGGTCTCGGCCGCCCCTTCGTGGGCATGTTCAGCGACCGTCTGGGCCGCATCAACATCGCCACCTTCCTCACCTTCCTGTGCGGCCTCTTCTGCCTGGTCATCTGGACCTTCGCGCGCAGCATGGGCGTCGTCTGCTTCTTCGCCGTGCTCGTCGGCACCGTCGCCGGCACCTACTGGGCGACCGTCGCCCCCGTCGCGAGCGAAATCATCGGCCTCCGCGATCTTCCCAGCGGATTGAGCATCACCTGGTTAGTGCTGGTAGCCCCCTGCACCGTGTCGGAGCCGGTCGCCCTGCTGTTACGCGACAATCACGCCCGGGACGCGGTGTACCTGCGCGTCCAGATCTTCACTGGGTTTATGTACATCGGCGCGGCCTTGTGTCTCTGGGTAGTGCGGGGGTGGAAGATCGCGGAGTTGGCGCATGCCGCCGCTGCAGAGCACACGCCGGGTGGATCGTCTCCTGCGACGGGGGTAAAGGGTGCTGCGAAAGCATCCAAGATCGAGGATACCGCGGCGGGGCCGGAAGCCCAGCCAGCTCCCCACAGGGCACCGAAGTGGAGTCTATGGTCTTCCTTTAGTCTTCTGCGTCGGATGGTTTCGTTGCAAAGAGTATAGTCTATAGTTTTTTTCTAGGGATGAAGACAGAGAGGCCCATGTATCTCTAAAGATAGAATTTTATATTAACCACAATCAACACCCATACAGTAACGTACAGTCATCCTACGAAAGACACCTTTAGACGCCCAAGTTCCTTTCTTGAATTGTGCCAAGTCATAAATGGACGGAAACTAACACTTTTTGTTTTTTATCTTGTCTTCTCTTTGTGAAGTATATCCTCTAAGCGCCCAGAATCAAGATCCGGACTCTGCGCTTCCCAGCACCGCGACCACCTTCCTCCTTGACGGAGCTGACATTGACCTTGACCTTCTGGAACAGCTCAACCGTGACGCCTTGCTCTGCATCAGACTGGCCCTTGTCCGAGACGCGGAGGGTGTACTCCTCGCTGTCGAAGTCGCTCTGGCGGCGGACGACGAGCTCGCGGCGCTCGGCGACGGTGCGCAGGGCGGCGTCGCGGGGCAGGACAAAGTCCTCGAGGCGAACGACGCCCTCGATGCCGAAGCGGGGCACGAAGACGACGACGCCGTTCTCGAACACGCGCATCACGTAACCTTCCTCCTCAATGCCGCCGTCGACGCCGTCGGCGGCCATCTTCTCGCCGCGCGCCTTGAGCGCCTGGCCGACGTAGTACTCGATGCTGGCACGACCCGCGAATTGCGCGTTACGGTGCCGGTAGTTGATGTTGCGGCAGATGTCCTCCAGTCGGTTGCGCGTCATGACGCCCTCTACGACGGCGCGGCCGTCCTCGCCTTCGTAACCGATCGCTGACGCTAGTTGGCGGTGGACGAGCAGATCAGCGTAGCGGCGAATCGGGGATGTGAAGTGCGTGTAGATTGGCGAGGCGAGACCGTAGTGGCGGAACTCTGACTCCGCGTGGGCACCCGCGCAGAAGTACTCGGCCGAGGTCATGCAGCGCGTGGCCAGGATGCGGACCAAGGTGTTGAAGAAGGGGTTCTTCTCGTCGACGCACCGGTCAAGGGAGTCGGCCAGTGCCCGGGAGCTGGAGACGTCGAGTCTCATGTCTCGCTTCTTGACGAGCTGGTTGATAAGTTCTTCAAAGTTCTGCGGGGGAGGGGTGGCGTGGCGGCGGAGCATGGCGGTCTGGGAGAAGGTGCTGTAGATCTTGGTGGCGACAGTGATGTTGGCGTGAAGCATGAACTCTTCAACGAGGCTGTTTGTCTCGAGCATGGCCTTGGTCTTCACATCAGCAAGGGGATCGCCAACTTCGTCGTTGTCCGCCTCGATGCGGACTTCAGGAGAGGCGAGGTTCAGAGCACCTGCGTCCATACGCTTCTGTCGGAGGATCTTGGAGAAGCGCAGTAGGGTGCGCATGCTCTCGGTCAACTCGTCAGTTTGTTTCGGGTCGTCAATCCGCTTCTGAGCCTTCTCATAACTAAAGGCTTCGCGAGACCGGATAACAGACTTGGTGAAATCCGCGGAAACTACCTCCGCATTGGGGGTCATTTCCCACAAGACGGAGAAGGCATACCGCTCCACATACGGCTTGAGGGAGCAAAGGTCCGTACCGAGCAAGTGTGGCAACATGTCAATACGTTTGTCAACCAGATAGACTGTTGTTCCACGCTGCGAAGCCTCAAGGTCCATCGCGTTGTTAGGCTTGACGAAATGTGAGACATCGGCGATGTGAACACCGACTTCGAAGTTGCCATTGGGCAATGGTCGTGCATGCAGAGCGTCGTCAATATCCTGACAGCCAGGCGGATCGATACTGCAGATAAGGAGATCTCTGAGATCTCTCCGGCCCTTCCAGCCAATATCCTCTTTGTTTGCAGGGACTTTCCAATCATGGCCTTCTGCAGGAAGGCAGTCCAAAACAACCTTGGGGAAGGGCTTGTACTGAACATCATACTCAAGTAACAAAGCCTCCGTCTCAGCTCCCTTGGTTTCCAATTCTCCCAATGACCGGATGAAGTGTCCGGTAGGGTATCGTGAATCGCGATCCCAGGCGTCAATAGTAACCAAGATACGCTGGCCCATAAGATCAGCAGCTTGCCTAGTGCGAAGTCTGATCTTCGGCACACGTTTATCCATGGGCAGAACAAAGACATTTTGCTGTCGACGGCTTGAGCTGGTCTGCGAGCCTGCTGAACCTGAATCAACATGACCAACGTATTGGCGCCAGTTCCGCTTCATCACACCGACAACCTTGGCCGTCGGCTGTGGCCTGCCCTCAGAAGTCTTTCCGTGGGCTTTCTTGACCTCCTCCTGCAAAGCTCTCCGTTCTCTGTCGGTGACAACAGCCTCGTTGTCCTCGGCGTCCGGGTTGTCGTTCTTGGTTACAGCTTCCTCATCGACGAGCTTCGTCGACGGTGTTTTCCACTGGTCCTTAGGCAGCACCTCAATCACGACCACATCTCCAGAGATAGCTCGGTTACTGTTGTCGCGACCAAGGATCAGCAGGGGCTTGTCGAACGCCGGAACATTGACCGAGCCCTCCAAATAGTTGTATGGCGAGACGTTGAAAACACCCTGATGCAGTGTTCCCGCTCTGATTCCCGTCTGAAGTTTCGACATAGTATAATATTCCGGGTAGAAGAGCTCTCCGCGTGCGCCCTTTGCTTCTCTCGCCTCTCTCGATTCGTTAATCATGTCCAGCAATCTGTCGGAGTCGTCCAAGCCCGAAACGTAATCCGTCAAGGACAGCGCTGTGATACCCTCCTCCTTTGACTTCCGTAGATTTTCCTTGTCGTCGGTAATGACAACAATAGCCGGGATCGACCGCTCTTTCTTGCCCTTCTTGGCCGTGGACTGCAGATGTTCCTGGTACCACTTCGCCACAGCTCTCACGGCTCGGTCATTTCTGTCGTTGATCGACTCGTCGGGGCCACGCCGGATATGGGTCTCCAAGCGAAACTCGTTGAAGAAGAGATAGAAGCGCTTCTCGTCGGTCTTGATCAGTGCAAGCAAGCGGTTGTAGAGGGGAAGAGACTGGTTTCGCAGCTCCTCAAGGACGGTCTGTAGAATAACGACATCGTAGAAAGCCCCAGTATGTTCGAAGAGGTCCATTCCATTCAGCAGCGCATTCGTGTCGGGGACGAGGTAATGGCCGCGCGGGAAAGCTTTGGTGCCCGCGGGTTGTTCGGACAGGACGAACGGCGAAACTAAAGATTCGTCGCATTAGCCACTTTCACCATTAACGAAGGAGCCGGAGTCATCGGACTCACTATTTCCATTCGCATCTGCTGGCGCGACTGACGGGCAGACCGAGCAAAGCTTCGATGAGCACGGGATGTCCTGTCTTAGATAGAGCTCGCGGACGATCTTCTGCACCTTTCCACTTTTCGTGGACCGAACGAAGACTTTGCTGGTGACATTTTGAGCCTGTGGGTTCGAAGAGAGGTCCCTCCGTAAGCTCTTCATCTTGCCTGAATTGCGACTGCACCTAGAACAGCCCTGTGATTTATTTGCTGAAAGCCTGGCTGGTGGGCTGGGTGGTTGCTGTCGGGGAGGTTCGCCCATTTCTGACGATTTGAAGCGGGATGGCAATGGCGGCGCCCAAATCGGGAAAGTCTGCCGACGTGATTGCGGGCATCTACTGGCGGGTGCCGTATAAGAGGGCATACTTCACCATCATCCCACTTGAAACCTGCCATCATTTGGATTCGCCCACGGAGTAATCAAGTCTAGACCATCTGGGAAATATGGTTCTCGCAGTAGGCATTCGGTTTGACCTCTCATGTTATCCACCGCATCAAATCACTGATATACATGCCTCGATGCTATAGGCCGTGGGTCAATTATGTTCGACTGCGAGTCTGACAGCCAACCTGGCGCAATGCCAGACGCTGGTCCGAAAGGCAGCTGCAGCTGGTGCAAAAGTGAGGCCACTGATGCTGAGCCCAATAGTCATCATTAACCAAGCTACATCAGGCGCTGTTCCTTCCCGAAGCCTCAGATTATATTGGCTCATCGCCTGCTGAAACGATATCTCTTGCACGGAGCGTGCAAGATAGTGAATTTGTCCTAGGTCTACAGAAGGAAGCTAAACAAGCCAAGCTTCATATCAATGTTGGCATTCATGAACCAGCCTCGAATGGCAGGACGAAGAACACACTCATTTGGATCGATGACACCGGTGCCATAACACAGCGCTACCAGAAAGTTCATCTGTTCGACGTCGATATCAAAGGCGGGCCAGTATTAAAAGAAAGCGCGTGGGTTGACCCCTCCTGATACTAGCTGGCTATAGTTCACTGACCTTCATCTCCAGGAGTGTCGAAAAGGGCATGGAGATTCGGCCGCCTTTTGAAACGCCTATTGGGCGCGTGGGCCTGTCTATCTGTTTTGACGTAGGTCATGTATTGACAACGTCCAGCCATGTTCAGTCTAACTCATAGTTCTCCAAGCTGCGCTTTCCGGAGCTAAGTCTGGCTTTGAGACGACAAGACGCCCAGGTCATTGTTTACCCATCAGCCTTTACTGTCCCCACCGGTAGAGCACACTGGGAAACTCTCCTGAGGGCCAGAGCCATCGAAACACAGTCATATGTGGTAGCAGCTGCACAGGCAGGGCCACACAATGAGAAGCGGATAAGCTATGGCCACTCGATGATTGTGAATCCTTGGGGAGAGGTGGTAGCGAAACTCGGGGATGAATACGAGGAGCCGCAAATTGCTGTGGCTGACATCGACCTGGACCTGCTCGCCAAGGTTCGGAGAGAGATGCCCTTACTCAGACGTACAGACATATATCCGCAGGTATAGAGAATCCCAGAAACAGTTGAGATAGCCTTGCACCTGATTCCCAGTCATTTCGAGGTATGAACGTGATTGGTATATGAAAGATAATCGCACCCTCAATTGAACGGATTCTAGGGACAATTGCAAGAGTTTAGGTTGACCCAAAAGCCTTGTAGATTTTCTCTTCCGCTCCTAACCTCATAAAGCGACCCAATGAAAGGATATAAGATGACAAGATACACGCAGGTAACAGGAAAGAAAGAAAAGAAAAGCGAACAGTAAACTAGAAAACCCTGTCTAGGATCGGACCGGTAAGTGCCTGAAAACACGTGTAACCATTCAATCAAAACCGTCTTCCACGCCCGGCCAATCTATGTACAAAGTACAAGGGAGAACTCGAATTTGTGCGCTTCAGTTGCGCTGGGTCTTGTCAGGATCCTCAAGGATACCCTCGGCCTCCAGCCGCCGGCGAGCCTCTTCGAGAGCCCATGTTTGTATCCTAAGGAACGTGTCAGCGAAGACGAGCAAAGAACCCCACCCGGAAACTACGATGGAGCTCGGTAGGACAAGAAAGCGAGCGGAGAAGCTCAGAAGTGACGGGGGTTTGACGTACGAAGTGTCGGGCTTGAAAACATATGCGACACCAGTAACGAGCAGACTGCCAATGAATCCGTAGTACCACAGGTTCTCCCAGCCTTCCTTCTGATATTTCTGGCCGGGCTTTAGGCCAAAGAGGTATCCGGTCGGGGGGTCGTAGTGGTCACCGTGGTCGGCGGCACGAAGGTTGCTGCGGGTCGAGAAACCCTGAACATTCTGAGCCCGGAGGGTAGAGCAGCGGGCGCGCAGGCAGGACGACAATGGGCGAGCAGACATTGTGAGTGTGGCGTGTATCTGTTGAGGTTGGAGGAACCCCAAGCTGGACAATATGGGACAGGCGGTGGCGGGTGAAGATCCCTGTCTTAGGGCAACGAAGCAAGGGCTTATGGCACGAAACACCGAATCCAAACAATCCGGTCGACCAGCGATAGCAAGTGTCGAGTCAATTGAGCGACTTCGGGATTGGACTTCTTTCGTCGGAGCGGTAGGAGGAGCTTAGGTGGAGGGGTGACGAGACGGACGAGCGGTTGATGTTCAGAAGCCGCAAAAGGCCGATGACTTGCTGGGGTCACAGCCGCTAGTCCAAATTGGGCAAATTTCCCGGTCCGCCTTTCTGCCTGACATTCCAGGCAGTTAGCATGGGAAAAAGTCATACCTGAGGCAGGAGCACTCGACGCGCGACGCGTGTAGGACTAGCTAAGTAGATGGGCTTATCGCATCGCGCTGCATTGGAAGCTGCCCTTACCTTCAACCACCAAGTCATATTGCGTTCACATCGAATGCGACGTACTTCAATTCTGCCAATTCTGCCCAACAGATTACCATCGCTTGTCTAACGAATGTAGGCGTTATTACGGCTTCCGTTTCAGCGCTACCATCGCCATCAACTGCCCCTCCTCCGTTGCTGAAGATATCTTCCGTGATCGTTGATATAGCCTCGCTCCTACTATCAGCAACAGCAATCAACACCATGAACCGAGCTCCAGGAGCATACAAGATCTCTTCTCAATCTCGCTCTAAGCTTGACGCTTTTCGTTACAGCAAAGATACACAAAATCCAGAGAAGACCCCTCAAAAGCCCGCAACGAAAGGTCATGCCAACAAGGAGAATCAAACGTCATGGCTGAATGGTGTGGTGGAACAAAGGCAACCAGGATCGGATGGCAATTTACATACAATCAAAACAACCGAATCGAAGCCTGTCAGAGACTGTCCTCATACACCAGGAAATCGGATACCCCTCGCAGATCTGATTAGCAATGCTGAGGATGCCTTCAATAGCGCCCCGGGACAAGAGTTTACGCCCGAAGACTATGTCACTTGGCAACATGTTCCTCCGAGCTCAAACGCCGATTCAATGTCACAAACACCTGCAATGCACGGCAAGAAACGTCGGCACAGCTCGTCGCCAACTAGTTCCCCTCTGGCAGCAACCTCGAAAAGCAAGCGAAAAGGATCTTTGGACCCAAGAAACGATTCGCCTCTGAGTAGAACCCCTCAGCACGACCTTGCCACTGAACTATGGAATAACTATGTGGGCAAGTCCCTTGGCAATGGCACCAGCGAACTCCCTCAACCACGCTTTGCGCAATTGCTTTCATCTTCCCCACAAACCCCCGTATCAGCTCGAACAGGTCGAGGCTCGTCTGGGCTAAGACGTTCAAATAGCTGCAACGCTGAATGGCCTACTTCTAAGACGAAACGGAGAAGGGTGGATCACGAAAGGTTTGGTACGGGTCGCAGTATTTTCTCCAGGACAAGGAGTAATGTCGTCGATTCGGGCAACAAACGAGTTTCCAATCTCACTACACTCGTTGAGCAGATAGAGAAGACCTTGCAGAAGGTACCTGAAAGATCAATTGCGCCCGACTCGTCCCCAGTCCCAAAGAGGGGCAAGCCATCAAAGAGTAATCTGGCGTCTCCAGCAGAGGGCAGGAGCCCTTGCGGCTCTCCGAAGACAACCAAGAATGTGCTTTTTTCCCTTGAGACCGAGACTGTTCCGCAAAGAACAGAGCTTGGTGGCGACTTGTCTTCAGACTATGGAGACGACGACTTTGATGAGGATTTCCTTGAACTTGCGGAAGCCTCAATGGATCCCTTTGTGGAAGATAAGCCGCCGCGCAATCTTGCAGAGAACCCGGCCCCTGCAAGTCCGACGGCGGCGCTGCGAAATGGAGGAGCCCCCCTCCTCCATGAAGTAACGACTTGCGCTGCCACTGACACAACGAACCCAGATGTGGATGTGACCATGACAGATAACAAAGAATTTGACCTTGACGGTGACGAATTCGACGATGATTTTGATGACCTTTCCGACAATATAGAAGATCTTTTTGCCGAGTGTGATAAGATACCAAGCATGAAGTTAGCGAGGCCCATACCCAAAGGTCCAAGCGTGCCAGAACAGCCGCTGTCCGGCACTGGACCTCGGCGCTATTTTGCAGCGACAGCTGGATCAAACAACGAGACGGAAAAAGATTCCGAATTTTTCTCTGGTGGTGAATTCGACGATGGTAGCCTAGATATAAATGCTATCGAACAATCTATGAGGCAATCAGGAGTGGATGGATCGAACCATGTTTGTCTCTCCTAGTGAATCCATGCACGTTATAGATATGCTAAGTATCTGTTTCATAGAATATTAGAAGTCGACAAACTATCAAACGTTATTTGATCATTGATATCGCGGAGTCGGCGTATAAAACCCCAAAAGGACGCGTCCAACCAGAGCAGGTCAGCCTATTGCACGCCCTCAAAGCCCCCGCTACCGCCCCAGTCTTTTGACACTGTAATCAGGTTTTACTTGTACAAGATGAACGTGCCAAGGAGAGCAAGAAAGTGGTCATCCTTCGAGAGTCATGGTTCGATAGTCCATGTACCAAGGAATCGTATATTCACCTGATTGGAGAGTTTGATGCCACAGGTCAATGCATAGTTGATGATGCTGCTAATATGGTGATACTTCATCCGGATCATCTGGTATCAGCGACTATTGTGGCCGATTCAGTCACTTGTCAGCGCCGCGCTGTCCTTCAGGAACGTATCAAAAACACCACCGATGTAGGAAGAGCACAGGTTTTTGGCAACATATTCCACGAGCTGTTTCAAGAGGCTCTGAAGGTCAACCGTTGGGACACAGCCTCGCTGAGGCTGTTGGTGCAGGACGTGATCGTGAAGCGCATCGAGGATCTGTATCTGATCCGCATGACTGTAGCAGAGGCCATCGAGTATGTTATGAGCAGAGTGCCAGGCGTACAGGACTGGGCCGAACGCTTCCTCCAGCCGAAGCCAAGTGTGAGTCTATTTTCCTCAGCTGGAGTACAGGTCTAACTCACGAGAATAGGCGGACTCGATAGTCGAGGATCGGCACAACACCAAGCTCAGCTTGAGCATAAACAAGCTGCTTGAAGTTGAGGAGCATATTTGGTCCCCAATGTACGGACTCAAAGGCAATATCGACGCAACAGTTCAAATTGCCTGCTCAGAGCAAGGGCAAGACAAGACGCTTCTTGTACCTCTTGAGCTGAAAACGGGTAACAGAGACACTAACCAAGCCCATCGGGCTCAAACCGCTCTGTATACACTGCTTCTCTCTGATCGTTACGGTAGGCTTTTCCCGAGCTTTTGGCACAGCTGGATATGAGATTTATTGCTAACACTCTCCTAAAATTTAGATATTGAGTGCACATTCGGGCTACTATACTACCTTGAAACGTCGAAGATTTTCCGTATCCGTGGCGTTCGACATGAACTTCTCCAGATGATTCAGCAACGCAATCGTGTGGTCGGGTACATGCGTCAAAAGACACATTTACCTCCAATGGTGAAGAAAGCTGCGTTCTGCAAGAAGTGCTACTCGAAGACCGCTTGCTTTATCTACCACAAGCTTGCCGAAAATGGAGATGGAGAAACAAGTGGTCTTGGTGAAGACTTTGTCAAAGCTACTCAGCACTTAAACCCGCAACACCAGGAATTCTTTCGGAAATGGGATGAGTTATTGACTAAAGAGGAACAAAGCATGATTAGGTTCAAACGCGAGCTCTGGACTCTGCTGAGTAGTGAGCGTGAAGCTCTTGGCCGCTGCTTTGGCAACGTCGTGATCGATCCTGAATCTGTCTATGAGGACAAAGAAGGACCGAAGATAAATCGGTTTCGATATACTTTCCACAAGAAACACGCCGCTCCGGGTTTCTCTTTCACAGAGTCCCAGCTCAGCATTGGAGAGCCAATTGTGGTGTCTGACGAGAAAGGCCATTTTGCACTTGCAAATGGCTACGTCGTCCAGGTCAGCGCGAGACGCATCACCGTCACGGTCGACCGAAAGCTACACGGTAGAACGCGGATGAGAGGTTTCGATGCCAACCACAATCAGTCATTCAAGGGAATCATGGAGATACTTGATGACGACGTCTCTTCCCCACCGATTGATTCAGAAGAAGAGACTGTTTACCGCCTAGACAAGGACGAGTTCAGTAATGGCATGGCGATTGTCCGAACAAACCTTGTTTCCATGATGGAGAAGGACCTTTTCCAAGCTCAGCAACTGCGACGACTGATCATCGAGGGTGAAGCCCCTACATTCAAACCTGTGGCATCTGACTATACGCTTTCCAATGTAGACAAGGCGAAATTAAACGTCGACCAGAGACAAGCAATTGACAAGGTCATGAGTGCTCGAGACTACGCTTTGGTACTTGGAATGCCCGGCACGGGAAAGACCACGACCATTGCCCACATCATTCGTGCATTGGTTGCGCAAGGGAAGAGTGTGCTTCTCACCTCTTACACCCATACAGCTGTGGATAATATTCTACTAAAGATTCGAAACGACAACTTCCGCATTCTGCGGGTCGGCGCTCCTACGAAGGTGCACCCAGAAGTTCAACAGTTCGCCGACCTTGCGGCGATTCCGAAGAAAACTATTGAAGAGCTCAAGGCCTCATACGAAGAATCACAAGTGGTGGCAACGACTTGTCTTGGAGTCAGCCACAGCATCTTCAGTCAGAGAGTCTTTGATTACTGCATTGTGGACGAAGCATCCCAGATTACGCTTCCTGTATGTCTAGGTCCGATTCGAATGGCCAAAACGTTTATCCTTGTTGGTGATCACTATCAACTGCCGCCGTTGGTGCAAAACAAGGAGGCCCAAGAAGGTGGTCTTGATGTCAGCCTTTTTAAATTACTTTCCGATGCCCATCCAGAGTCTGTCGTCAACCTCGAGCATCAATACCGTATGTGCGAGGACATTATGCTTCTTTCTAACAACCTCATTTACTCCGGTCACCTCAAGTGCGGAACCCCAGAGGTCGCAGTACGCTCTCTGGAAATCCCCAATATTGACGGGATCAAGCAGCAGCATCAACCTAGTCAGTTTCCGCAGTCTCCGAATCAGAAGCAGGTTTGCTTAGGTACAAATCAAGGCCGGTGCTGGCTGCGGGACCTCGTCGACCCGTCTGCCAAAACGCGCCTCGTCAACACTGATACCCTCGCCGCGCCGGCTCTAGATGAAACCAACGGCTCACGTATCGTGAACCCGACCGAGGTCATAATATGTACCCAGCTCGTCAAGGCGCTCATCTCGTGTGGTATCTCAGCACGGAGCATCGGCGTTATCACGTTCTATCGCAGTCAACTGTCGCTTCTCAAACTCAACCTCAGCCACTACCTTCCAGAGCTCGAGATGCACACCGCCGACAAATTTCAGGGCCGTGACAAAGAGATCGTGATTCTAAGCTGCGTCCGCAGCAACGCAGACAACCATGTTGGTGACCTACTGCGGGATTGGCGCCGCGTCAACGTCGCCTTCACCCGAGCCCGCACCAAGCTGCTTGTGGTCGGCAGTAAAAGCACCCTGCGCGACGGCAACGAGCTCCTCGGGAAATACGTGAAGCTGGTTCAAGATCGTGGATGGATTTACGACCTGCCAAAGAATGCTCTTGACGATCATGTCTTTGAGTCTGACAGGATCACGGGCTCGACGCAAGCGTCGCCGTTGCATGGAAGAATCATTCCTAGCCCAATGAAGAAAAGCTCCCCCGTTTCTTCCGGCAAGAAGGTAGGCGGCCGTAAACCGCTGAGTCCGGTACAGACGCGACTCACTCCGCAGGGCTTGAGGAAAGCAGCGAAGAAGGGGGCGAAGCTGATGAGCGGGAACAAGGTCCTTGGAAATCGACCGGTGCTGCAGGATTTGGTCAATGACCTTGTCGGATGATATGTTTTGCTGGTGTTCTGGTTATATGTAGTATGCATTGGTTGAGTGATTTTGAGCGCTGGGGTTTGTTTGCTATGGATTATGGATTGGGGTTTGGTTTTCTATGGACAGCAACCACTGGAGCATTTCGTTCGATAGTTTTTTTGGTTACATTCATGTTTCAAGTCACGATATCATGTCTCGGTCAACACTGAACTTCGCTAGATGATAATACTATTTATTCTATACTATCAACAAATCTCCATCTTCTTCACCGAATGCCCAATCCTTCTAGAACGGGGTATAAGCCAACACTATTTTGCCTTTTCAAGAGGGGAATCTGAAGCAAGTCGTCACGCAAACCTCTTACACCACAACCGACGCCCCCACAAACTCCCAACTAACAAAGTGCCTGCCCGACCGCCTCGCCGCAACAATTGCCTCCTTGCCCACCGTCTCCTGTCCCGGGTCCCCTAACGGTACCGTCAACGCTGGCAGCACCAGAAGCGAATACCCGTCGCGAGCTTCAACGGCCTCCCTCGCCAGCGCATTCGCAGAGAGAGCAAACCAAGCCGACGACGCAGCGGAGCCACCAGCAGCCGTCTCGCGTCTACACATATTCAGGTTAGCTCACCCATCCGCTACACAAGAAGTTTTTGGGGGATCGGAGCAACCGCACAGTAAATGAACAACCAAGCCCACAATCCACTTGGCCGGGATCAAGCCGCGCCACCGCAGCGAGACGAGATCCGTGGCCTGCGCCTCGTCGGCATCGGGGACGCTGTATCGACTCAAGTAAGGATCTATGTCGTCCGTGGCGGTGACGCGCGGCGAGGAGAGGGACACCATGGCTAGCCAGTCGGAGATCTCGGTGCATTGGTCGCGCAGTTCTTCTTGATCAGTAATAGTCTTAGTAGTAGTAGTAGTAGCAGCAGCAGCGCCGGATGGGTTGAGGCCGGTCGGGGTGATTTTGAGGGTGTCGAGAGGCGGGACGAGGACCTGCGGGTGTTCGGTGAGGGTTGGTTCGCAGGGAAGAATTTGCGGGTTGTTGCCTTTGAGGGTTTGATCGGCTTGAAGATGTTAGTTCGTGGCTGGCTACTTGCATTTGTTCCTCTTTGCAAAGCGGAGGGTAGGGTGTTTACCATCGGCAATGCCATTCGTATCAGATGATAGATCGAAGAAGAGCCATGCTACGGATTGATTGAGGACGTTCTGGAAGGCCCATTCGATCCGTTTGAAGCCCTTCTTGCCGTGGAGCATGGAGGGTAAGCGGAGGTTGAGCTCAATAACTGTTTGAGCTGTTAGAATGTACTTCTCTGTGAAAGGAGTTAGAGGAGCCTGAGCACAACGCACCGTATCGTTCTTTGGCGTGCTTTCTACCGCCGCTGCGGATGGGCTTGCCGGTCAGACCGGTGCGCTCGTAAATTTCTCTGCTGAGCTCGAGTTTCAAGATGCCTGGGGTTCTGGTTAGTTGGGAATTCTCGGAGAGTACGCGTGGGTGCTTACCGTCGCGGAGAGTGAAGACACTATCTGAGCCTGACCGACCCTCTGAGATCATGAGGATGTTTCCTGGAAGGTGTCAGCGCGGCATGGCCATTGAATAATGGGGACGGGAGACAATTCACCTGTCTTGATGTAGGTGTTGAAGAACTCCGTCTCCAATAGAGACGACAGGGACATGAACACCCTCGCATAACGGAGTTTCTGTAGTCTGCTCTCGAGCGATGACTGAATGGTGCTGTAGGCCTCTTTGGGCAGAGTGACTTCGACCTTGGATGTCGTCAGCAATGAGAATGTTCTACTAGAATAGCACAGATACAAGGTAGCGCCCACCGTGTGAATGAACGGATGAGCCAGGATGGCTGAGAAGGGAGCCTTCTTGGTGGGTGGTTGCTTAGGATCGACAAATGGCGGCAGTTGGCCTAGACTTGTGAAGCACTTTTCGCGCCGCGAAGCATCATCTTCGAATTCATGCATGTTGTGAGCTATGTACACAGCGGTCTGGGACTGGCTCTCTTTGGTGCTTCGAATGTTCAATAATTAGTAGTTTTGTTGCGCTTGTCTTGGAAAAAGTTCGGATGTGGTACAGCCGGATTTTTATCGATCTCTTCAGCTTTACGGGGCTATAAGACCACGCACATGAAGGTTGTATGACGCTGGCGAGCCACAAGCCTGCAGTCAAACAATTGTAGAATGCTCTATTGCAGCTTCTGCGTACGACTACTTGAGAATAGATGTGTATTTTGTGAAGAGCAGGAATTCTAGAACCGGCGGGTCACCTGACCTGGTTCCGCCGTTGACCTGGCGTGTCTCGGACAGATGCGACTTGTATGTATAGTAGCATTGGCCAGGAAGACTCTCTTTTTAGACTCAACTTACTGGTAAATTGAGTCCGTACGAAATGGGTGTATTAATAAACAACAACATCAACAGCAGCCCCCCAGGACATCTACTTGAAATACGTCCATTGCCATACAAGCACCAGCAAGATCTGGCCAATCAGCGAGAGGCGGCCATTGAATGTACGGAGCTCCGCGTCGCCGCACTTTCGAGCTCAGCTCACTTTCAAGCTGTCCATCTTCTGTCGCAAGCTGCCCACCCAGTCTTTCAGATCCAAACCTCCCATTGCTTTCCTCCACTGCGTGTATAACTCTCCTCACTCATACCAACGACAGCCCCTCGGGGCTTCCCATCGGATTGGCTGCCCGCCTCAATCGCAAATCTCCCAGTGCCCGCACCGCAGCAGCACCACCACCACCAATCTGCGCAATGGCTCCCCCTCCTCCACGGCGGAATCTCCTCCCCAAAGACCGCTTTGCCTTCAACTTCGGAAGTCTCAAGACCCAAAGCTACCATGATCCCGTCGCGCGAGGCCCGGGATCACACACGTGCGTGCCGCCTTTCTGCTCTGGAAGCTAGCTAGCAAGCAGACCCAAAACCGGAGGAGGAAACTGACACGAGCAGTATCCGGACCATCGCCTGGAATCCGACCGGCCAATTGATCGCTACCGGGTCAGCGGACCGCACGCTCCGGATCTGGAACCCGGAGCGCTCGCAAGTGAAATACTCGACGGAGCTGCGCGGCCACACGGCGGGCATCGAGAAGGTGGTGTTCAACCCGACACGGGATTCGGAGCTGGCCAGCTGCTCAACAGACGGCACGGTACGGTTCTGGGATGTGCGGTCCAAGACGTGCGTGAGTCGATTGGACGTGGGCACGGAGGCGTTCACGCTGTCGTGGTCGGCGGATGGGAGTACCCTCATCGTGGGAAGGAAGGTTAGTCTGCCCCATCCCCAAAAGCCAGTCTACCAGACACCTACAACCACACCCACACACATACACACATACTAAAATAACGACCTCCTGATCAAAGGACGACACCCTCATCCCCATCTCCATCGAATCCCTCTCCACGCCCACGACACTCCCAACCGACCCCTCCCAAACAAACCCCCCTTCCTCCTCCTCCCAGCAATACATCTACCGCGCCCTCGACCCCCACCAACAACCCATTCAAACCAACGCCACGACCTTCTCGCACCACATCGCCAACCCCTCCGCGCCGGACCTGCACCTCTTCGCCACGACCGGTGAAGGCACCGTCAAGATCCTCTCGTACCCGAGCTTCTCCGTCCTGCACACCCTGCACGCGCACACCTCGGCCTGTCTGTCCATCGCCCTGGCGCCGACGGGCCGCTACCTCGCTGTCGGCGGTAGCGACGCGCTGATTTCGCTCTGGGACACGACGGACTGGATCTGCCGCCGCACCGTGTCGAGCAGCAACGGCGGCGCGGTCCGCGGCGTGAGCTGGTCCTTCGACGGGCGGTTCCTGGTGGGGGCTTGCGACGAGGTCGGGTGCGGCGGGAACGGGCTTGAGGTGTTCCATGCAGAGACGGGCGAGAGTGTGTACACTGTGCCAGTGGGTGGGAATGCGAACTCGGGGATTCCGGCTGTTGCGTGGCATCCTTCGCGGTATTGGTTGGCGTATTCGACGACTGCGGATGGGGTTGGTGGTGGTGGTGGCGGGGGTGGGGGGCATGGTGGGTTGAGGATTGTTGGGGCTGCGGGGGGGAATCTATAGGATACTATAAGGGTGGGGTGTGGTTGGTTCTTGTGGCAGGTAAAAGGTGTTATATGCATCTCCTCCGTTACGGTTTCTGTGTGATGGCTCTCTATCTCGTGGTTTGGCGTTTTTTTTCTTCTGCCCCTGAGGTAGGTGTTTCGAGGTGTAAATTTATCTATAGCTGGTTTTCTGGTTGCCTATTTGTTCTGGGTGAGTTCTTGATTCTCCTTTGCTTCGCATTTCCACTATCTCTGACTACTAGCTCAGTGGCGACTGTCACCTGTCTTAGCATTTACACTGCATGATTCGTTATGAAACTGTAGAGGCATTGGTTATGTGATTTGATGTTCTCATATCGGGTATGCTAGTACGTTACTAAGTCCAATGCTAACTCAGTATCCCCTGCTTCCTCCCACATCAATGTACAGTTCGTGAGTCTCGTGATTTCCCGCCCAGCGGCTCGAAATGATTATCATTCTTCCACATGTATATGTGCATGGATCTTATTCTCATGGCAGTATATTCGGATCAGCATACGCGTCCCAATTCGTCGTGGTCAGAAGCTGCGCCCACTGAGCCTCACTGAGACCGTCCAGGCCCCCGGACATGCTGTTGTCCAGAGGAACTCCATCCAGACCAGAAAATGCAAGGGCACTCGTATCCCACCGCGGAACTCCAGCGAAGACATCAGGATACCCCCCGCCAGGATCCAGCGGCATTGCTGGATTGGCGAACATGAGGTTTGCGGCCGAGTTGTTACAGGCCGCCGCAGCCGAGTCGAGGGAGCTGGCTGGTGTTGGGATGAAGTTGTTGGCGAATCCGGGCGGCTGCTGGGGACTCAACCGTGTGTACGAGGTGGCCGAGGACGAGTGAACATCGGGGGAGAGCGAGTCGGTGCGTAAATCCACACTGCTGCTACCGCCGCTGTAGTCCACTGCCACTGGAAGGCTAGTGTCGCGGTCCGGAGTGGACATTTCGTCCACGACGGTGGGCTGAGTGCGGTGTCTCTTGCGTCGATGTGCGTCGCTCATCGAGCGGTTGGACTGACGTACTTCAAGCCGGATTTGCTGCGCGACTGACGGTGATCGGGAACTGGAGCCACAGCTTCCTTGAGTTGTATCGACGGGTTCTGCGTCAGCATGGACTCGGGAATGGCCAAAGTTCAGCAAAGATGAGTCGCTTGAGTAGCGTCTCTCCGTAAAAGCCTAGAAAGGAATCAATCAGCATCTCAGCGAGGCTCCCGAGAAAGTAATGCCCTTACCGCATCTCTCTGCAGACCCGCCCTCATGAAGCATGCCTTCTTCGACTGATTGAAGTCGCCCAATACCGTGCCTGCGGTATCGAGATCAAGCTGGAAGATAAATGACTCCGCAAGGGGGTTTTTAGTCTTCAGCACGTGAAGCGCAGAAAAGACAAATTGTAAAGATGAGCGGGCTGCCGAGTCGTCTGGTCGGAATTTCAGATACTGTACAAAGACACGCGCAGCGACATAGACGCAGAATGGAGTGAGCACGCTCATCTTAAAATTGTCAGTGTAAGGTGGGCCGGGGTGACGTCTGACCAAGCTCACCTTGCTCGGATCTACATGGCTACTCAATCTCAATATGTTCGAGATTTGCTCCGCAGCCAGGATACATCTTCTCTTGCTTTCTGTGGCAATGGGGCCTGGCATCTTGTTCTTTTCGGCCTTGAAGATAGCCGCCTGGTGTAGACATATGGTAGCCGTGTGGATGGCCATATTGCAGAAGATAACGTTGGGGTCGGTGGTGGCAGCGGACAATCGCAGATGAGACGGCATGGTAAGGGAGAAGTGGAGTAATATATTATCATGAGACCTATGTCGCTGCCAGTAAACTCCATTAAGGTCGTGATCGTCACTTTGCGAATTGGGCCGATGAAGGTGAGCAAGATTCTTGCCAAAGATGCTGGCCATAAAGGCAACACCCCCAAAAGCAGAGAGGGTGGGCATGCCCTCTCCCGTGTGTGCAGCTTCGAGGGAAACTGAATCCTGAGGTTGATTCTGAACGAAAGAATCTTCGGAGGCAGGTAGATTGGTCAACACCTGTTGGAAAATGTCAGCCAGGCCTTTTCTTTCGTGCAGAGCATCTGACGCAACTCACATCCCTGTCATCGAATACGACAGGCCACCCGGTTCCAATGCTGGCGAAACGGTCGGCGCAATATGCCATCCAGAACACCCGCCGTCGTTCTTCCTTCTCACTCCAATCTTTTGCAGCGGACAAAGTCTGCTTCACGTCAATGCCTTCTCCATCAATTCGATTCAACCCCATCATTATAGCCAGCCTTGCGGCTTTCCCAGAACTCAACCACGCCCGAGGGAAAAACATCATCTTGAACTCGTAAGTACAGATGAGCACCCAGGCCTGACAGTGACCCAGAGACACTGCATGTTCACCCAATCCTTTTAATTCATCCGCTTCGGCGTATTTGCGGGCTCGCTCATAGAAGACAGAATGGAACCCAGAGTATTTGTCGCTGATGGAGGCCGCATGACTCCACATGATATATTGTAGGCATAGCGGGGGTCGGGTGCTGGGGCCAAGACTCATAGCCGCCAGTATTCTGGGGCGATGGAGTATCGGGATGCCGGGATGGATTTGCTTGAAGTATATATCGTTCCTGCCAAGGGTGAGAGGATGAACAGCAGCAGGAGATACTACGTTGCAGACATACAGCTCATCAATGATCTCTTGACTTGGAAGAGGCTCCTCCAGCCCAAGACTTATCATTTCCATGCTATAACCCGAGGGGGAGTGGGAAGGGCCAGCTTGCTGGAACGCGTGAGTGGCGAACGGGTCGGGAATCCGATCATGATGCTCTTGGAATTCGCTCGATTTAGTGATTAGAGAAAGGATCTCGGATGTATCAGTCAATGCGTTCGGCAGTGCACCGCTGAAGCCGCCCTCTTGGTCTGGTGGGGAATTCGCCTTCTGATTCTTCAGGAGGTTCTCAACTTGTGCTGCACGGAAAGTGGAAGGTTAGCATGTGAGGGGCAGCTCCGAGTCTATACACCAGCCAGGCGGCACAGGGTCTGTCCCCAGAAGTCAACGTACCCAATCGCGCTTCCAATTGTTTCACATAACCTCGTTTAGGCCCGCTTTTCTTGCGAACTTCGTCGAAAACGCATTCATGGCCGAGACGGGAGCAGGTGCCACAGCTCGGTCTCTTCCCGTCGCATCTCAGCTTTCGCCTCCGACAGAGCACGCAGGCGATGCGCTTCGGACGAGGCACATAGTGGCTGTCTGCATCGCTCTGTCCGGTGTCATGCGTAAGGGGATTCTGCTGCAAGTCGTGCGACGCCGAAGGGTGGTGAGATTCGGAGAGATGTGGAGGGCGGTTCAAATCTGTCATGGCCGGCGGCTGGAGGGTGTGCAAGAACAAGCAAGGAAAGGAATGACGCAGCAAAGAGAACAAACACAGCGGGACCGGTGGAGTTGACTGGCTCTCGTTTCGCAAAATCAATTAGGGAATGTAGTAAAGTTGGTTTGGCATCGACAAGAAATCAGTCAGTTTCCAGAGGTCAAACGTCGCTCGCTGTCAAGCGTGAAACTATCGCTAAGTCAGCAGGAGGCTTCTAGGCGCATCCTCAATTCGAAGTCGTTCCTGTTTAGTAACTTGGCCCGCCACCGAAGCCTGAATGCTGAGGATGCAATTTACACAGTAAATGGGGAACAAGAGTTGCAGCCAGGTGGAATATCGAAAACTTATCGATATTTGTGGCAAAAGAGATAGGTGGAGTGCCATTCAACTTAATTGATTGTTCTTCGCGCACGACTCGCGGAACAATAACGGCGTCCTTTAAGATGAAGCAAAGACCATGCCGCTCTCTTCCGTCTGCTTTCAACCCCCGCTCTTCTCACCGGCAAACAACATGCTGATTCTACGTTAATCAAGTACAATCAGAAAGCTGGATATAACATTTTAATCGTGGATTTCCAACCATGAAATAGTATACAGAAACAACGCCAGAGCAGATGAAGATGGTGGACATGAACCCCGGACGAGAAGCAGTGCAACAAGACTAGATATCTAGAGACCCTCGAGAGAAACCCAGGCCGGAGACGAAATAAAGTACATACAACCGAATGCAAATGAGATGCGGTTATGAGTGAGCAAGTCAGAGCAGTATGACTGTAGTCACTCCAGCACCTTTCCTATCGAGATGGAACGTGCTGATTGCCGCGGGAAAAGAGAGCGAAAGACGGAAGAAAGAAAGAGAAAATTGTACCTGAGGAGACGTCTAGCTGTATCCACGGCGACGTTTGCCCTGGTTGCGAACTCTGGGCACGACAACAGCCTTGTTGACCTTCCACTTAGGACGAGTCTTGTAACCCGATTTCGCCTGTGCACAAATGATTAGCCAGATGAACGATTTGCACTCTATTGAGATTGCTCGAGCGATACATACCGGCATACCCCAAGGACTCTTCGGATCCACATTACCCTTGGACTTACCACGTCCACCACCGTGAGGGTGCTCAGCAGCGTTCATGGCAAGACCACGGACAGTAGGCCGAATGTTCAACCAACGAGACCGACCAGCCTTACCGAGCTGCCTGTACTGGTAGTTGGGGTTGCTGGCAACACCGATAGTGGCACAACAATCCTTGTGGATAAGTCGAACTTCACCGCTTTGAAGGCGGATCGTGATATGTGAAGCAATACGTTCGCGCTTCTGCTGCTCACGCTGAGTCATGCGCTTAGGGGCCTCGTTTGATCCCTGCTCTAGCCTCAAGTTCTCTTCGTACCGAGCCTGTTCGTCACTACCCTTGGCAATGACGGTAGCATAGGTACCAGCGCTACGGCACAGCTGGCCACCCTTGCCGGGGCGTAGACCAACATTGAAGATCAATGTACCGATTGGAATCATGTGCAATGGCAGACAATTTCCTCTCCAGGCGGTTCTGGCGGCCAACACACCAGGATCCACGACACCTCCCATGCTCTTCCACAGTGCCTCCGGGATTCCGGACATGTAGCTCTCGACTACATCACCAGCTCTCATGCCATCGGCGGCAACGATATAACTAAGCTTCTTAGTCTCATTACTGCGGAGGAGAGCAATGTGAGCGGACCGGCCGGGGTCATGTTCGATGCGCTCGACCGTATGGGGACCTGGTGCGGCTCGCGCGAAATCGACCACACGGATGCGGCGCTTATGACCACCACCACGATGTCTAACCGTAACTCTTCCGGAATTGTTACGGCCACCCTTAGCTTGACCCCGTTTGGGAAAAGTCAACTTATGCACGGGACGCCCTTTCCAGAGGTGATCATTGATCGGTCTCCGCAAATGTCTGACACCGGGTGTGCGGGGTGTGTAGGTGCGCATTTGAATACCGGTAGGTTCACGGGCGGGCGGAGGAGCAAAGGTAGCATTGGGGTCGAACGACGAGACCGCAGACTCGCCAGCGGAGGGGTTTTCGGTTTCGGTCTCGCGGATGGTGGAGTATGCCCGGGATGACATCGCGGAGGACAGGCATCTGAAAGGCAGGCGCAAGCCCGTCAAGGCCATGCGGGTTTGCAACATGATGGCAAATAACCCCGATGAAGAGTTGAAAGAGAGACTGAATAGTCAATGGGTCGTGATCGGAGTTCAGGCGAGTGCCGCAATGCTATCTTGAATATAGCGGAAAGTCAAGTTAAAGATTAGTAGCTGGGCATGCTCTCAGATAATTGAATCAGGAGAATTTTGAGGTCTAGGATAGTTGAAGATGCAGACCAGGTCAACTGAGACCACCGAGACAACACCCCACTCAATTGCAAGTGTTGCGAGAACCCGGGGATGATAGCAGCACTTTTTCGTCCATCCGGAGCAAAAATGTCGATGGTTTGAACGGTGTGGCTTGTGTGGATGTCACCTGATGTGGATGGCTCACCGCCACACGTCAGAAGAGCCGACGTGACTAATCGTGGCTCATTCAGTCCACGTCACGGGATCGCGGTAAGGACGGGATGAGAACCTGGAAAGTCGCGACACGCAACGAATTGAGTTGGTTGCCGCAGTAATGGGCAGTGTTTGGCTCACGTTATGAGCGCGACGGGCGTCTGGGAGGCCAGCAGATTAAGGTGTCTGCATCATTCAATCAACAAACTCAGGCATCAACCATGGATGGATGACGCTCTCCACCTTTCATCACCACCACCACATCAAGTTATCCTGACCGTATCAGTAAGGTTAGTTACCATTCCTTACCGCAACCTCGCACAGGCCTTTTGCAGGCCATTTACGTCGGTCATACATCCATTTGACAACTTACATCGATACAATCATACATAGTATCCTACATATAACTACTATAACTAGTTAACTATTGCCAATCTTTAAAACCCCCCCCCTTTCTAGTTCGCTGAACCTCTCTTTCCTTCCCTTCCTCTCCCCCCCCCCCCCAAAAACCTGGTCCTTCATCTTCTCTTCTCCACTCCTACCTTGAACCACTTTTCTCGTTTCCCCCTCCTCTTCCATCGTACATAAACATAAACATAAATACTAAAACCTCCATCCATCCACATTGCAGACTCCAAAGCATTTCATCTCCAACTTTGCATCCAGTATTACATAGGTTGTACAGCTAATACATCATCTGCATTGCACGCGATCCAACTGGGTTGTGAAGAGTGGGGCTTTCTTTTCCCATCTTGGCCGCCCTTTTCCACGCTAAGAGTAGGGCCAAACATAGCCTTTGCCCTGTCACTCCTCCATCGACCACCTTTTCCCTACATCCTCTCGACTATCGACATCAACACTCGAAGGGGGCTCGACATCACCCACCCAAGTCGCCAATTTCTCGCCAAATTTCTCGTGTCATTGTCGACAAGCTACCCTCGGACTCGGTTTTTCTCGCGCTTCACCACCCGTGCGGCTCGAAATCGGCGCGAGACTTAACGTGACCGGGCTCGTCTCAGATCTTGTCAATAACGTCAACAGGGTCTTATATGCGACTATTCAGAGCTTGCATCTGCCGAATTCCTCTCAAATACCTGGCTTGGTAGCTTGCAGAGCCTTGCATCGAGCCTAATTTATTGCGGTTGGGCAAATAATAACGCGTGGTACGTACGGATCCGTTTCCCAGTCTCCAGGTATTTGAGCTCCACGGGGATAATCTCCCTCTGGAATGCTGACTAGACATTAACACTAACGGAGAGCTTGCAGTTGCTATACACACCTTCTCATTCTGTTCCATTCTGTTTAATCCTCCTTTTTACCCTGCTCCCTTCTCATCATAATGCCTCCGGTAAGGATCCTCTGACCAAGTGACGCGTCTGTTGTGTCTGCTGTCTACCAATCGGGCGGGACTGCACCCCGGCGTTGTGCCTCGCGTGCACAAAACTTTCTTGCTAATCTCCTCGCAGGCTAGAAGCCTCCGCACGAGAGGTGCCATGAATGAGAACGATGAGAACGGGCCGTCGACGCGCCTGACACGGGCCAAGGCTGCTGCCCTGTCGTCGGGTGACGCCCATACTGCCGCTGCCACCAAAAAGCCGACCCTACAGACGAAGAAGGCCGCCACAGCCACGACTACCGGGGCCACGAGACGACGTGCCGCTCTTGGTGATGTGAGCAATGTTGGCAAATCAGAGAATGGGGAAACCAAAGAGGCAAAGAAACCGACCGCGGCCAAAGCCCCATTGGCGCCCAAGAACAACCTGCCGTCCGGAGGCGTCCAGAAACCGACCAAGACCAATCCCGCCCGCACCAACCCTGGAGTCAAGAGCGATACCGCGAAGAAGCAGCCCGCAGAACCGAAGCGCCCTGGTAGTGGGTCTGGTGTTGGAGGAAGAGAGCCGAGAAGGAGCACGGTTCGCAACTTGCAGAAGAAAGAAGCGGTGCCAGAGGAACCACCCTTGAAGAAGGCCAATGTCGAGAAGAAGGAGAAGAAGCCTGCAACGGAACAGGTTGTCGATGAGAATGATCAGGCACCGATCGATCCCAAGGTGTTGGAAAAGCCCGAGGATGATTATGTGCTAGATTTGGACGCTGAGGACCTCGATGACCCTTTAATGGCTGCCGAGTATGTGGTTGAGATTTTCGATTATCTCGCAGAGCTGGAGGAAGAGACCTTGCCCAACCCAGATTATATCGACCATCAGCCCGACTTGGAATGGAAGATGCGTGGTATCCTGGTCGACTGGCTCATCGAAGTTCACACGCGTTTCCGCCTTCTCCCCGAAACCCTTTTCCTCGCCGTCAACATCATCGACCGTTTTCTGTCAGAGGAAGTCGTCGCCCTGGACCGTCTTCAGCTGGTCGGTGTCGCTGCTATGTTCATTGCTTCCAAGTATGAGGAAGTCTTGTCACCCCATGTTGCCAACTTCAGCCACATCGCCGACGAGACCTTTTCCGATAAGGAAATCTTGGATGCCGAACGTCACATCCTCGCCACGCTGGCGTACAATATGAGCTATCCCAACCCGATGAATTTCCTGCGCCGCATCTCGAAAGCAGACAACTACGACATTCAAACCCGCACTCTTGGAAAGTACCTTATGGAAATTAGCCTTTTGGATCACCGATTTATGGAGTACCGTCAGAGTCACATTGCCGCCGCCGCAATGTACCTGGCTCGTCTGATCCTGGCGCGAGGCCCTTGGGTAAGTCACGTTACACTTGTTTGATCACTCTTTAAGCTAAGAATCTTTTAGGACGCCACCCTGGCTCACTACGCCGGATACAGCGAGGAGGAGATCGACCCCGTCTTCCGCCTGATGATCGATTACCTTCACCGGCCCGTATCCCACGATGCGTTCTTCAAGAAATACGCTAGCAAGAAGTTTTTGAAGGGTGAGCATGCTGCGCCGGATCGATCATGTCCAACTGCTTACACATCTCTTAGCATCTATCCTCACCCGGCAATGGGCCAAGAAATACCACCACCTCTACATTAACAGCTCTCTCTCAGAGCCCTATCACGTCATTAAAGACAAGGAGTAGAGACCGCGTCTGGTGACGATACCCCGGCGTCCGGCAAAATGACCCAGAATAGGAGTTGGTTGATCCATATGATGGTATTTTATTTCTGATGGTACAGGGGTACTCTTGCATATGTTTACGACGGCATTTTCCTGTTTTCACTTGCGGATGTTTGCATTATCGCTTCACCGGTGTCTGGCGCTTTTTCCTCTGCCTAGTATTTGACTTATTACTTCGGCTGTTTTCTTGGTCGTGTCTGGGTTGTACTTGCTCTGATACCTAACTTAACTATTCTCCTCTGACCGTGGGTACAATGGGCATCGGACAGGCCAAGGTCGGAGAGTACTTCGAGAGTTATTCCACTTTCTATTTCATTTTGGTCTACTTTTGCTTACGGCGACTGTTAAATCTCGTCCTGCATGTCTGTCGGTTGTATGAACAAGACTTGGACAGATGAAGATGACGGTGTTGATCATGAAGTGCACATGTCTGATATGACTAGAGGTGAGGTTCCTGGGGAACAATAGTGGTAGTTGAAGTACGGGATTGTATTTGTGTTTTAGTGGATTGTCTGGCTTCGATAGCGAAATGCCATGCAGTTTGTGGCCAACATTTATGGTGTCGGTGAATGTTGCTGCGGTCATGTTCGGTCGTTGCAAGCCAGTCAAGTCGTAGAACCGAGGCTCCGAGGCGGAACTGACCCTTTCGGGTAGAGTACAATGGCCATTGTTCCTCCTTCCATTCTTCCGCACCCATGCAACCACCTCCTTCATAGTAGGAGAATTCTGTGAATGATCTGGAACCTACTCTTCTTGCCGATACTAAAGACCATTGAGTGGCTGATAAGCTTTGCTTAGTAGATACACTAGCAGCAGCAGCCCGAAGAACTGTATAATATATCTTACCTCACTTTGATCGTCCACCACACACCCACCTTACTGCCAGTACTGCACGAAGCCACTAAGTTAGCACTCTAGCGACGCAGCCCACTTAACGAAGGCAGGCTCAAGACCAACTATGCTTCCAGCTCCACCCACACATTCAGCTGGCAGGGAGTGCCCCTTCTGCACCATCGCCCACACATACCCGCCTCTCCCACTCACCACGTTCCTCCGCCAACAACCAGATCCCAAGAATGATGGCGTGAATGCCCCAGCGACAGCGACAGGGACAGCCCATCTTCTCCTCTCCACCCCCTCCCTCCTCGCGTTCCTGGATATCATGCCCCTAACTCGAGGACACATCCTCCTCGCCACGCGGGAGCACTATGAGAAGTTGAGTGATGTGCCTGTTACCGTTGGGAAGCAGGTTAGTTCTTTTCTCTGTCCTTTCCAGCAGTGGAGGGTTGAGTAACCGTAGCCGTTCGATTCTGTCTGCTATACTACTTTTATGCCCCTCCGTCGTGGTGATGATGATGACGATGATAATGATATGGTATTTTCATATCAGAATACCAACTAACGAATCGCAAACTGTAAAAGATCGGTCAATGGCTTCCCCTCCTTTCACGGGTGGTGATGCGCACGCTCTTCGGAGTATCTGATTCTCTGGATGCTACTACTGCGGAGTGGAATTGGAATGTGGTGCAGAATAATGGTTAGTTTCACTGTCTCTCTCGCTTGCTTCTGCTTGGGTCTGTCTTTCTCGTGGTTTTGTTTACTTGAGGTATGAGCTCAGGGGACTCAATTCCTCCTCTCCCGTGTTGTTCTCTGTTTCCTGGGAAGAAAGGGGGAGGAGGGGGGTTACGATGCTTTCAATGGAACAATCAGGCTAAGTGTGGGTGGTGGTGGTGGTGGTGTTGTTGATCTACAGGCGTACGAGCAGCGCAACAAGTCCCCCACGTACATTTCCATCTCATTCCGCGGCCGAATCTCGATAGTCCCAGGGTCGGGTCAGAAAGAACTGGTATTACTCCTGCTCGCTCGAGTTTTGTCATGTTTGGCAGAGGCCAGAGGGAGGAGTTGGATGATGATGAAGGGGAGGAACTGGTGGGGTTGTTGAGGGAGGAGTTGGCGAGGGAGGTTGTGCGCGTGCGGGAGGATGAAGGGGTGGATATGGAGGTAGAGGTGGAGGTGGCGGGGGGGACAGAGAAAGTGAAAGGGAAGCTATAGTCAAGCGGTGTATATGTACATGATACTATGTTCTACGTACTGCATATACTGCATTTGAGTGGTGGGTTTTTGCATCTTGCACTCGTGTCTTTATATATAGTCTGATGGTAATTTGTTATGTATCGGGATTATGAAGACGGCGTTGCGCTGCCTGATCTGGGTTCTTTGCTGTCGTACTGGGGGTTCTTGGTGAAGTACTGTGGTGGCAGTCAGTATGCGTCAGATGTCCATTACAGTTTGGAAAGCAGACGTGCCTTCTTACGGAACGAGTTCAGTTCATCGGCATAAACACCCTTCGAGTCGAGTTTGCGGCGGCCCATGGAGATATCGGATACCTGGCCCTCTGGGAGTCTTCGGTAGGTGATGAGACGACGGGACCCTGATGAATGGTTAGGCTTGCCTTCTGTGTGATGGACCCTTAAACAAGGCTCTCCAATACCTGGGAAGTGTACTTACAGTTGTAGAAGGGCTGAACCGACACGCTCAGGACCTCAAGGTTCGGATGCATCGGCGTCTCCAGCTCGGTGTCCTCGTCGTTGGCGGTGGGCATCCACATGCACATACGTCCACCGGTTACCAGCGTGCGGGCGGCGAAGTCAAGGATATCGTTCTGCATGGCCTCGAAGCCGTAGGGTTTCTTGGGGGCGATATATCCCGGTCGACTGTCATGAACAACACACAGGTCAGCTTATCCCCAGAGCAGCAACCCTCTCACTCCCCCTTAAGCCACGCAGCCAGAGAAAACATACAGATGAGCCGGCACCCCATCAATTATCACCTCCTCATTCCGCAGCCCCTCCCTCCTCCCCAACACCCGCAGCCCCTCCCGCACCCCATACGGCGGATCACACACAATCCCATCCAGAAACGGCCGCCCGCGCAGCGGCGTATTCGTCAGATCCGACGAAAACACATCCACAAACTTGCTCACCGTCCCGTACTGCTGAAAATTGGCCAGCACGCCCATGGTCCCGCCGCGCTCGATCATCTCCTTGCCGCGGAAGCTGCGGCCGTCGATGTCGGACCCGAAGTTGAGCGCCCCGAAATGGCCCATCGCCACGAGAAAACTGCCCGTGCCGACAAACGGGTCGTAGAATAGTTTCCCGGGGGCCGCGTGCGCCATGTTGGCCGTGATGAGGGTGAGTTCTGCGTCCATGGAGGTCGTGCTGATGTACCGCCGTTTCTTGAGGTCGTATTTGTTGATGACCTCGCGGCTGCTGTTGGCGAGCCAGCGGCCGAAATAGATCTTCTGGGGTTCTTGGCCTTCGGGGACGGGGCGGAGGGTGGGAGTGGTGGTGTTGCTGGTCCGGCCTTCAGCAGTACTGCTGCCAGTAGTGGTGGCGGTGGTAGTGTCAGCGTCAGCAACATCCCACCCATAATCCTCCAGAACCCAAAAATCCTGATCCGGATTCTTCATGCGGATCGGCCCCCGGAACCCCAGGAAGGAGAAGGACTGGATGATCGCGCGCTTCTGCTCGTTGCTGCGCTTGCCCGCGAAGCTGTCGACGGTGAACTTGAACGAGTCCGTCGCGAACTCGGCCCAGCGCGCCTCGCTCGTCCGCCTGCGGACGTCGGCGTGCACTTCTGCCAGCGTCGTGCCATGGCCCCAGAGCTCGAAGATGTCCTTGGCCAGGATGCTGCGCGAGATGAGGGTGCGCGCGGCGGCTTCATTGGGGACTTTGATGATGCAGAAGGGGGACTGGTGTGGATGTTAGCCATGGATTTTCTTGCGCGGGGGGTAGATAGATAGGTGGCGGGGGTAAAGTGGGAGAATCAGGTATGGCACTGGTCCAGATAATCTGAAGAGAGTGCATTGCAAATTATCATATCAAATGGAACATACATATTTGTCGTAGTAGATAAATTCCAAATCAATGCCGGCCAAGTCTGCCAGGGCCTGAATCTCCGGCTGCCGGAAAGACTCGTGGACCTGCGCGAAGCGGATCAAGTACTCCATCCCCGCGCCACCGCTGTTGTTGCTTGTGTGAGTACGTAGTTGGTGGGCAGTAGTACTACTGCTGGAATGAGCACAGCTGTGATGGAACTGTCTCTGGCGGATACTCAGCCTGAGCGTCCGGGTGATTGTCTGGTCGTTGGAAAGTGCGGAATCGAGATTTTTCATGATCCCGCTGGGTTTGGGAACCCGTTGGTCAACCTTCATTTCAGCCCTTGCGCCGACTTGGAGGAGCGACACTCATGCTCTACAATTTGAAGATATCATATTAGGCTGAAAGTACCGTCTACTAAGCACGAAGCGCAGGTCCGCACTTGTTGAATGATAATTTATATAGACGAATGATGGATCTCCGCTATGGAGTCACTAGATACATCTTAACAATGAAACCCAAGCCTGACGAAACCCACTGGTTGCATGTCTTATTGATCGATCTTTACATCCTGTCCTGTCTTAACAGCAATCAAATCCAAAACCCACAATGCACAAAACGATACCATTGACGCCGTTCTCGAACCAGCAGAGCCAGAGATGACGGTAACCAGCAATAAAACACCGCCGCTATGCGCCGACAACCCGAAACACATGTCGTGACTCGTAACCTTCCACCTGAGAGATCTCGACCTTCTCATCCTCGGGGATCATCTCGTGCTTGAGCTCCCACCCCGCCCGGCGGCAGAGCTCCGAGACCACCACGTCGCAGTCGCCTAATAAATCGATGTCGAACTCCGTGTGTGTCACGGGCTTAACATTGATCAGCCTAGGGAGGGGATGCTATCCTTTAGGGCGCACACTTACGGTACGAGAAATGTAGATTTGGGGCACCTGACGAGGCAGCACGCCCGGTGCCTCTGCCACCGGCGCGACTTTCAGAGAAGTCCCGATGACGATGACCAAGTCCACCCGTTCGCGATCGTGGTGAAGCAGGCGATGACCGAACTCATCGGGAAGACCCTCGCCAAAGAATGTGATATCGGGCTAAAATCAGGAGTGAGCATGCGACTCAAGGCAACCGAGAAAGCGCGTGACTCACCTTCATGACACCTGGGGACGGAATCTCGTAGTCATCATCGGAGCTGTCTCCCTCATCGTCCTTGCGGTTCCTGTGAACTCCGGTGGTGCTGCGCTTGCGCTTCATACCCGTCTCTTCCGCGATACGTTCGCGACACGCGGCACACTGGGGAATGGCACCCTTTTTGATCTCATCGAAGATCTCGTCGCCCATCACTTGATAGTTGCACTTGACACAGGTCGCCGTGGCGAACGAGCCATGGCACTGGACAATGTTCTCCGGGAGAACGCCGGCATTGGCTTCAATGTTGTCAATGTTCTGGGTGTAATTGGTCAACAGTTTCCCCTTGTCCTGCAGAAGACGGATGAACGCGTGTGTCGGCGAGAACTTCTTCTCCGTGGGGAGGATATCCTTGGCGACCGAGAAAAAGATACTGGGGTCTTCGCGGAACACGTGGATGTCGAAGACCTCCTGTGGGTCGCTCAGGCCCAGATGCGCGAGCTGGGAATATAGACCGGTGTCCTTGGATCGAAAGTCGGGAATGCCCAAACTGGTGGATATCTACGAGATTCGTCATCAGTATATCGCGATCCCTTGGCGACAAGCGGTGATGAAACCGGGGGAAACTCACCCCAGCGCCGGTCAGCACAACGATGTTCTTGGACTCCTTTAGCAACCTCACCGCGTCGTCGATGGTATTGTACTGCGGGAGCTTGGGCCGTCTGGAGAACTCGCGCGAGATCGCGATCGCGAGTAGGGGGTGGTATGCCTCGTCAGGGGCGCCTTCGAGGAACGCCGGGGGCCGGATGCCGAACGCGGTGCACAGCTTCTTCGCAGTGACGGTCTCCTTTGCGATGGTTTCTTCGACGAAGGCAGCCTTGCCGATTTCATGGAGTCGATTTCGGTATGCGACAGCCTCTTCCAAGGTACAGGCGTCAGGGACTGTAAGTGAACAGGCGTGGCGCGCAGTCAGCGGGTGGGGACTTTTCAACGAGCATATAGATTGGGATGGGTAAAGTTACCTCCTTCGCGGAGTTGCTCGTCCTGCAGCACTTCAATCGCGTCATCGTAGAGCGACTGGTTTTCCCAATCTTCCCCAGAAACGTCACTGTCGGTCTCGTACTCGGTGTGTGACATCTCGCCCCTGGTGGGGATCTCGGTGGCCGTGGCTGGCTTGTCCGCGGAAGTCATCTCGACGCCGGCGACGGCAACTGGGGGCTGCTGCTGCTGCTGCTGCAACGACGAAGTATCCCCGCTGGGCGCTGATTCCAGGTCCATCCTGTGACGGAAGACGGGAGAGGGTCACTTCCAGCAACCGCTAATTCAACCCTTCCCAACTCACATCGAGCTCAGTTTTGCCACCCCGACGGTGCTTGGCCGGACAAATTTGGCTCTTATTATCTCCGGGGAGGGAGGGAATCGCGCTCGGATCCTACTTTATCCGGGTCCGTATAATATCGGGCAATGAAATGGATTAGAGGCAGAAAGAGAGAAAGAGGTTTAGTAAGAGGTTTCTCTATTGAAGGTAGTATTAATTTTGCTTCCAGCTCATCCTGAGCGACACAGAAAACATGACTTTTATTTGGTATCATGACAAGATAATATGCGGGGTTCGTAACATGGACGTGCAGCGTTGTTGTTCTTAGGAGTCAGCCATTTCGTGGTCACTGTCAGAGTCCACCTCGATTTCCGCGTCCTCCCAATCTTCCTCACCCTCCTGGCCTTCAGCTTCTTCGTCCTCGATCTCCTCGCCCAGTTCCTGGTTCATCTCCTGCACCAGTTCGAGCGCATGCTCCTTGAGCCTCTCGTCCTCGTACTGCTGAATCTCATATAAAGCCAGGCCCTGTTTGAGCCACTCGCGACTGGCAACGAGCGATGCCAGGCGCTTGGCCTCTGGGGTGTCGGCGTCTTCCTCGACATCTGCGGGGGCCTGTTGCTTGCCAGCCAGAAGGTAAAGACACCATCCGCCCAGGTACCACGCCTCGATACTCTGGTCATCCTCCAATATCAGCCGTTCCAAGACCTCCAATGCCTCAAACTCCATTCCCACCTCCATCAACAGACGCGACAGACTAATTCTCGTGGCGAAGTCGGGGATGCTAGAGTCCTCTGGGGGCAAGTCCTTCCAGATCTCGAGACTCCTTGTAAGTGCTGCTTTGGCGTCATCTGTTCGTAGCTGCGAGATGCGGATAGAAGCCAAGGTCTGAAGGACTTCAGGTCCATTGGGCTCGACAAGCAGAGCCTCCGTGATGAGTGTCTCGCACCGATTCTCTGCGTCTTCCTCCCAGCTATGATGGCATTAGTACGAGAAGCACATTCGCACGGTAGACGTGTGAAGCGAGGATTCAGTTCGGGCACAACTTACGAGAGATCGGTCATGTAGATCTCCGCCACAGCGCACAGAGCGTTCGCCATCTTGCGCTTCTTCTCTAGCAGCTCGGCCGCCTCCTGAGGTCCGGGGCTCTGCTCTAATTGCTGAATAGCATGTCTGAGCGAAGAGACACCCTTCTCGAACCACCGGACACTATCCTTCCCACCCTCCTCACTCAACTGCGCCAGCCACAAGAACTTCTCCGCACCTCCCCCTTCGGACTCAGGTATCGTGCCATTGGGATCGGCGTCGACCGCGCGCAGGAAGTGGGACCTCGCAGTGTCGATATCGCCGAGTTCGACGTAAATCTCCGCAACGGCGATCAAGGCCGAGAGGTGTGACGGGGAGCCCGCGGGCGAGCTGTCGAGCGCTTGCTGCGCGATCTGTAGAGCGGCATCGGCCTGGCCGGTCTGGATGAGTATCGTCGCCTGCTCTAGGAGCTGAGAAGGATCTTCGTTCATCATCTTCTGCTGCTGTTGCTTCACCGAACCACCGAGGCCGAGGACGGACTTCTCGCGGGACTTGGAGGATTTCTTCTGTTTCTGAGGCCTTGACTTGCCCATATTCAAGTACGTGTCTAAATCAGGTAGTATTTCGCCAATTGGTGCGTCATCCGATGTAAAAGTAGTATCACGATAGAAAAAAGATCCAAAGAACAGACAGAAATAAGTATAGCATTCAGAGCTCTGTCTGCCAATCTTTTTTTCCCAAGCGGAGCATAGAAATTCCCTTTTTCGGGCGGCCCTTTCCTTATCTGTTTGTGCTGTTTGCACTGGGCCGGCAACATTCTACTCCGTGCTGTGAGGGAAAGCCGATCAATCTATGCTCCAGTTTTGAGATAGTGGACCAAAAATAATTGAAGCGGCTTCCGTGCTTAGCTTGTTTACGACACGCAACAGAGCTGACACGCATTAAACTCTTTGCAAAATCCGAAAGCCAGGTTTCTCGACAAGATACCACGACCTCAGAACTCAACCCCACGAACCCGAATACCCCTCCCCCGCCGGCGGCGCATCGAAAAAAAGCAAAAGCAAAGATGGGTCGCGAAGACCAGATCGAAGAGCGCGAGGTGCTCGACTCTATTTTCCCCGAAGAGATAACAGGTATGGTTTGTGAACTGTACAAGTTCCCCCGATCTTTGCTCGGGACGCAGTTCTCCCTCGGTGTGGTAGCAAGCTAACAAAGAAAATCAAACCCACAGATGTTTCTGATACTTCATACCGGATATCAATTGCCCTAGACCCCCCGGACAATGAAGTCGAAGGGGCGGAGGAGCCGCCCGTTTTGTATCTGCACGTCTCATACCCGGAGGACTACCCGGACGTGGCCCCGGAACTCGACATAAGTACGGCGCCCAACGCCCCGAAACACCCGCGCCTCGACGTGTCCGAGGACAAGGAGCGACTGCTGGAAGCGCTGCAGCCGACCATCGAGGAGAACATGGGGATGGCGATGGTATTCACGCTGGTGAGCGCGCTGAAGGAGAGCGCCGAGCAGCTCATGGCGGAGCGGGTGAATGCGATCCACGCGGAGCGGGAGATGGAGGCGGCCAAGCGCGAGGAGGAGGAGAATCGCAAGTTCCAGGGCACGGCGGTCAACCGCGAGACGTTCCTGGCTTGGCGGGACAAGTTCATGAAGGAGATGGAGGAGGAGGAGAAGCGGCTGCGCGAGGAGAAGGAGGCCGAGGACAAGAAGGCGCAGAAGAAGGCCCCCGGCAAGGAGGAGAAGAAGCTCACCGGCAAGCAGCTTTGGGAGCGCGGTCTGGCCGGCAGAGCCGATTTTGATGAGGATGAGGAGGATGCTATGCCTGCGGCTGTGGAGAAGATGAAGATCGCTGCGTAGATGCTTGATGAGTTCTATGTAATAATCTATGATTTCGGTTTTGGCTCCTTGATGGGGCTTTACAGCGTGACAGATGCGTCCAGCTCGTAGTCGTGTTATGTGTAGACTGGGTGTGACCACAAAAATGGATAGATGCTGGGTTATATACCAGTTGGTATCTGATCATATATATGAAACTTGAAAGAATTGGGTTTATTCGCCTGGAAAGCATGCAGAACCGCCCAGTAGGGCCTTGCTTAAGCATGCTGGGTCAAGTTGGGATTACTGCTCCAATCATGACCTCCACTTCAGACATCCAAACATTAGTAGTCTATGGTCTCCAACCGACGTGGTTACTTGGGGAGGACCATGTGCTTCATATCGCCGATCTCATATTGCCGACCCTCCTCTGTTCTTGTTCTCATCCGAGCTCTCTTCCTGGGAAGCCGACGCCTTATCGGCCCGTTCTTGAGCCTCTTTGGCGGCTAATTTCCGCTCCTTCAAAACGATATTCCACATGGCCACAGTAAGGTCGTGATCCTTCTGGTCCATTTCGGCAATTCTTTCTTTATTCTTCGAGAGTGAGAGGTCGAACGCGTGACGCCACGGGACGCATCCAGCCTCTGCTTGGCCGGTCAAGTGGTCCCACTGGTCCTCATCCTTAGCCCATAGTATCTCCTGCATGAGAAAATCTCGCTCGAGGAGCGACTTGTCTCGTTTGCGATGTTTGGCCCGGATAACGCGCCCTACGATTGCGGGCTGAGGCTTCTTGAACCGCAGCATCGGAATTCCACGCGCACTCACGAGCTTGGGAACGCGGCGTATCCCGTTGACGACCGGTCTAGGACGCGCCAGGACGGACTCGGCATCCGGATGGCGCACGGCGGTTTTCCTCTGGAACTCCTTATTGGCTTGCTTCCTCAGGTCCAGGGTGCTCGGGGGCTTGACCGGCTTTAACCGGGCCAATTCTCTCTGGACGGCGGACTTGCGCTCGCGGTTTAAGGTGGTTTCTGAGAGGAGGGTTCGAAGGTATTCGGTCTTCTCGTGGTTGCCTTGCGAGATGGCGTGGAGCAGGTCGAGGGCCTATGGTTCCATAAAAGTGTCAGTCGCTATGGCCGATTGACGGCTTGGTGAGGAGCCGAGCGATGGGAGGGACAACGCGCACATCGTATCCTGCTTTTAGTGTGTGCGCTACTTGGGACGGGCTCTGGAGCTTCTTGTATCTGTGGAATCGTAGCTGTATGTGGTCTTTGGGTGCATTGCGCTCCGGTAAATCCTCAGGTAACTTGGCGCATTGTCGGAGAAGGGCTCGATAGAGCGCCAACGCTGTAGCAATGAATGTATGTTAGCCCCGGGACGAGAGAAGAGGCGATACAGTTTTCTTGTTCGGTATACGGACTTGTAAACCGATGGGTTGAACATTTATGAGGCACAACCAGCTTGTGCATATTGCTGTATGTTGCGCTATCGGAAGCAAGTCAAATATATCTCGAGAAGCATGTGACTGTGAATATATCGTGCAACATCACGTGTCAATACATAGAATTAGAACATTTCTGTTGTGATATATGCAAGTATAGAACTCGGCTAACCGATCAAGCGATTCAGCGAAATTTTATAGTTTTAACGCTTAGCTCTTCTATAGTCTTCAGCGACCGGCTTTGAAGAAATCAAAAAAGTGAGGCCGGACAGGTTGGGCAGGTTGCTGGATATACCAAGGCTTATCAAGATATCATAGATGCACAAAATCATTCAAGCCTCACCGCCTTGGTTGTGTAGTGTAATGGTTAGCACCCAGGATTCTGATTCCTGTAATCCCGGTTCGATCCCGGGCACGACCTACATTTCTATTTTTACTTGGTCACTGTTTTGTCGTCGGTTGACGTGATGGCCTGTCAGGCATACGTTCTCACGAGACTGCCTCGCTCCGTATGGCCCGGGTCGAGATCGTGCGCGGAGACGGCTTATATACCTCTAAAAACTCACCAAACATCGAGATTCATTTAACTTATCCCATCCTACTTACGCAATGCCCTATCCGCATTTCGACTTGATGGTATCTACTAGCGAGCCAGTGAAGGGCGCCTAATCTTGAAGATACTGTCTTGTTCACAGCAGCCTGCGATTGCCTACTGAGGTCGAAGCCATGATTGCCTACAAAACTATGACAGGTCCAGCAAAGAATACCCTAGGTAGCAAGGTTCACATGATAGTGAACCCCGATAGCTCCTTCTAGGAAGACTGAAGATTGCAACTAGGCTTCGATTGACACCACGCCATGCCCGCCGTTATGCATAGACTATACACGCTCTAATGAGTAAAACTAAAGAAGACGCGAAACGAACCTCATGCGCAAAACCAGCCAGAATACTCCTCATTCGGTCCCCCAGTCATTTCACACATCACATCATTTAGAAGTTGGAGCCCTCCGGGGGCTGGGGAAGCTTCTTGTGCTGGGGAAGAGCCATATACCTGTAGCATGGTAAGGCATTGCGCGCATCAAAGGAGAGTTAGGGCAAGACATACCGTCTGATCTCGAGCAGAATGGTCTCCATGGTAAATTCGCGCTTCCACTGGGCCAGACAGGGCAGTTTGGTGGGATCAACCTGCCGAAGGGTCAGTACGTTTGACCCCATGGGAATGTAGCGAAACGGCATGTGTACCTTGCCGGTGTGAGGATCAACGCATGGCAGGTTGACGCGGGAGATAAATTGGATGGTAGGAGGGTTGTCAGGGTAGTCGGGACCGCAGTGAATCTTGACACTGTAGATTCTGTTCTCATGGACGCTCTGTGTATGGTTCAATGTTGGGTCAGTGGTGCTGCTGTATGGTGGCGGGCAGGAATATACGGAAGGGACGGACATGGGGAGGGCCCAAAATAGTTCCATTCCAGTTACTCATCATCATATCTTCGCCATCATCTAGACCATAGGAGCACGCCTCTGCAGACAGAAACAAAGGTTCGTTAGCGAGCTGTAGTTCCTGTGCTGCCTCTGCCCAAGTATGCTCACCTGCACCCAGGCCCTTCTCGCCCTTTTCAAGCTCTTCGAGCAATCTGAAGTTCCTGGGAACCTTGGCCGACATCGTGTAATCAGTGGGCTTGAAGATGTTGTCCTGTCTGTCTCAAAAGGGTGTGGCGGGGTTGGAGGAATAGAAGCCTAAGAGATTAAGATCCGAAGGCGGAGGAGGGGCACGATGACTTTATCCCACTTGCGGCAATGGCTATTGCGTAGTATCTGCTTGTCCCGCCAGGTTCCTGAAGAACGTGGTCATGTGATGATAAAGGCCAGCCGCAGCCACGTGATAGCTCTATCTCCCCGTCGCTGCCTTGGCGCTCCTTTAGAGCTGCCACTTCGGATGATGATGCGCTGCTTGATTGTGGTTTGATCATTCGAATTCCCTGGAGACGGCCATCTATGCACCTGTATTGATGTACATCCACTCTTCACAAGACGGAAATTGTGTCCATTGATGTGCCATCACGCCAACTTCTGCTCTTCTCCCTGCCGACCCAATCAGCGATCCAACCACATGAAGCCACATCTGCCTAGTGCTACTGTACTGTACGACTGATAGCGACTGGCACCCGGCCATGATATGATCCAGCACCCTGTTTGAAATGTCCTCCCAGTTCCTCCAGGCGGAACTCTTGAATCTCATCCAAGAGTCTAGGAGGAGAAACTCGGAACTTCGCAATGTCAGTTTCTACCTGCAAGAAGGGATTCTTGAATAACGATGCTGACTAACGATAATACAGGCCGCCGAAGAGTCCCTCAATGAGTTGAAGGCGCTGCCTTCAACCTCAGAGGCTCAAATCTCCGCCGGTGAGTGCTTCATTGGCCCATAATGACGCCACGTTTTACGGTGCTGATTCTAAAGATTGCACAAGATCTTCTGCGCAAACCCAAGTTTGTAAACCCCTTCATTATCGCCTGCCATAGTCGGCATGCCAAGCTTGCAGGCATCGGAGTCATCTGTCTGCAGAGGCTGGTGGCTTCTCGGTCATTGCCATCAGAGCGCCTTAAAGATGTGCTGTCCGGGCTGAAGGAGACGACGAACATGAGTAAGTCATCCAAACGATTGATAAGTTGATACTTTACTTACGCTGAAAAGGCCTGGACATTCAATTGAAGATCCTGCAAACATTGCCGTCTCTGTTACAGCATTATTCGACCGATCTGGGCGGAGATCTTCTTGTGAGTACTCTGGAAATATGCGCAACCTTGCAGACGAACAAGATGCCAGCTGTCTCGAGCACCGCCGCAGCAACGCTTCAACAGCTTGTGGTATCCACTTTTGAGCTGGTCTCCATTGAAGACAGTGAGAATCCCAGTCTTGTGGGAAGACCAGGATTTGCTGATTCTAACTGTACTACAGAGAATTCTGACAAGACAACCCCTACTGTCACTGTCAAGGTTGACGGGAATCCCATTAATGTGGGATATTGCGCTTATGACGCTCTACGTGTAGGCTCTTGCACCCTAAATGTAGTAACCCAAGCTCATCACTAATGAATGTACCAGGTCTTGGATGACTTATGTCGTCTAGTGGATGGTGAACCGCTCTATTTTCTGCGGATCAAATCTCTTTCGACGCCGTTCACCTTGGAGCTCATCGAGAGCATTCTACTCAATAGTGGCAGACTTTTCGTTACCCATGCCGAGTTGACTCAGGTCTTGCGGGCGAGGCTTATGCCGGTGCTGGTGCGAATTCTCTCCGAGAGGCATACTTTCTCCCAGACTGTTCGGGCCATCCGCATCCTCTCAGTGCTGCTCAAACGTCACATGTCTCTTCTGCCTGCCGAATGTGAAATGGCTCTCGGGCTAGTCACGCATCTACTCGAGCCAGACGGGACGGCGCCTTGGAAGCGAGTGCTCTGCATGGAGTTGTTCCGAAGCCTTTATGCTGAGCCAGGCCTAGTACGGCTGATATACTCCTTGTATGATGGTGATGAAAGAAGAAAGAATGTCTTGAAAGACCACATGGCCGCTCTGGTTCGCCTCGCCTCTGAAAAGCCTTCTCTGATTGGGGTCAGCGCCCGGTCAACTGTTCCTCTGCGAACCGAGCATACGAGAGCTGTCACGGAAGAGCAAATCACTCTCGAGGCAGGAGGTGTTGCTGGCGTCATTGGCGCATCTGTTCCCATCACCGACTCCGATGCACCAGGAATTAGCAGCCAGTGGAGTGTGGTTCGGACACCCTATACGGAACTTCTCGATAAGACTGAGCCGCCATCGCCACCTGAGACCTATATCTATAGTCTCGTACTGAACTGCATCAGCAATTTGGCTGAGGGGCTTGCAAAGTTTATTCTACCATTGACTGTCCCAGACCTGAAACAGAAGCGGCGGAGTCGCGCGGCAGGCTTTGGACAAGGTGGGGATACCTCAAGGCAACCTCAAGACCTCAGCAAGAATGCCCACAACAGAAGGTCAACCGTACCTATCAATCCTCTCGATATAGAGTCCCATCCTCAGCTTGGAGCCATCAAAAGCTGTGCTGGCATTATTGAGAACTGCTGGCCGGCCATTCTTGCAGCGTGTTCCACGTTTCTATACGCGGCCCTGGATGATGAATTCTACCACAACCTGGTCCGGTCATTCCAAAAATTGGCGCATGTAGCTGGTCTTCTCAGACTGTCGACGCCGCGTGATGCCTTCTTGACGACACTTGGCAAAGCTGTCATGCCAGCGGATGCCGGCAGCGCGAAAGTAGCGAGTACCTCAGCGTCTGCTACGACAGCTGTGCAGTCTAAGCAAAATACGGACAGCAAAGCAAGGGACTCGCAAGCGTCTCTAGGTAGCTCATCAGTATCTGCTGAAATAAATGGTCCGTCAGAGACCAACATCGTGTCTCTGAGTACAAGGAATCTCCTATGCTTACGTGCTCTGCTTAACCTTGGAATTGCGCTTGGGCCAACTCTAGATCAGCCGGCCTGGTCTATTGTGCTCGGCACGCTTCAAGATACTGATATTCTGATTGGCCTGACCGCAAATCCTCAGGCCATGATAAGCTCCGCTGAAGCTTCGGCTGCATCAGTGGACGTGCCGAAAGCCAATCTCGGCGCCGAGATTATAGCCGTACAGACCGCGTCCGCAAAGATGTTTGAGAGCAGCGGCGATTATCCGACCGAGTCTTTCCAGGATCTCTTGACTGCGCTTCTGGACCTATATGGGACGGCCGATGATTCCTCACAAAACGCGCCGCTGTCTCCTACTGGGGAGCTTCTTTCTCCGCGTTCGAGTCTCATGCGCAAGAACACTCATCGCGTATCGCTCTCCGTGGGAAAGTCTAGGACCCAAGATGAGCTGGTAAGATTTGTGCTCGAGAAAGCCAACGAGATAGCCATAGCCAACGTTGATCGACTGTCTTCATTGCTCGAATTTGACCTAAGGGCTTGGAGCCTTCTCACATCAAGACTGATATTCACTGCGGCCGATAAAGGGATCAGCCAGAAGTTCAGGCTCAGGGCCAATGACGTACTCAACAACATTGTAACACTGACCATGAAGCAAAGGGAGGATGAAGACTCCGAGAAGCAGAACGAGCGACAGCTCAGGAACCTCCAAGCGCTCAAGATGCAGATCAAATTGCTCTACGAAGCAAGTGGCTGCTCAATCGGCTCCCCCACTCCGCCAGTCGTGGAGATCCACGAGCAAAGCCTAGAGACCCTCAAAAGTATACTCGAACAATATGGCGAGACATTCGTGGGGGGATGGGTGCCTGTATTTGACCTCATAACAAGTGTCTTTGGTGAGAGCAGTGAAAAGAGGACTGTCGGAACCTCGAATGCGAAACAGGCCAGATGGATCGCAGATTCGGTTCGACTCGTGCGGGTCGCCTACCAATCCCTACAGCTCATAGCTTCTGACTTTGTTGCGCTGCTCCCACTCCCTTGTCGACTGGACTTGGTGGAGTCGTTCGCCAAGTTTGCCCAGCAGCAGCAAGATTTTAACATCTCGCTGACTACAACATCATCTTTCTGGAATGTCTCGGACTTTCTGCAGGGACAGATCGAGCAGTTTTGCATTGAATCTCACATTGATGCGTCCGTGAGCGAGGACGTGCTTGCGGACCTCGCCAAGGGCGATGACCCCTCGATCTCGCGGAACGCATTGTGGTTACTACTTCTTCTGAGGATAGTAGACTTAACGACGGATAGTAGGTCTGAGGTCCGTAACTGTGCTATTCAAACACTGTTGAGGATTTTTGATGCCTGCGGGCAACATTTATCCCCAAAGGCATGGTGTTTGTGTCTAAACAGGGTTCTCTTCCGTATGGTGGAGGAGATAGAAGATGAGCTCAGCCTGACGCTGGATCCGAACCAGCTAAATAACACTGATAGTGTTAAGGCATGGATCGAAACGACGGTCGTCATGGTGAGAGGAGTGTCTGATTTGATCACGAACTTTTTTGAGACGTTGGTCCGGGACGACTTGTTCGATCAGTCATGGGAGCGTCTACTAGGCTATTATCAAAGGCTGCTCAATCTGCACCTCCTAGAATTCAGTGAAGCTGCTTACTCCAGCCTCACGAATATTTTACTACGGATACAGGCGGCGGATAATCTCACGAAAGAGTCTCTACGTTCTACGTGGCTTTTGTGGTTGAGTGGTCACCCGGCCCAGAGAGAGGATCTTCTGAACCTCAACACTCCAAATCAAGAAGCTGCAATCGCCTACCTTCAAGCTTTTCAACAAATATATCGTTTGCATAAGGAAGACCTTGAAGGTGAGAGCGTCGAGACGATACTCGGACATTTGCAGCTGCTTGCCTGGAATTCGATATCTCCGCCATACTCTCCAGATATTGACCGTCCTTCTCAAGTGCAGGCGCTGATTCTTGAATGTCTGAAAACCTTGTGCACGGAGAAAGACAACTCACAGTCAAGCATTCTTGTCTGCCTGGCGGAACTGGCTGATTCCCCATTGTCCAAGTGGTCGCCAGAGAGTGATTCGAAGAAGCCCACCTTTGTTGCTTTTTCGAAAAGGGTGATAGACCTTCTTGACTGGTACATTTCTGAGCACGGAATCAAGAAGGACATTTTCCTGGACGGATCTTTGGCTGCCGCCCTAGGTCACCTGGTGAAGTCGATTGAGTTGAGATACGAATGGCCAGGAAAGGATCGTGAGCCGAGTCTCTCGCAGAAGTCCACCACTGCTTGCTTGAATATCCTTCAGGTTGGAATTCCTTACGTGGAACAGCAATACACTATGTCACAGCAGGAGCAAATCACGCGTTTTTGGGATTGTGTGGTCGATCTCGCGAAAGGGATCGTCTCGGCTCGCGGCTATCGAACCGCTTTGGTGCCTCACAGCAAGATACTGAGTGACGAAGCTTTCGACGTGGATGCGTTCCACAAACTCAAAACTTTGATTATTCCGTCGCTTGGGTCGTCTATGATCCCAGACTCCACCCGCCGAGACTTCGCCTGTGCATTGCTGTGGCCCTCGTTCATCTACGCCCCGCAGCGACTCGACCTTCCTCGCAAGCCCCTCGAAGAAGACCCGCTGCATGGCTTGTACGATGTCCGACCAGGAAGAACCTTCGATCCCTCGCCGACCCTTCGCACCAAAATGGCATATATCCTTGTCGACACGCTCTTTGAGATCGCCTCTGCCCCGCTTCTTCCTTCATCCGTATCGACCCCTTCGGAGCATGAGTCCTCCGCGGAGCGATCAGCTGCCCGTCTGACCCTCGCCCGGTCCATCTCCCCGTACCTGATTTTGCGGAGCGCCGTATCCCTGAAGGGCTACATTGCCGACCAGCCGCTGCGGGGCCTTATGCCGCAGCCCACACCGGCCCGTAAGTCCCTATTGCACCTCCTCCGCGGAATGGTGGCTCTGCGTAGCGAACCGTCGACGATCCCCACGCCTCCAGCTAGCCAGCCAGGCGTAGTAGCGGACAACGATGAGACGAATCACAAGCAGCACCTGGCGTGGATCTACCCGCTGGTTGTACGGGCGGTACAGGTAGCAGGAAAGCAGCAGGATGACGGGGAGCTCCTAGGAGCTTTGGGAGAGGTTCTGTCGGCTTGAGGTTGGGTTGTATTAGATGTATCTTTATTCTGTTTTCACTAGAAACCTCTACTGGATTTCCCTGAGTATGAGTTGTACAGGGGGTCGCCTGTGGTATACGCACGAAGCTGAACGTAGTTGCTTCCCTGTCGTGACAAGCGGTAGTAGCATGTCAATACTGGTTCGTCCTAAACACTCCTTTCACCTATGGTGCCCACTTAGTACGTACACCTCGTCAAAGAAATGTTCACCCCCAACAAAGCTTAGTATCTTCTCTCTGCCTCTCCATCCGCAGACGACTTCGACAGGGTGCAATGAAACGAATCGACAATAGCAATTGTTGTGAATAATGAGCAGCAGGAACATCCAAGTCTGATGTACAGCGTCACCGGATTTTCTCTTTTATCTCTTCTGGCGATGGAGGCAGTTTGTCGCAGACACACAAAGCCCATCCATGGCAGCCCGCTTTGTCCGACAAGGTCCAGTTGTTCTTTGTCTGGATACTGAGCTATGTCTCTTGAGTCGCCGCACTGAGGAATTCATAAGTACACTATGATGGACCTTGTGGACATACTCATCCGAGACTTCCATTTACTCGGAAACCATCGCAGCTCACTTCAGTCTTCATTTTCGACTACTAAGACCATCACAAAATCAATGCCGTCTAACTCGTCCCGGACCTCCAAGTCCAGCACATCTTCCCGGTCAGAACGGAGCCGTCACTCCGAGGCTCGCCATCTGACGCCGTATGCATTACTTGAGCTCGATATCCGACAGGGGAAGAATAAACATCCTCCGCGGTAGGTCACTCTCATACTCTCCTATCTATCCACCACTAGCCAACTAACAAAAGAAAAGAGCCCGCGCCTTCGCCCCCCATCTCCTGAAGCACCTTACCGAAGGCCAAAAAGACCAACTCCGCCAGCTCGCTGGCGCAGGCGGACCCGACCTCTCTGATCTACGCGGTGTACGTGTATCCCCGCCAGGTTGACTCTATTCAACACTGACAACAACAATGCCAACAGTACCCCTCCCTCGGCACCGAACCATCCAATACCACCACCACCACCACCACTACAAACAAAAACCACAAGGACAAACCCCTGCCGCTAGCCCTAGCTGCAGCTCCCCTAACCACACGAACACGCTCACGAGACAAAGTCGTCAAGGAAACACCCTACATATACGCCCCCACTCCGTCTCCCTCCTCCACGGGACCAAAAGATACAGCAGCCCATTGGCACATAGCATCGCACTCCCCGCTGCGTTCGCATCAACCCCGTCGGGTCTTCACGTCCAATCCCAGCGGTAGCAGCAGTAGCAGTAGCAGTAGCAGTAGCAACAGCAACAGCACCGGCACCAGCAGCAAACCTACTACCAGCAGGGGCATCTGCTCGTCCCAATCGTCCCGCTCCTCCCGCTCCGGCTCCAGGACACGGGACAACAACTTCCGCTACGCGCGGCGCATTCGACACCACCATCGCATCACCAACTGTCTGCGGCGACGGGTGCTGGTGCAAGGGGCCAAAGCAGGCAGTATTGCGCGGTACGGGGCGGGGGCGGAGCCGTACTGGTTGCGGAAACGGCGGTGGTGGGACGGCAAGTTGGAGAGTCATGCGGAGGCGGAGGTGAGACGCTGGAGACGGTGGCGGGAGAAGGAGGAGCGGAAGCGGTGGCAGGCAAGGTTGAAGGTGGAGCGGGAGGAGCAAGAGTATTGGACGAGATGGAGAGAGAAGGAGGTGGATGGTGAGGTGAAGAGCTTGCTTGCTGTACTTTCTGCTTCTGGATCTAGGTCTGCTGCTTCTGCTGCTTCTACTGCTCCTGCTGCTGGGTCTGCTGGGTCTATTGACGAGGGGGCTAGGGCTGCTTCGAGGTCCAGGTCCCGCTCTAGCTCTAGCAACGAGGGGATGGATATGGAGTGGGAAGCGGACAATGAGGACGGATTTTAGCTGATATGATATTCAGGTGCTGGGGTTTGTTTGTTTTCGGACGGATGTTTTGTTCAGGGTATGCTTTCCGTTGGTTGAATAGTGGTGGTCATGCGAAGCAGATGGTACTCGCGCAGGTGTGAGTATCTACTTAGTCAGTCCGTCTGATACTCAGTCAAGCTATCCCTTTAGATCGTATACTGGAACAGTGTCATAGATTCAGCATTCCATCCACTCATAATCATATATACAGAGGTATCAAACCCAGCCCGAAACGCCCCGAAATTCCCTGTCGCAAGTCTACACGCAAAAAGAAGAAAAAAAAAGAAAACACCACTAATCATCTACTGCCGCAGCAACAGAAGCACTACCAACAGCCACTACATCGCTGCTTTCAACACATCGCGCACCCTCCCAATCACCTCCTGCAGCACCTCGGCCTGCCCCGCATGCACATCCACCGTCACGGCATCCCACTCATCGCCCACCGGCTCCTCCAAATCCATCAGCTGCGACTTCACCATCCCGCTCTTCATATAGTGCGCCTGGCGCGCAGTCACACGCTGCAGCAGCGCCGAGGGATCGACCTTGAGATAAATAAAATGAATCTGCACCGAGGGAGACCCGTAGGCCGCCACGCGCATCACGTCCCGGTACTTTTTCTTCAAGGCGGAGCACGCCACCACCACGCCGGAGGGCGGATGGTAGTGGTTGGCTTCCGACGGGGACAGCGCGGAGATGGCCGCCTGCCGCAGCGAGATCAGCCAGTCCCATCTGTCCTCGTCGGTCAGGGGCACGCCATTGCTCATTTTGGTTTTATTGCTGGCTGGGTGGAACTTTTACCCAGATGAACAGGGTTAGTAATGAATGCGATGCGATTTGCTGCTTGCGGGTTGTGGTAGGTGGTGGTGGTGGTGGTGGTGGTGGTGGTGGTGTTGGGGGGTGGGAAACTTGGTAGAACATCACATACATCATCGCCCTCGAGGAAGGGTACACCTAGTTCCTCCTGCAGACCGCGGCCCACGGTGCTCTTGCCGCATCCGGCTGGCCCGGTCACTACCCAGATGTGTTGGGTCTGTTGTTGTTGCAGTGGCTGGGGGGGCTGTGTCTGGGTCTGGTCGCCCCAAAGGGGGTTGGTGGTGGTGTGGTCCATGGGCATAGTGTGGTGGTGGTGGGTGTCGACCACCGCGGCCTTGTTTTTCATAGCGGGTTGCGGGCGTTCGCCGGCGGAGAGCATGGTGACGATGATAATGGTTTCAAGGGGTCTAGAAGGTAGGGGATTGGGTGTATGACGTGGTGTACTCGCAAAGCAAGGTTGTTTTGAATGAACCACGGTTTATGGTTTATGGGTGGTGTAGATAAGAGGGCAAGGTTGGATTATTGATGGGATGTAGATGGGGTTGCAGAAGTAGTAAAGGAGACAGACTTATACTCTGAGGCAAACCGGGGAAACCACGAGCTTTAAGAAGGTCCGGGCAGGACGGGAGGAATTACAGCCATCAAGATGATGAAAGGGAATCAGAGTGAATCAGGCCGGGCAACAATCCTAATAATAATCCCATGAGCTGGCTGTGTGTGGGTCAGGCATTCTCAAACCGGGGGAGGGGGGTGACACGGTTGGAAACCAGTCTAAATCGAATGTGATTTAATGGTCTGGAGTCTCCTGGCCAGGATCCACCCCGGCTGCTGGCATCGGATGCTGCTGCGTTTTTAGAAAGAAGATATCAGCAAATAAACGATGAGGAAGTCATTTCATCACTGATGCGAAGTGAGTGGGGGTGAATGAACTCAGGAAGGAAGAAAGAAATGAGCTCCGGCGGTCTGGTTTTTAGCGGGAGATCCGATCGGGCGCCGTATCACCCTCGTACCGTCCATTACCATCACTCTACAAGAGGACTTGGTAAGTAAGGTGCTACTTTAATTAATTAGTGAGTACATATTGAATGCTCTGACTGTAGAACTGTCGACATACCAGTATCTTCAAGAGGCAGCACATCAACCACAACCTCTGCCATCCCCTCTGAGAGTCTCGGGGAAGTATTGGGCGAGATCAGGGCCATGATGTCACCAAGGCTTCTGTAACCGGCGTTTCGGAAATGTGATTTACGCAGGAGTTGCCGGCAGAACACCCCCACACTAATCCCAGTCGAGCCTTAGCCTGCCGTTCGCTTTTCCACACGCCTTCTTCGATGCTTCCAAAGGCTTTCTTTCCTCATACCGTGGATCCATCCATGATTCCATGTGGAACTGCTAGAACAAGAAGAAGTTAACAACAACAACATCATCATTATCAACAACAACAACATCAACATCAACATCAGTTAACACAATACTGCATACCCGTTGGCCTCTGCAGCACCCCAGTCTACTAACAAACGGAAGCATCAGCATCACGAGGTCTCATCATTCCTCCTCCATGCGATTCAAAAAGTCCGGCCTGGCCCGTACCTTTTCCTTCCCCAGGTTTCCAGCCTCACGACAGGTCAGATTTAAGCTCGACGAGGGGTAGATTTCCTGGCTCTCACAGCAGAACTCCATTCACGTAGGTACACGTCGGTTTGTGTGACCTCTGGGCCTCAACCAGACACTAAATCCCTCTTGTGAAACCGTCTGGCCCTGATCATGCGTCGTTTGCTTGCCTGCCTGGTTTCTCACCGCTATAGCAGAAACAAGCCAGAAGAAAAACTCGCCGAGACGAACCCTTTACGACCTTGCATGCCTTTTGCAGTGTTTGTCTGCTGTAGAGCGGCTCTGTGCATGATCCCACTGGAGTGCAAGGGTTCATGGACGGGGTTTCTGCCCAACAAGCAACCGCGTAAATAAGCTTAAGCGCCCTAAGCTGACGGGCAATTCCATTGGAGCTGGAGATGAATGTCTCTCCGCTCCTCCGAGACCCCTCCTCCTTAGACTTTGGGACTTATTCTCCAATTGGATGACCTGTATACAAGAAGGGGGGATCAACTCTTTTTTCAAATTCGCGAGCATTCTACAGTGCAAAGGAGGGGGGGGGAATCCCCGCTTCAGCTAAGCTAACTACACTTCAGAGTACGGTTATGCCTCGTCGATCCTACCGAGCTCTTCATGATCACGAGCTGCCGATAGTTCAAAAGACAGTAACACATGACGTGCAGATTATAGATGGGTAGTAGTTCTGGTGTCTACTCTCTAGTATAGGCAGCCATGACGGAGGCGGTGAGTACGTAATCGGGATAGTGCCAGCGCGGCCACCGCTGCCACAGCCACCGCCAGGCAGTCAAGCACAATAAGCTGGTCATGTCATGGCCCATTTCTGCGCATTGATCCAATTCAATCCCAGTTACGCTGCTGGACCGGACGAGGAAGTCTAGAGCTCTTACTAGCTGCCCTGCCAATCGGATCTGTCACCACTTCCCCTGTCTGCACTCGTTTGGTCCGACCACCTCTCCCCCCCTCCTCCTCCACGATGACCTCCCTCTTCTTCTCCACCCCGGTGGACATCGACGTCGTCCTCGAAGACAGCGATGAGCGTCAAACGGTGGACGTCAAGCTGGACAAGGGCCGTCGCGAGCGCGTCCCGCTGTATATGGATGGCGAGTCCGTCAAGGGCGCCGTGATCGTCCGACCCAAGGATGGCAAGCGATTGGAACACACCGGCATCAAGGTGCAGTTCATCGGGACAATCGGTACGCGACCTTCACATCCTGTGCTGCACCAATCTTGCAGATGATTTGACCAGTGCTAGAAATGTTTTATGACCGCGGCAACCACTACGAATTCCTCTCGCTGGTGCAGGAGCTGGCGGCGCCCGGCGAGCTGCAACACCCGCAGACCTTCCCCTTCAACTTCAAGAACGTCGAGAAGCAATACGAGTCGTACCACGGCATCAACGTCAAGCTGCGCTACTTCGTGCGGGTGACCGTCTCGCGGCGCATGCCGGACGTGATCCGCGAGAAGGACCTGTGGGTTTACTCGTACCGCATGCCTCCGGAGACCAACAGCCCGATCAAGATGGACGTCGGTATCGAGGACTGCCTGCACATCGAGTTCGAGTACTCCAAGTCGAAATACCACCTCAAGGATGTCATCGTCGGCCGCATCTACTTCCTGCTGGTCCGCCTGAAGATCAAGCACATGGAGCTGTCGATTATCCGGCGCGAGACCACGGGGTCGCCGCCCAACCAGTACAACGAGAGCGAGACATTGGTCCGGTTTGAGGTGAGTCGTTTGCTAGCCGGGTGTGGGTGAGAGAGAGAGAGCGTGTGTGTGCGCGCTAACAATACATTGCAGATCATGGATGGGTCGCCTTCACGAGGTGAGTATGGCGGGAAGCATCTAGCCAGCCCAGGGCAAGTTTCGGCTAACACCACACGCTTCCACAGGTGAAACCATTCCCATCCGTCTCTTCCTCGGCGGCTTCGACCTGACGCCCACCTTCCGCGATGTGAACAAGAAGTACTCGACGCGGTACTATCTTAGCCTGGTGCTGATTGACGAGGGTAAGTTGTGCTGCGCTGCTGCTACCTACTTCACCCCGCTATCTACACAATCCACCACCCCCTTGCCTTCCCTTATTTGGAGTGATGTTGTGATGTCGGACTATCGGACATAGTGTGTCCACTTACCGAGCATCGGATTTGGGATGGTTTTCGCCACACTAACTTACATCCCACGGCATCCCACTTCCCATTTCAATAGCCGACCGGCTATTGCAGAACCCCCTAAACACTCGCTGATCGGGCCGCTCCCTCCGATGAGAAATTACTACCCCCTCCCCCCACACTAAACCCCAACCGATAGCCCCCAAACTCCCCATTCCCTCACGTGGTTTCTTCCATCCTCCCCACCCACTGAACTAACCCCGACCCGCACTCACCGCCTACTCACCACCAAACCAAAACATCCATTCCAAGCCATTTGTCCAACCCATACGAACGAAAAGCTAATGGAACAGACGCCCGCCGTTACTTCAAACAATCCGAAATCGTCCTCTACCGCCAAGCCCCGGAGATCGCCCCGAACGCTCAAATCGCCGCCCAGCAACAGATCCAGCAGCAGCAGCTCCTCGCCCAACAACAGCTGCAGCCCCAGTTGCCCGTCGGCTCGGCCACCCCAGGCCCCGGGCGGAACCATGAGGTCTATATCCAGCAGCCGCAGCCGCAGCCGCAGCCGCAGGAGGGTCAGGCTGTGACGGCGTCGGTGGCTTAGGTTCGCTTGCGCTGTCTGTCTGTCTGTCTGTCTGTCTGGTTTGGCTTGGTTCGGGTGGGTGGATTGCATGCTACTGCCGATGCATTGATATTGAGGGGGTTGTCTTGGCAGAGTGGGTGGATGGATCTGATGTGGTGTGATGCTTGGGGGCACCGGCGGTGGGGAATCTGTACTGTACTTGACTACTATTTTTCTATCTTTAAATATACCCTTGTTGATTTTTAGGCTTGCTTCTTTGCTGGGCTTGCTTCTGTGTGTCGTAGCTGCTCAGCGGAGCTGCAACAAACGGTGGAGACTCTACAGACGTCCTTGTTTTAGTCCGTTGATAAGCAACATCTCCTCTCAATCAGTATGAAAGCTGGTATGTAACCTGGTCAGACCAGGACGCTTGATAACTATCTGTTATTCTCGGATGATACTCTATCACAAGAACCCATGCAATGCACCTCGCCTCCATAAAGCAGGCTATCTCACCGACTCACACAGGCCTTCCTAAAGGGCAAATGCATGCTAAAACGACTATGCTAACCTACTACGACAATTCATAAACCACGTCGCTCCCGACAGGCTCAGTGCTAGTCACCGGCTGCTTGGTCTCGCTCGGCTGTTCCGCAATCCGCACTAAAAGCTGCTGCTGGTCACTGAAGGGATCATAGTACTCCGTCACCTCGCCCGTTGCACTGCAGAACTTGCGGAACCAGGCCTCAAACTCACTCCTCGCCGCGTCGTCTTTCAAGTCAATCACCCCAGGGATCAGAGGAACAAGCCGATGCTGCGGGTCAGGATCCGTGCATCGCTCGGCCAACTCAGCGCAGTGAGTACCCACTCCCTCCGGCACGGCAGGCTTCTCCCCCCGGTGATGGACGTAGTAGAAGAGCTGGACCCGGGTGGTGAAGGCTATCACGACGGGCCGTCCTGGGAGGGAGTATTTCTCCGCCAACCCGTCTGACATGTACCCGTCTTTCGATGTCTCGCGGGTATGTAGACGACGTAGTCCATATTGCACAGTGCGCTCCCACTCGTCGGCGCTCTCCTCCCGGGCGTGACGCAGGAAACAGTGCACCCCGCTGCAGCGGAAAGTCGTGATCTCACGGTATCCGGGCGGCTGGAGACACTCAAACTTGCCCATGTCGAAAGTGACGTAGGAGTCCCCTTGCGTCTGGTAGGTGTGGATTAACTTCTTGGCGTATCGTTCCCAGCCGTCTTGGACGGACTTGAGGTAGAGATAATCAGGAAGATGGAAGAGCCCTTCGAAGTCGATGGCAGAGTTGAAGCCGAAGAAGGTGTGTGGGTGAGGATGGGCTCTGTGAAAGGATTAGACGTGCTGGGCAAGGGATGGGAAGTGAGGAAGACGACCGAGAGATACTTACCTGCGCGGCATTGTGATCTTTTTCGGGTACTCAGGATCCATTTCAGAGATATCCATGAAGCGCCACTTCACACAGTCAACGACACTGCGTCTCAAAGGATCGCATGTGCCAATGATCAAGGTCAATATCAAACCAGTATCGTCCGGGTAAAATGATCGCTTGTATTGGGAGGTCCGCCGTGTCCCGGTGCGTGAATCATGCAGGGTCATCGAGGGAGTTTCAGCGTCCGAATGCACGATGGTATATCGATCATTGAGACGGAGTTCGGATAAACTGGTCTTGTGACAATAAGCGGACAGCTTGCTGAGAATACGGTACGTTCGGGTATCGCTCAACTGCATCACATTCGCCAGAGTCTCATTAGGCAGTATGCTGGACACAGCGCCTCCCAGACTATGATACCTGGCTGCGTCGAAGAAATGCATGATATTCACGAATACATAAGCCCAACCAATATTGGTCTTCGCTACCTCCGGTCTCCCCCTCTCAAGATGTGGAAGGACATCCTCTATATGGCCAACGCCATCATTCAGATCCCGCGTCATCAACAATGTGAGCTCCTCCTCAATTTCCGGCCACTTAAATGGACTATTCCGTGGCCCTTGTGCGAAGGAGGAGTTGATGTCGTCGAAGTAGAATAATGTCAGCTTTGGACTTCTCTCTACGAAGATGGTCAAATCCTCCTTTCTCTCAATACGCAACAAGATCACGTCCAGGATGGAGAAGATGATGGCATAGAATGACTTGCGTCCATGCTCGAGCCCGGCGTCCACGGCCTCAGCAATGGCGGCTTTCTCAATGCCAACCCGATCAAGGCCCGTCACCAGGTGTACTAGGACTCCGTCATGCCAATAAGTTGTTTGCCTGGGGGCCGACCCTGCCTCAACCCCGGTATCATGTCTTTCCCACAGAAAGCAAGGTAGCACAGTTGGTGCGGAACCTGGAGAATTCGCGTGCATAGCTCCTGCTCCTGGAATCAGATAATAGCCTTCCCCCTGGTGATTTGCGTCGAAGGAATGCGTATCCTCAAAAGTCACGTCACCCGTGGCTAAGGATAAAATCGCATACGCGATTTCTCTGAAAGTGAAATCCGTGGGTGCCCATTCAAGATAGCTCATGTCCAACAGGCCGCGATATTCCGCATGAATTTGCCTGAATGTCTCCATCAGAAAAGCTTCTCGGAGAGAGGAGAAAGTCTGGGCGACATGGAAGGACTCTGGACGGACCGTCTTCACGTTGAGTCGTTCGAATGCAGCAGTCGAGGCGTCGTTCACCGTAGGCCTGAAGACTGGATCGGCCAGAAGATACGGGGGTGTACACTTAGCCGGCGCCCGGCGGCGACGAGCATCTTTACCGAGGTACATGATCCAATTCGGCTCACTGGAGACTTTGTGGAGATGGAAATGAACGGCATGATCGATGCTGAAGATCTCGCGGTCCAGGTCGAGGGTATAGACCCATTCCCCGCCATAGGTTTGCCAGTCTAGGGGCAGGAACTTAAGAGGGGGCGTTTCCAGGCGATCATCGAGGGCTAAATAGCTCTTCTCGTAGCGCTCAGCGAGCGCAGCGTCCGAGTCTTCCTCCGCGACAGACTGGATAGTCACCGGGAGACACTGCGTTTCGTACTGGTGGACAAGACGAGCGAATGTAGCACGATAAGCTTCGAGCCACGCTGGTGGAGGTTAGTCAATGCCCAGCAGGCTTACACCGTGAAAGTTAGTACATACCTTGGTATTGAGTCGGATCGGTGGGAATGGTATCGATCAGCTCCCTGCCCAGGCCTTCCGGATAACTGTCCCAGTGATTGTAGTACACAAAGTACCGACCACGATAACGGACGAACATCAGGCCTCTGGTGCCCATGATGATTCAACGGTTTGTGTAGATGGAATACATTAAGAATAGTTCAAGAAGAAGTGAAGAAGATGGGGAAGTTTTGATGTTGATGGTGGGTTGAAGTGGAAAAAAAGAGATGAGCGAGACAGAAGGTAGAAAGAAAGAAAGGAAGGAAGGAAGGAAGGAAGGAAGGAAGGAAGGAAGAAGGTGGGGAAAATGAGGGGAAGTAAACACAGGCTAAGTCGCGACTGGCTGCATTTCATCCCCCATATTCACTCGATGCAGTACTTGGAGCTTGAACTGCAACACGAGGCTGACAGTCTACGCACAGCTGGGACGTATGAGCATTCAGAAAATGAAAGAGAAAAGAAAAAAAAGCTCCAGCAATTGAAGGCTGACAGCACATGGGGGCCAAATGCGGAGAAGGAAGCCTTAGCGCGTGGTAGTTCGCTCCGAGACAAGCCTAGAACTTGCCACTGCATATCGCCTCACTCTAGAGGATCCACATCTATTTCTCCTCTCATTGACATCTTATATGCATGCATTCTACACGTATCTCAGAGTTTTACTAGCCTGCTCAATTTGATTATGAAGTGACAGTTCTATCATAGCCCGCCAATCTAGCTCCTACTACGAATCGCACCAGCATCCAATTATCAAATATCTCTCTCGGATTGTGAAAAGTCAAGAAGTCGTATTGACTACTTGTGAAAAGCCCAAACTCAGTTGTCTAGTCAAGTATAGTCATGACTGACAAACCCAGGTCAAAGCTTTACAGTATCAAGCCCAGAATCTCCCGCTGTCTCGATCGGTTACCAGGGTCATTGATCCTCTAGAACTCAAGAACATACTCATACTTCTAGCCAGTTTCCTCGACGTAGCTTTGTATGCTCCTTCTGCGCCCAGTCCTGCTTAGCCAGGAGCTGGTAGAGCTTGGAGCAAACCGCTTGGTGGGCCGACGTGAGGGACCCCCCATCGTGTGGGGGGACTGGGACCTTGACGTGCCTAGCGCTTGGAGCGGTGGTCTGGGGGTCGTGGTTCACCAAAGACTGGAGTCAGGTCTCGATCTCGTATGCCAGGACATTTAACAGACCTGGGACCGAGATATTGAGGTGCGATCGACCCAGAAGTCTAGGGCCCGGAGATCGCTATCTCTGTTCATGGCCAGGTAAGGCTTGACGCTCATGGTGTCAGATGTTGCCGGAGGGATTTATACTGACTGAATGCTGTCGGCTTTCCTGTAGTTTGACTTGTGATGTCGACTGTCTGGGTGTGGGGGTTGATGAGGCGTAAATATGCCACTTCCCTCTGACGGGTAAGCTTTGCTAGCATAGCAGGGGTTAAAAGGTATATTGCCTTGGATATTTCCATAAGTGACAGTCATTCATGTGGCCGGAGGAGTAGTATTGCCCCGGACCTCCGTTGAATATACACTGAATGGGTGGCCATACCGGTTCTTCGATACACGGAGACTTCAAATTCTTCCTCCGTCTGCAACCTATTGAGCTCCTTTAGTATGGATGGCTTTCTTCATTGAGCCAACTCTATCAATACCAGCTATTTAAGTGTCGGTTTCAAAAATCTTGCTATGAGCGGGCAAAAAAGCAAAAAACGACAACAGTCGGATTTGAACCGACGCCTCCGAAGAGAATAGATTTCTAGTCTATCGCCTTAGACCGCTCGGCCATATTGTCTTATCGCTGATAAGTAGTTCAAGGTAGACTATATATAGAAAACTGTGCCACAAGCAATAGATGCTATGCACATACAGATGATATGTCTAGCTAAGGTATGTTGCTGTTTTACTGTACTGGATCCAGAACCTATATTCTGGGTCCTGCATCAAGCATAATAACTCTCGCAGCCTAACAGTGCAGCACACTCACGATGCATCTGTCGACTACCCATGAGGAAGGTGGAACCTCAGCTGGTGTGGGATGGCCTGAAAGCAGCACAAACATACCCTGACGGCAGTTGCCAGAGCTTGCATGCAGTCGGAACATTGACCCCATGAGTTGGAGACAATCTTGTCCATCAATACTAGCTTCTCAGTCCATGGCTTGAGGTTGATTACACGTCCAGAGAACATCAGCCTGAAGAATTGTGGTAACATTCTTCGATGCTTGATTATATGGCATCACTATCACCTGCTATGTACCGTACACACAAACACTGCATGTGCCACAGCAACTACATCACGTACTTTTACACCGACCATGATTCGTTGGGACTAACCGCGCTGGAGTCTCTTTAACTAGCACATCACATTTCCATTGGGTTTGCGGCTAATCGGTGGAACTGCAGTCTGATGGCTAAGATGGGTGCTCAGGTGGCCATTCCTTAATGTACTGATGAGAAGGCCGAAGCACAAGCCCTGGTCTATCTGGATTCCTTATCCTTCCGTTCAACCTCTCCTTTAGAGGAGCCATGAAACTTCGAGCTGACCGGTCTTTCACCCGCTTCGTTGAGCATTATTTTCACTAGGGTTCCCTTCTATTTGGTTACCGGAATCTGTCGTCGGCAAGAGAGCACCCATTGAATTTGCCGGAAACCTCCAGCTCAATTTGACGACGACCAAGATATTAAACCCCTCAATCAGTCTTGCTATACAGGCACCCATCGCAGCAAGAACGCTCAGCAGATCTGCCTCAGTGATAGCCCTCTATCACCTGTGTCAAGCGTAGATCGGCCCCCAAAGGACTCCAGCCATGCTCTCCACCACTCCAGACATGCGCTCCTCTTTGGCTCCAATCGTGGCTGCGCTTATGTTGACCTTCCCCCCAAGCGAAGGCTACATCTACACCCGCACCTGGATGGTAAACCCCATGATGCCCGCCGACGACAGCGCGGTGCAGGACGAGGTCTTTCGCGTCGAAACCCCCCAGTCCGGCACCTTCTTCAGAGCCGTTGGGGGCTGTGACTCGACGCAGTCCTCCGGGCCAGACCCATGGCAGGAGCGCTATCGTCATCTGCGGTGGCACTTAACCCAACAGCGACTTGGGACCATGCGCACTGACTTCAAAGGTATCACGGTGGCCGGCAGCCAGTGCCGGATCTTCACCCTGGGCCGCGGAAAAAACGGTTATTCGTACTTACTCCGCGATGGCGTAGTCTGCAATGATCGCGTCCGACCATACCCTCAATATGATACCGTGAGCGATTTGCACAAGATATTGGCGGTCCTTGCGGAGTTCAAGCGCGAGTGCTGCCAGAATCCCGCGTGGATCCCGCCGCCTGAAGCGCACATTTGAAGGGCTTTTGGGCTGAATTCGAGGCGAGGCGCCTTACAGATCGTCTTTCTTGACCTTGCGTTGCTGGTAGAAATATATTACATACTATTCTTAGTAGTGGGTTGATGCCATCCTCTTGATAACAAACTTGCTCCATTTTATGCTCTAGCATGCATGGGAGAGCCTACTGACAGTGGGTCAAGTTTACGCCACATATGTCCTCTTCGGAGGGGGTGCAAACACTCTTCGTTCCTCGAATAATCACATCCGAAATGCTTCCTCCTCTGAATCATGTTCACAAAATGCTGTGGAATGTGCTCATCCCCCTTTGACTAGTTAAATGGCCAATTTTGTAGCCTCAACACGAGGATCAACCTGATCCCTCACAGACTATATTTACTAAAACACCCTCGCAACCTTCAATCAAGAATCAACACAGAACTACAATTCACCACCATCAGCAATCTTCAAAACGCACACCTACACATTGGAAAACAACAAGGTAACCCCAGCAAAGAAAACAGTTCAGCCCCCCAACCCCTCCAACTAATACACCTTATAAGCCCTCACCTGCCGCGGAGGCTGCACCCGATGATTCCCACCCCCGTTCCGGTACACAAGATTCCGACAGTCCTTGTCGCTGAACAGCTCAAAGGTATCGGCGAAGGTACTGCCCTTGAACTCCGCGCGGTCGACCTGCCGATTGCCGACGAGGAGGTCGTACGCCTTGCAGCCGGAGTTCAGGCGGCCGTTGGAGGTGATGTGGCCGCCGTCGATGAAGTGGATGGTGAGGGACCATGCAGTGGCGTGGCAGGCGAGGAGGGAGATGAGGATGGTGGAGAGAAGATGCATGGTTGGTTCTGGGTAAGATCTGTGGGGGGGATTGGGATTTGGGATGTGTATCGGGGAGGTGGTTGTTGACTTGAACTGTAGCTTGATGTACTTTGATGGTCGAGGAGTGAAGGAGGAACCAGAAGATGGAGGAAGAGGATCAGGAGGAAAAGGGTAGTGAGGACCGATTGCTGTTCTGACTGAGGGTTTGGTCCGTACGGGAGGGGGTTTACATATACTTCGGTTTCAGGCTCGGAGAATAAACAGTCATAGTGATACAGTCACACATTGCTCGCATCACAGGAGATGTATATCCGAGGATATCACAGTACAGTGGGTGGGCATTGGTGAGTTTCCGGAAAGGGTTCTCAACCTCGTATATTTGGGGATATTCCTCAGCATGCTCAGGTCCGGTTGCTCGAGGTTGATCGCAAAGGGTAAATGATGGAGCTTCGGTGATTGGCGGCTGGGGTTGGATGTCTTGGGCTCAGTTAGTGGGATGCTTGGGTTGATTGCGCTCTTCAATATCCGGAGCGAAGTTAGAGATCGTCCTACGCGTTACATCCGGGTAGATGAGAGGTTTGTCTTTTGATCAGCTAGAGTGATCAACTGAGTCATGGCCTGAGCATAGGAAGTCTGTACTGAAGATCCCGAAATCTGTCCAGTACAAAGGTTATTGCTCCGAAGTTGACAATGTTTCTTGCTGTACTATACTCCGGTCAAGATGACTTACACAGTCCGAGGCATGCTGACAATATTTTGTCAATCGCCCCGATCAACTTCTTAACTGTTACATGGTTGTATCACATACCACTCGTGAAATCGACTAGATCAGTTTCTAATGCCGAGGAAGAAGGCATTGTAGACGACACCAATCACGAGTTCCCTCTCGCGTACGAGTCACGCATGCTGGGCTTGATGGCTATTCATTGCGTGATCTCTGATTATATTCATAGAGACTGACATTCCAACACAAGCCTTGAGCTACAGTCCAGACGTGTACAGTACGTGCAGAATGACAGCCTTAGGGTTGTGTCCGCAGAGACGAGGCACCATCTTTCATCCAATCCTGCACAGTACCTATCAAACGCCATACTTGAATAAACCAGAGCTGTCAGAAAATGCCACCATCGTCGTGCGATTCCGCAAGAGGTTCGCCCAAGAGCCCCGGGTCGCTGTCTGGTTTACTGAGATCCACCAGCCCCACGGCCGGCAGCTTGCGGACCCAGGTCACAGACGTCACTGCGCACTCCATGACGGTGCATATCGACACGAACAGCGAGTTTAAGGACGCACGCGGGGCATGGCTGGCCTGGCCGACGGACTGCGATGGCCGCTTGATCCGGGCGGACAACAGCACATTCAGCTCGGGCCAGGGCGCGTCGGAGGCGCCATGGTACGGAGGCAGTTTTTCCAAAGACCCCAAGGTCTTCTGCGCGCTCAATGCCTACGACATCCCGGACAATCCCGGCTGGTTGCGTATGTATGCCCACCACGAGTGGGCCACTAAGGACAAGCTGCGCTGGCAAGCGGGTACCTGGGACGATACCTCATTTATTTCATTGGGTTTCTACTTCTTCTTGTCGTTGCTCGTGCTTTCCCTCATTCCAGACTCCGCGACCATGCCGTCAAATACTGCAATACCGAGCCTCTGCCCTGTTGGGGCCGCTTCCCATACAGAAGCTCGAACCCAATGGAGAATCATACGGGGCCCAGGCACCATGCTTCATACGCTGCCAATGATCACGCAGAATGACATACTCGTGTGCGGTGCGGGGGAACTGGTGTAACAACCCAGCTGTCTGATTCTCCGAGCCCCAAAACGAAGTATAAAACCCCTAGCATCCTCAGTCAGATCCACAGTCACAAAGTTTACTCATTATATCTAATAATTCTAGCCGAGAAAAAAACACAGAGTCGATTTGCACAGACGTGCAGCTCGAATGAAGTGAATTCTAAAAAGTCTGTATGATACATGAACACCGACGAGCAATCGGCAGTCCAGACTATAGTAATAATTACACGGATAAGAGGAATCGAGTCAAGGTCCACGAAGAGCCCAGCCTCACAGTTCCAGATGCGGGCAGAACTTCATCCCAGAAACACCCAGAGTCTCTAGTAGACAGGGACCTTGAAAGCGGGGAAGGTGTAGTAGAAGGTATCGGCACCCTCGGAATCGCTCTCGCAATGCCACTTGTTGTTCTTCCAGAGGGGACGCTTGGGGAACTGACAGAGCTGCTGGACCTCGCCATCGTACTGGCCGGCATCGACGGTGGCGTTCAATCCGGTGGGCTGAACACCGTTCTCGACCCACTTGATCATGGTGGCCATGTTGTCCTCAGGGAAGGGACCGTTGGGCTGGAGGGTGTTGCGCGCGCAGTGGGCGGCTCCGGGGACCAAGTACAGCTGGTACCATTCCTTGAGCTGCTCGATGGCCTTGGAGGAGCCGAGATCGGGGTACATGATCTTCATGACGGACTGCCAGTAGTGGACGGAGGAGGCGGTGGGGACACTCGGGTCGGATTCACCGTGGTAGTGGATGAGCTTGCCGCCCGACTGCTGGAAGGTGGTGAGATCGGGGAGGGTGGTCTGCAGGGTGTCCATGTACAGAACCATGGCCTGGTTCATCCAATCCACCAGGGTATCGTAGGTGACGTTGTTCAGGTTGTCGAGGTTGGAGACGTCGAGGAGTTCAATGAAGCGGCCGACGAATTCGCCACCGGTGGAGGGAATATCCAGACCCCACGACTGGGTGGTGTTGTCGTAGGTGGTTTCCGCGTCGGTGAATTCGGCGCCGATCCGGTAGGAGAGGTAGGCCCGCTCGCCCTTGGAGTTGAACAGTCCATCGTAGATGGCTTGGGCGACGGCGACACCTTCCGCGGTCACCGTCCCGTTCTGGGCCGGGGTAGTCGAGGTCTGCGTGCCGTCGTTCCGCTTGCCAAAGTTGAACCCAAGCGAGGTGCTGGTCTCCGCAGCGCAGTAGTAGGACTCGCCAATAATCGAGGTCAGGTTGAACTCCAACTGGCACAGATCCGAGCGGGAGATGACACCGTCGGTTCTGCCATCGAGAGGATCACAAGCGGTGATGGTCGCGTTGACAATCTTCTCCATCTCGCAGGTAGGGGGGAAGTAATCAAGCGTCTGCTCGACAACGCCGGAGAACAGGTGGTTTACCTGCTGCTGACCGTAGCGGAAAGCAGGGGCACCGATGACTGCACCGTCGTACAGGTCACCGTAGCGCTGGATCTGGCTCATACCTGGTTGATGATGAGGTTTAGCAATCGTGCCCACGAACGGCTGTCAAAGGGGGGCAAGCAATACTCACCCTGTCTGCCACCATCGGAGCAGCCCTCGAAGTAGGTGTACACCTTGGCCTCGTCTTCGAGACCGTAGAAAGCCCGGGTCAAGGGCTTACCGACCGTCGTCATCTCGCCCAAGCCCTTGTAGGCGAACATGAAGATGTTATCCCAGTGGATGGTGCCGTTACCGTAGAGGTTGACCTCGTCGACGGTGGTGCCTGACAAGGCGCCATAACCCGCATCAGTGCCAGCACCCACGGCTCCGTACTCCAATCCAGTCGTGACACTGGAGGTCAGACTGTAACCAAAGCCACCAGCGACATAGAACCGGTTGGCGAAATCCTCGGGGCTGGGGAAGCCGTAGTTCAGGATGACCTCGTCGGAGGTGCCGGTGTGAACATAGGAAACGGAGACGTTGCAGTACTCGTAGCCAGAGCTGGTGGCGGTCTTGGCCGTAACCGAGGAAGGAATCAAGTCGATTCCAAGCAGAGTCCCATTGGCAGGGAGGGCCGACTGGACGTGAGCGACCGTGCAAAGAGCGGCCAGCGAGGAAGAGTTGGTGGCGCGCGCCGTTGCTGCCAGAGCAACGGCGGCGGCGGCAGCACGCGAGTATTGACGCATAGTGAAGGAGTTCAATTGAGAGAAAGAAAGAAAAGGCTGGAAAGAACGACGGAACGAAAGTATGAATGATCAAGTCGATGGGGAAGTGGGCGATCAGAGACTATTGATATGGGGCTGTACTATATGCATAGAGTTGAGACGAACAGTGGCTGCCTGCGGAGATCGGGGATAGTTTCATGGTCCGACATGGCCAAGATGACGAACGGACGCGCGTCTTGGAACGAAAAAAATAAAATGACGGCCCACCTTCCAACCCCTGGTGCATATTAAGCTTCGTCAGATGTCGCAAGACAAGGGCTTAGACAAACATAGAAGCTTAAGTTAGAATCTTTTCCGGACCTTTGGATTGCCAGCACAAAGTACTGCAATCCACTGGACCAGCACAACGATCCTGTAGGACAATTGTTGTCGACTGTGGAAACGAATCGCTCGGATTAACCCCTCGAACTATAACTAAATTATGTCTAAGTTTAACCTTAAAACATAAAAATGGAGGCCTTGTAGGGGCTGTGTCCCACTAAGTGAATGTCGGATCCACTCGCCACCTGTAGGCGACAAAGACTTTTCCCGGATGACCCTCTCTGAGACCCAATAGCTTCCAGAAGGGGCGAGAGATCCGATCGAGCCTATCTTGGCTGACTGGATGCTTTTTAGGGTCGTGCTTGGCCCAACAGGATTCGTACCAGAAATTCAGGGACCGTAGGCTCTTCGGGCCGAATCCTGAGAAATCGACTCCGTAAACGGGATTGTGTGCAGAAATGGCCGAGCCCCACAGCCCTACCTGCAAGGTCCCGGTTATACCATCAGTCAGCTTCTTCGAGCGAGATGGTGGTACTAATTTTTACGATCTTCCTATTAACCGCTTTGTAAGCTGGCCATCTGAAATCCGGACGTCAGAACATCCATCATATTATGATTGGCTGGCGAGTGCACCGCAACTACGCAGATCATCTGGTCCGTATTTCCCTCCTAGGAAGAAGATTCTTGTTAAAGTTCATATAATCAGGAGATAAACTTCCATAACTTACAATTGGGCAGATTGAAGATAGCCACTAACAAATTCGAAGGAGGATAATCTAGGAGACTTGGAGTCACTTTGATGCTACGTGAAGGCGTCGTCAAGAGTATATCTTTCTGCCTCCGTGGTGTCTGTGAGTTGACCAATGTCTGGGTGCCGTTGAACTCCTGGCCAAATCAGCTACAAGTCGTTGAGATCCACTGATGGAAGCAGCTAGCGAAGGCTCAGCCCTTTTTAGCTATAATCTATAAATCTATAACAGTTATCTGGTATAACAGAGGAGAAAACTTAGAGAAGGAATATATCTTTTTAGAGAATTCTCCTATCAAGAAACCTACAATTATGTACATTTTATAGTATCGTAAATTCATCTCTTCAAGCCACAGGTCTATTCAGCTCTATATAAGAGATATATTGAAAGTAGAGCGTGCAATCATAACACAGTAAGACTAAAAGCAACTGGCTCAGCTACTTCGGATCTAGATTATCAGGCGAGAGAGGTTTGTCGAAGAATGAATCTGGAACACCACAGTCTTGTTCTTTGTTTTCCAGCGCCAAGTTATAATGGCAGCCCCGCATTAAGTCCTGCTGAAAAAACCCTGGAATGGTCTTTGTTCCACACAATGTGCATTATGAGGGTACTGTACCTTTGTACCTGATCCAGCCCAGCCGCGTCCGCAAACCCTAAGTGAACGAGCCCCTGCATGCATCTCTGGCCCCTCAAGGACGACTTCTTTCTAGCTTTTATGCTCCCAACGCCAACGCCATTCAAGTATCGTGCACAATGGGATACTCGTGAAGTGAAAGGCCTTATAGAACGGATTGAAAGGGAAAGTATGAGCGGCGGGAGTTTTAGCAAACACTCTCGCCATCGCTTGGTCTACCTCCTTTGACTCTATTTTTCTCCATTCGACCAAGTCGTTATCCTTGAATGTACTGTACGATGCGATATGCCTTTCACTACATATATGTACGCCTTTGACCATGCCGCTACAAACAAAGACCGGAGTCGATATAAAATGCCTCGCTCTTCCATCTTCTCCCCTCTCCAATCGAGGTCCAAGCATCCTTGCCACTTCGAGGACTCTTGCTTCCGACCTTATCCTCCTCCTAAACGACCTCTTCCTCAAACCGAAACGAACCCGCTAACACCATGGCGGATCAAGATACCTCGTCAGTCCCCTCCTCTGGATCCTCAAACCCCTTCTCCAAGTCCTCGAATCCATCCACCAACTCTTCCCAGCCCGAACGATCCACTGCATCCTGTGAAGAAGACTTTAGGTTCCTCAGCCTGGCCGACATCAAATCCGAACACCACGGTTTCCAAAACCGAGCCAAGTGGGGTAAGTCCATTCCTAATCCCCCCCATACCCCAACCACCACCCAGAAACCACCCGACTAACTGACTCGACCTAGAGACCTGTCACATCGCCTTCTGCGCCACCCCGAGCTTCCTGCGCCGCGGAGAACCCAACCAGGGCCTACGCAGCCGAATGAGCTGCCACGGCCACATCGCCCGCCACGGCACCCTCGAAACAGTATACATCGGCATCGGAATCAAATACAACGACGACCCCCTCGAAACCGAGCTGCTCTTTGTCTTCGACGTCCCCGACAGCACCACCGCGCGCACGATCGTCCACCAGTGCGTCGATGTCTACAAAAACCAAGACTGGCTGCAGTTTCTCGCCCTGCTGGAGCCCGTCCGCGAGCCGCTCTACGAGATGGTCCAGGGCGACTGCCGTCTGAATAACCTCGAGTCGGTCTTGCAGAACCAGCGGGTTGCGTTCCGCATCACGCCTGCAAAGGACCACCAGGAGGCGCATTTTGATCCAGACCCGACCTTCCTGGCCCGGTGCGGATACACTGGGAGCAGCTGGAGGCGGTCGTGGCGGATGTGCCGGTTTATGCCTTGGCGGAGGTGGATGCGTTCGAGGAGATTGCGCGGTACAAGGCGTACAAAGTGGTGATTGAGGGGGAGACGTACGTGTATAAGCTGGCGCAGAACACGGGGATGCTCCGTCGGGAGGTTGAGTTGTTGCGCACGATGCATGAGTTGCGTGAGAAGGAGGGGTGCAAGCTCCGCACGCCGGAGTTGGTAGGAATGATCGGGATGGACTCGGAGTACCCCGGGATTCTGACGACGTATATCCCCTCGCCGGTCTCGCTGAGCTATTTGGTTGAATGTGAGCCCCGGGTGAGCCGTGCGGAGCGGCAGAAGTGGTACAGCCAGATCTCCGAGACGGTGCGGAATCTGCATGAGAATGGGTACTGCTGGGGCGATGCTAAGCCTGATAATGTGGTCATCGATGCGGATCGCGAGGCGTGGGTGGTCGACTTTGATGGTGGGTATACTGCCGGTTGGGTCGATGAGGAGTTAGCGAATACTGTAGCGGGAGACTTGCAAGGGTTGGAGAGGATTCATTCTTACCTGAAATTGTGAGGTCGGCTGTGTACCTCCCTCCCTGTATATCCATCCATGGTGTGCTTGGAGTTGTATCTTCTGCACTGGTTTCGGTACCTGTGGAAAGGAAGGAAAAGACCTGAAATTTAGGAATAGGTTTAGAGATCGATCTCATCGTTAATCTAATGATTGTGAACAGGATAGTTCGAACTGGATACCAGAGGTCTGAATACTAGAGTTCAAGGACGGCTGCATCAGCATGATGCTAGCAAATTATTTATTCTAATTGGGAACCAGGTCGAGGCTAAGTACTGATAAAGGCCACCACGCGCGAGAGCCAACGAATAAAGCCCTAGTAGTGTAGAATGAGACGCTGAGACGGTGTTTAGCCGACACACGCGAGAAAAGCTCTCATACTGGAGTTGAGTAGAGCCTCCCTAAGGGTACCGAAGTCGGACCCACACTATAAGTATCGATCATACTAAGTAGGAGAATAGTCGCGAGCAGATTCGTCGTCATCCTTTTTGTTCTCTTCTTCGATGTAGTTTCTCAGGGGACATAAATAAAAGTCTCGCTCCATTCGTCCGCTATGCCACCTCAAATTTCCTCCACTCAACATACCGTTCCTTCCCCGACAAACCCTGCCTCAAAAACCGATCAAACTCCATCTGCGCATCGGGTTCTCCAGGCCGGAGTTTCAACCGGTAAGGCCATTTCTCAACGACAGTGTGTCGTTCTTTTATCTTGATTCCCAAAGCTTGCCCCGCTCCCGGGGATCGAAGCCATTTGAGGAAACTGCTTATTGACATCAATATCTGGCCTTTGTCGGCTCTGTCAGGTTCGGTCAGGTAGCTTGATGACTTACCATTGGAGAACTTGATCGTACGAGGCCACCAACTGCCGGGCGAGGCCGTGCTTGATCACATAGACATCATAGGGTGAATCGGGCACTGCGTTGGGCTGTAAGTGAGCGAGGATTCGCTCTCTAGATTGGCAGTTATGAATCAAATTGCGCACTTGGTCGTTCGCGTTCAATGTATCTGGAGATACCTTCTTGAATCGACTGATGAGCACGGCGTGCGGGTTTTGGGAAGGAGAGCGAAGCAAGGGCGCTATACGGCGCAAGAGGCGGTAGGTGCCTCTCCAGCTCATATCTGGGGTGTTGGAGATCTATTGAGAGGTAGTCAGCCTTGTGATGCCAGAGACGGTCCCCGCCTAGACAGGTCTGCGTGTGGGTCTGGCATGCTGTAGACTGAACTTACATCAATTCGGCTGAAAGAGTGATGACGTAGAAGCGAGCACAGTCGTGTGGAATCAAGATTGCAGATCTGAAAGGAGATCTGCGCACCGGCGGTTCGATCCAGAAAGGCACCAAGCAGTTCGCGAAGATGGAAATAGAGCTTGCCGTAGTAGTCGGCGGTGGCAGCTCCACTGGATGTATCTAGGACTTTTTCGAGAGACCAGCCTTGCATGGGGTCGGCATTATCGCTCATAGGCCATCTATCTGCGGACTGAAAGAATGTCCTACTCGGATGTCAGTTTCTGGAGAGTGCCAACTTGAAGGGGGGGGATGCTTTGCTTGCTAACGTACGGGTTCGGCTTCACAAATTCACGACGCGGATGGCCGAAAGGAAGCAGCAGGCCATCCTGCCGGAATCTGTGGAAGGCGATTCGTTCAGTCGGCGGAAGAAACATCATCTGTCGATGACGATAGTCTGTCCTTGATTCTGCAAGAGTAATGTCTGTGCCAAGCTTCTGTGCCTGCTCGGCAGTCAAACCAACCGGCGCGGTGCAGAGAGACAGCAGACGGAACCACGCCTCCCGCTCCAGAATAACCTTGAGGGAACGCGATCCAAAGGTCCATTTTTTAGAGCACAGGCTTCCGGCTGGTGTGTACTTGAGCAACCTGCAGATCCCTTCAACCAGAGGGTGGATGTGGTTGGTGAGGATCGAGATGTCTGACTCGCGCACCAGCGCCGAGTACCACAAATGGATAATGCAATCAATACTGTCTTCACGGTTTGGGAGTGACAGAGCAATCAGAAGCATGAGAGCATTGCGAGCCGCGATATCAAAGTCGATGTCATTCATGGTTATGTGGAGACTGCGGTTGTAACTGCTTGGGAGGCGAGCGACCGTTTGGATGACGTTGCGCAGGTCTCCTGAAGCTGGTGATAAGGACGTACATATCAGCTGAGCACCCATCGACGAAAGGATTTAGAACTGACCTTCGAATAACAGACTCAGATCCTTATCGTAGTTGTCACCCTCATTGGCTGGCAATTGCAGAATGTCCAATGCCGGCGTGCTACCCCAGAGGCTCTTCGTGCCTCCAAACACCCGAGTACGACTGCCCGCGAAAGCAGGGGTCCTCTTCTGGATGACCCAGTCTGGCTGCCATGTTCCCTTACCCAGGATCGATTTGCAGTCGTTCTTATGTCGAGGCCAGTGAGACCTCTGACATGCTCGGCCGCAGTACTAGAAGCTGGAAGTTTAACAAGTTTCGATCGGAGATGAGGTTCCTTACGGGCTCACTGACGTTGACAAGGAGGCAGTTTTTGCACGCATATTTGCCTTCTTTCTTGCATGTAGAGTACTCAGAGCCCCAGTTGGCACATATGAATTTAGACGTCATTTTCAGTGAGACGAGTCTCTGTTCTTTGAGGTTTTTAGGCTTCTGGAAATGAGATTGAATAACGATGGAGATGAAGTATTGGGGACTTGGATGGAATAATGGGTGGAAAGCTGGTGAAGGAGGGAAAATAAAGAAGAGAAAGATGACAAGAGAAACATGATTGTGAGATCTTTAATAGTAGAAAACTTCCTTGCTAGAAGTGAATATGGATTACGGATTTCAACCTCTATTCACAGTGTGAAGCTTCACTGACATCTGAAAGAGATATATTAGTAGTCACGCGATTCTTGCCATGTCAATAACGAGAGATGGTTTCGACCATGAAATTCATTCAATCCGTCATGGCTCGGATTACAACCTCTCTGAAAAAGAATACACGAACTATTTGGAACTGGTTGGCCTTCATCGCTGGAGTCTTTCTTTGACAGTCCTTCCTCTGGCTCGTCATAAGTTGTGACTGATACTCCGGGCGTCAAGATGGCGGGGTTTACATTATCTGTGGTCGGTATAAGTAGAGGGTTGTTCTCATTTTCTGGCCCCGGGTCGGGTAGGCAGCTCATTTCAATACTATGCCTGGAATCCATCAGACAGCTCACAGCATAGCTCACGCAACAATAGAATATAACCTCATCGCACTCTGTCCGATGTCCCCATTTCCAGCCACCGTTTTGTAGCTGCTGACAACAGGCGTTGCAGCTCCATGCCTGAGGCAGTAACATAAGCACTAAGTAAATAATTAACTGTAACTGAATCAGACTAGCGGCGGCCGACACCGGCCGCCAAAACCGACGCTTCCCCCTTACACGGTGGGATCTTGTGCAGTCAGCATCATCCACCATCTCACTCCGTTCAGTGTAGGCAAGATGTCGGGGACCAATACTGCCAAGGCGCCGAATGTATGCCTCGCTTGTAAGGCGCGCAAGCGACGCTGTGACAAGTCGCTGCCGCGCTGTCATTTCTGTGCCCAGTAAGCCTCCCTTCCTACGCCCCCGTCGGGTCCAGCGCCACTAAGATGCTGTATATTCCAGCCGTGACCGAGTCTGCCGGTATCAATACTCCACCTTCGACGGGCGTCAGCGCTCAGTCGGAGCCCCAGTACGCAGTTCACCCAGCCGCCGCTCTTCAAGCAGCTTTGGCACAAATGACGACGCATGTTCGGCTAGCAATTCGACCCGCAACGCGCACGGCCAGCCCGTTCCACCGATGTCTCGGGATCAAACCATCCAAGGTTCATTGTGCGTAGAGGCTCGGCGTCTTCTTGATATAACGGGACTGTATCTCGATGAGATTACCATCCGTTACTTCCAAGGGATTGGTACTTTCGTTCCCATGGTCGACCGGGCGCGGTTTCAAAGTCAACTATTGGCCTCTGAGCCCTATCCTCAGCCCGACTTTGCGTTGCTGCTGGCGTGCATGGGGCTAGTAATATCCTCAGATAAATTGCCTAGTCGACCTCGTCAAGACGAGACCTTCCTTGGCCAGGATATAACTCTCTATGCAGCCACCAAGGCCCTCATGGCCCACGTGCAAGCCCTCTGTCCACCTACAACCCGTCTTGTCCAGGCTGGTGTGCTGATCTCGGTCTATGAGTACGCCCATGGCTATCCAGATCGGGCTTTTGTGACGATTGGCACTTGTGCCCGTATGGCGTATGCGGCCGGGTTACGATCGGCACCTGCTCTGACAAGCCCCATGTCGTCTCAGACAGAATGGGACTCGGTAGAAGAAGAGATTAATACCTGGTGGACAATCTGCATATGTGATCGGTACGTGGATTTCCCTACCCAACTTGATTCTGTCTTCTACCGGACTTTGGCCTGCTAACTACGACATAGAACCTATCTCTGTGATGTGAAGGTTATGGATCAACCGCTCGGGTCCGTAATGCCCTCCGGTGGTAGTCGCCTACCGCTTGAGTACCAGGATTTTAGAGCTCTCGCCTGGATGGGCTCTATCGCTGGTGTTGCCGTCGAAGACCTCGATTCGCCCAAGGTGGGCAGCTTTGGGCGCGCCAGCCAAGCAGCATGGCTTTTGGATGATGTACTGCAGGGAATGTCCATGAAGGACCCTGATCGCAAACAGGCTCATCTGATTGAGTGTGATCGGAGATTACAAGAATTCCTGGCCACTTTGATGCAACAGTCTGGCGGCGATTCAAGAATGTTCTGTGTGTCAATCGCGCTGACATTTCGGTGGGTGCTCATTCCTGTCTGCCTTCTGTCCACTCAACTGAACGGAGTTTACCCTAACACGGAGCTTCACGCAGAACATTGTTCCTTCTCCATGAAACTCTTCTCGAGCTGAATGCACGAGAGCGTGCCAGTGACGACGGCCAGATCCGTATTTCACAGTCGGCGCTGGATACGGTCACCAAAATGGTTATCGACACTGCAGCAACCCACGAGCACGTCGCACTCACTGAGGTCGACCGCCTCCCTCCTAGCTTCATGTATGTCATTCGTGCGGCGTTGAAGCACATTCAACATTCCCAATCGACAACACCAGACCCGCAGCTTCTTGCCTCGCTCAAGCAGTTCGAAGCCCGATGGGGCGCGTCATCAGGTTCAATCTTGTCTACACGTGATGCACAGAATTGTGGGTTTATATTGTCAATTTAGGATTCTCCTATGATCTCTTCGTCCCCAAAAAGGTAACCAGAGGTTTATCAACCATCGTCTAGTCAACATTGACAATTGCGATCACGCCTCCTATTCTTCGCGACCGCTACACTAATAGGTCCCCGGCATGACAGACAATCTGCCCCCATCGGTGATCAAAATTGACCCATTCGAAAAGCCCCCCGCGCGACTCGCCAAATACAGAATCGCCCCCGCCATCTCCTCGTCTCCCCCAAACCTGCGCGCAGGGATGAACCGCTGATCATCCACGGCCTCCTCTTCCGGCTTGCGAGTCTGAACCAGCACTGAAGACAACTCCGAGGGGTAGACTAGGCCAGCGCGTCAGCACCACTGGCAATGAAGAAGATCGGTTAAGGAAAGAAAGACATACTCCCCGGCGCGAGCGCATTCACGCGTATCCCGAACCGCGCCAACTGCGTACTCGCATGCTTCGTCACCTGCATTATAGCAGCCTTGCTGGTCAAGTACGGCGGCGAGGAGCTAAAATGCCGGCTAAACGCCGAGATACTCGACGTGAAAATCACCTGGCTCTGAATGGAGGGTACATCGCTGCCTTCGCGGAAGGGCTTCCCGAACCCGCCCCGCAGGGCATTCTGCGTTCCTGCATCCAGCAGTTCGAGGAACGCTGTCATTGTCAAAAACGCCGCAGTCACATTCAAATTCAGCGTCTCGTTCATCCCCTCCATGTCAAAGTCGGTGAATAAGGTCTGCCGCAGCTCGGAAATGGAGGCAGCCGGGTTGAAGCGCGCGGCGGGGCCGATGGTGCCGGAGTTGGCGATGACGAGGTTGACATAGCCGACTTCGGATTTTATGCGGTCGACTGCGGCTTGCAGGTCGGCTTTGGAGGTCACGTCGGCTGGGTGCGGGATGACGGTGCCGGGGAACTCGGCGGCGGCGCGCTCGAGGACTTCCTGGCGGCGGCCGAGGATGTAGACTTTGTGAGCGCCGTTGGTGGCGAGGGCACGCGTCATGATGAGGCCGATTCCTGGGATGGTTAGATATGGCTAGCGAGTGTATGGGGATGAAGGGGTAGTCACCGCTGCCTCCGCCGGTGATGACGGCTACGATGCCGTCGACACGGAAGATGGTGCTGGCGTCGACTGCCGCTGTCATTTTGGTTCTATATGAGGTCGTTGGAGAGAGGATAATTGCGGAGTTGCTCAAGAATGCAGTGAATGTTTGATGTTGGAACTAGACCAGGAACCGGGAGTACTTATATATATGGCCATCGGAACACCATTGCGGCTTGAACAGCATGTTACTAGGTTCAGCATCACATGTTACAACAATTAAGCAACAGATAAGCAAAGGACGCTTACACACTTCGCGGAGGATTACCAATGCAAGGCTGAAAATCCAGGCTCTCCGCCCGGCGGCCGCCGCGGCGGCTGGGCGGCCGACGCTAACGCAAGCCCTAAGCAACGCCGGCGCAACGGTCTGACAGCCAATGGATCCTGCAACGTCAGCGCTGCTGTCTTAAGTTGATCCTTGCGAAAGAACTTAATAGTCAGTGTGCAGGCAAGTCAGATATCACCCCGCGCGCTAATGCATGCATCCAACCCCTCCCTCTTCATCCATGACCTCTGCACCTCCTCCTCGAAGTCTCCACTGGATAACCGATAATAAGTACCCGTCCTATACAAAGGATGCTCTCCTCCCATGCAAAAACAACAACAAAGCCGCCGCCCCATAAGACACACTTCCCGCTATACCTCCGCTCCGCGAACATCCGCACCCATTAATATCCATCCACCTTCCGCTTAGGGCTGTGGTAACCACGAGGCCGGCTTTAGGTCTGTTGGTGAGTCAATCCGCTTCTCGAACAATGCAGCTCTTGAACCTCTGTCGGAATACCTCAGCATGGTCGCTTACTCCAAGCTGGACTGCACTGCAGATTTTAAGTCACTTGATTATAGTCCCTCAACTTAAGCGGAACGCTTTCAACTGCCCAGCAGGGAACGGAACGCCGTAAGAACACCTCACACCGCGCTGCACTGCACCAAGCATCCCCCACGATACACATCCGAGCTGCGTTAGCACAGGATCGTGTCACACCGGAATCATTCCACTCAATTCCTTCTCCGCAAGAGTGCCCCTTCGAAGCAGATCATGGATTGCTACGCACCACCATCAGCAGCCCAGCCACATTAACCACATTCACCGCAAAATACATGCATGCATACATACATACATACGTACCTTCCGGCGGCGCCCCGACAGGCTCAGACGGGTTAACCTTGCGATATTGAATCGGCGTCTCGGGAATTTCAATCTAATCTCCCCCCTGATCAGCATCAGGACCGCACCCAAAAGCAAAGAAAAGCAAGGAAACATACTCCACACTCCGCAAAATCCGCAACCAACAACTCCGCCTTCTCCCGAATATTCGTCATCTGGGTGCGCAGATCCCTCGTCTGCAGGGGAATCACCATCAGCGACAACCGATACCGCTTCAACAGCGCCTTCGGATTATACCACCGCACCGCAGTCGCCGGGACGGTGAAGTTGTAGCGCACGAGCGTGTCGATGAACTCCATGTGCACGTAGGCCAGCAGCAGGCCGTGTGCGGCGCAGCGCGCGGACTGCCGCGAGGCGGTGATCAGCTTCCCGTCGGATTCGGCGCGGGCGGCGTATTCCTGCAGGAGGGTTTGGATGGTGGTGCGGTCGAGGCGGTTGGCGTGCAGGTTGGTGGCGATGGTGTGGACGATGGTGGCGAGGCTGGCGAGGAGGTCGATGGCTGTGCGGGTGGTTGGGGAGGAGGTGGTCATTTTGATGGTAGTGTTTGGTGCATTGCTGGGTTGTTGTTGTTGTGGTGTAGTAGTTGGAAGTGATTATATTGTTCCTTTTGCAGGAGGTGGTGTTACATGATGAATGACGACACGAGGGGCAGGGAACCAAGGGTTTCGTTGTCAGTAAACTGAGGGTGGCATTCTTGCGCAGGGTCAGGTGATATCAATACGATCGTGTTTCATTGTCTGGAGGGCTCGGGAGCTAAAAGTATATACAGTATCCACGGTGGAACCGAGATATGATGGTGGAGTGGCACACGGAGCAGTGATGTGCTGGTGATCAGAGTAGTTGTCTGGGTTATTTAAGATGCATTATTTAGCGGCTATGTGATCTGGTCCTTGCAGATACAGATAAAAATATTTACTGGAAGCCACTGTGACAGGGGTGCGGTTGCAGTGCAGATGGTGAGGCGATACTATAAACTTGAAGTAAAAAGTAAAGATGTGCATCATCCGTGAATCGAACACGGGCCTCATCGATGGCAACGATGAATTCTACCACTAGACCAATGATGCTAGTTTTTGTTAGTTCTTCTTTAAGCAATAATATAGAGCAATAACTAATTTACCATACCTCAAGCTTTCCTACACCAATAACAGACAGCAAATATACCAATGCAGCGAAGCTCGACCGGGGAAAGATCTTCCCAGGTTCAACGGCTACTTATCGGTTCCTGACTTCAAAGCTACCAGACAATATTCACGTCCTGCACTCGGTAAAATGGTCTAGACAAGAATCACCACCCTCCGTGCATATCTGACAAGATACGCGACTGGATCGGCCAAACAGCCGGCGGGGGAATCCGATCCAAAGCCCCCATCAATCGAATTGCGGTCTGAAACCAAAGAAATCTATTGCTGCTGATGCAAGTATGCAAGTCATCACGGAGGAGAATAATATACACAAGATGAGTGATAAGGAAAAAATATGCTAAATGAGAGAATATTATGTAAAAGACGGCGGACGGCGGACGGCGGCGATCCGTCCCACCTGCCAAGTCGAAGACGGGGTACAAAAGACATTAAAGATTCCCAAAACACCCGGTCGGGTTTGGCACGGTATGTTTCGGATGCAGTGGCTCGCAAGAAGAGATGTATGATGTATCGAGGGAGATTGTATGCATGGTAGTCGAGTCACGAAAGAATGGCGATCGTGGGTGGCTCACAGCCGTTGGCCGGGGCCGTCGTCAGGGGCGCAGCAGGAATCGAGACAGCCACAGCAGCGACAGCAGAAGCAGCATCTAATGTGTAGATCATGGAGTTAGTTTCTTACAATGCAAGTAATGCATGCAAGAAGTGTTGCAGGCTGGTACTTACCCGTCCTCAGCACTGTCACCACCGCGGAGTCGCAATTCCATCTCTTCGCCGATAATCTGCCCCCCGCCCCCCCGGCGCGAATTAGTGTCCTGCACGATTGATCCCCGCCGTCATCCTACATACCGGTTGATCGGTGACAATGGCGTCTGTGGTGGGAGCCAGCGGGCTCTTGGGTTGGGTCATGGTCAAGGTCATGGGATCCCATTGGGTTTCCTGCACAACCCCGGCGTAAGAAGGGCGGAACCAGCTCAGAACTCCCTCGAAGATCATCGTGTCAGTGCGTGAAATCCGAACAGACAGTGGTGGTAGACGCCTCGATGGCCGCAAACGAAGGACTGGAGGTGAAAAAGCGAGTGGATTGAAGATAAGAAGGAGAGAATGAAGTGGGATGGGAGAAAATGGAAGAAGGGGTACGAGAGCAGTTCAAATAACTAGATCGACGCTATGCCAAACACTAGAACGAATTTTAATGCCTCCGCTCGTGGACTGGAGTCCCGGCGGATGCCTTGATGGTCATAGTATAATTAGTACAATTTCCTCCTCCCCCTCCTGGACAGGAGCTTCGTGAAAAGGTTAGTTAGCTGGGTTTCCGGACCAGTCTACACCATCGCCTGCACTAACAAGCCCGCCCCGTGGTACGTAACGGGCGGAGTCGCGCTTCGCGGCTCATCTTTAACTTCTTCCGCCGTTCGTGCCGGGTTTACGTGGACTGCATCTCCGTGAAGAAGCCGGGCGCCTTGCTGGCAGCGCCGGGGGTGGCTTGGGCGATGGTGGAGTTCAGGCGGATAGTTCAGGATTCTCAGGTTTTCTACTTTGGTCGGATTCAAGCTGTGGGAGACAAGACACTAGTCAACTTATTAATAATGAAGGGAGATGATCCAATTAAGCTCAAGCTGATTGGATCGGTGGCAGCCGAGTGAAGGAGGAAATTCCCAGAGACGAACTCAAGATCATCTATGATCTGAGACTGAGACTCCTGCACGGAACCTCCGAGAGATGATCCTCAGCCACGGAATGGCCAACCGACAGATGTCAGACGGAGGGAAAAAGGTTGGTGGCAGGAAGCCGAGCCGTGAAAGGAAAAAAAGTCGAAAGGTTCGATACCCCTGGAAGGAGAACCACCCGAAGCGACGGTCTAGTCGACCGATCAAATGAAGCTATCCACTTTTCTCCACTTGGGATCCACCTCCACCAGCCAATTCCTCCTTTGAGACGCGTTGTGCCAACCCACCTAATCCTTTGATGATTCGCTGGGATGAACGCTTCAATTGAATCAACGGTTGGATAGTCTGCCCTGCTAGAGTTATAGTCTGCAGCCTGTTGTAATGGCGTCGAGTTGCGCGCGTCTCCGTGGGTGGCGCCGTCATAATCAGGGCTATTGCCCTGACCTCCGTGTTTCATCTCACTCTACTTCGGGTTGGTCATCCTCTTTCGCAAGAGAGATTGTCGCGTTTTGGTTCCTATAGGCCAACAAGGTACTTTATTCTCAGCCATGGTTCTAACTGATTAGATTCCAAAGTAGCTCAGGGGCGGATCATCTCTGCCAAACCAATCAAGCCTTGAACCGCGGGTCCGGATCGACTGGCACCAGCAGTCAAGCTTTTTGAGGCACCTGCTGGACATTCATGGATGCCTAAATGAAACCCACTTGGCTATGCTTAAATGGCTCGAGTCGCATATTGATAGCGTCTATCATATATGAAACCTAATGATCAGCATGACCAGCCACTTTGTCATTGATACTTCTAACTGCACCTTCACAACCAGAATGGAACCAGACTGTCTAGGATCAATACTGGGAATTTGGTTTCGATCAAATGATTTGAACAAGGTCCCAAGTTCATTGGCAGGCCTCCTGTGAATAAGGATAGTGTCCCTTCCCGCCCTATCGGGGACTCATGCGTTCTCGTCTCGCACACCCCAGATCAAGTCTCCCTCCATGCTACCAGCGCCACCGGCAACCAGTTATAAACAATCCCTTCCCTCACATACGCGGCAGACAAGCGACCAAGCGCCACCATCTGCTCATTCACCGAATGTACCAGCTGTTCCGACCGAGTAGTCCTTTTGATCCCCCGGAGAATCTCCATCAGCGCAGCGAGGTAGGTCCTCGTGCAGAGCTGCGCCAGGGGTCCCTCGAAGGGATCCCTGTGCAACGCAACCATGTGGAAATGATGCTTTTGGAGTCGGTGGGGCAGATTTGCAACCCAACTGGAAACCAGGAGATGCGTGGGGGATTAACGTCAATCTCTTGTACAGTCCATTTCAACGTATTCACGGTAGTTATTGACAGACATACCTGTAATCTAGACCCGCTTGCTGGAATATCTCACGCGTGTGTTCTTCAAACTCTTGGGCTCGAGACCCCTGCACGGTTTGATGGATTAGATCGGCATCTTCCCATTGGATGTAGCCTCCGGGTTCTGCCAGAGCATAAGTACCTAGGTACTTAGTAGGTAGTCATGACTCGGTTCGGGCGACCTTGTACTGACTCAAAAGCTTCTGCACATGGCGCATCAATGCTGCTGTGTCATTTTCTCGGATATTGCTTGCCCACATGCGGAGGTGGACCACGTCGTACTGCCCGTGGATTGAGATCGGTGGTTCAAGGAGGCAGTCCAGGAGGCATAAGGAGACGTTGCTGGGTCAGAGGGTCTTCGGTGGGAACTGCCTGTCTGAGATGTCAAAGCCGTGGAGCTGCGCGGTGGGTGGTAACTGTCGAGCTACGTCGAATAACCAGACGCTTGGTACGGCATGTCGCATTGTCAGCGATATTTCGTCGAGTTGTGCTTCTAGAGACAGACAACAGAGAGAGCGAAATAAATCAAGGCGAAGAGGCCTACCCCGTTCCTGTGCCTAGATCCGCAATCTTCATATCATCGGTCACAGAGATCGCCGGGTGAAGCTCGTAGGAAGTATGCAGCTTCCAGAGGAGATGTTGGGCATCCAGTCTGGGCTCACCGTCAAGCAGGAGATGTATTAGATGCGATGAACCGAAGATGGCGTGCCGAGAAGTTACCGACCTGACAGAGTCCATCAACTCGCGTCCTAGGACGTAATCATCATCCCGACTCATGGTCCTGTATGATGCACGGGGGAGGGAGTTGAGTGGTAGTACTGAATCAATCCAACGAAAAGCGTGTGAGAGAAAAAAATAGAAGTGACTACAGCGTTACCAAGCAAATAATTAAGAGAGTCTCGAGTTCAGATGCTGTGGTGAGCAGGTACAGTGGAGTGGGAGATTTAATCCCGATACATAAGCAAGACATTCACATCAGTAAGGTTGCGTTCGGCTTGAATAGGCTCACGACTCCTGTCGAGCTTGCTCCAAAGTTCCAGTCCCCGGCTGCGAATATGCCTTGTTGTCGAAAGTATCTGGCTCGCTCATTCACCGCTTGAGGGATAGCTTGAGGGCACCTCGGGGCCGAAGAAGCAACGCAATGCTGACACTCTTTGTACTCTTCTTCATGTCATCTGACAGAATACCCAGACCTGAATATGGCTAATTATGCTTCAGTGATGCTGGATTTTCTTATTAAGTTCGCTTGTACTACCTAGGACGTCCCCCGAGTTCATGCTGCTCAATCTTCGAACGTATGAGCAATACGTGTGTCCAAAGGGGTCCATCTATTGCTTCAGCTGGTTGTCCTTCTATCCTAAACTTCTTGTCTACCATCTTATCTGATCTTGATTGACCTCGCGACGAACAGCCCAATCCAGCGAGGCGTGACAAATTACCTAGTTGGGAAGCCGGCTCGAGCCGGGATCCTCGCTTTTGGGATCGATTATAGCCACGTGACTATTATCTTTGAAACCCGACCAATCATCATCTCTTCAGGATAGGGCCGACTTTCAGGAGAATTTCCTCTCACAGCCAATTCCCCTCGACTTTCTGCCAATCACGCCAATCACTTGCCTTTCCGAGCTTCAGAGCTTTTCAAATAGACCAAACAAGCAATGCAAATGTTTCACAGTGGCTCACAATGACCTCAAATTGGACCCCAACTGCAGAGTCTTTGCCATGGAACCCTCTTGCCGCGCCGCCTCAGCGGGTTCTGCCCGAGCAGTCAAATGAAGACTCCATCGCATGTCTGGGTCAACTCGAAGCCACTGGAGTCAGACTCTTCCTCCCTAGCTCCCACCCGCCAGGATGAGACATCTGAAGGAAGAATATGAGCTGGGGTACCAGAAAATGGACGAGACTGGGCAGGAGCCCGCGCGGAAAAGACCCTTGTCGACCATGCTGCTGCAGCCGCGGACCGTGGGTCCCTGGGGAGCCGGCTGGATGTTCGAGATCCTGAGCTGTGGGATTGCCATCGGCGCCCTGGTGGCCATCATCGTCGTCCTCCACACGTATGATGGCCAACCCATGCCGGATTGGCCCCATGGCATCACCCTCAACGCGCTGGTCTCCTTGCTGGTAACGGTGATGAAGGCGGCCATGGTGTATCCGATCACGGAGGGTCTCTCGCAGCTGAAATGGTCGTGGTTCAACCGGCGGAACAGATTGAATGACTTGGTGCTGCTGGACGCGGCCAGTCGCGGGGCTGTCAATGCCGTCTTGGTTCTCTTCCGCTTCCTACCGCGGTGAGTATGTCTCACCCCCAACGCCGTGAGAACGTAATCTCATCCTGTGACAGCCATCTGGTGACCATCGGATGCTTCATCCTCGTGGTGGCGGCAGCCATTGCCCCCTTTGTGCAGCAGGTCATCAGCATCACCTCGCAGCCCATCCACGCGCCAGCCCAGTCCTCCATCCGGGTCTGCAACACGAGCGCCTACCTCGACTACGGCGAAGGGGCCGGTCCCGGCATGAACAAGGTGCCCCTTTCCACGGCGGGGGCAATTTACACGGGCCTTTTCCAGCGCGTGAGCCGCAACAGCCATGCATTGACCATGACCTGCCCGACGGGCAACTGCACCTTCACCCCGTACCAGTCGCTCGGGCTGTGTCAGCGCTGCGCCAACATCACAGACGAGCTCACCCGCACCAAGCCGACCAGCACGATGAGCCCCTACCACTACAATCTGACCAATGGGTTCAGCTTCACCACCTCCCGGAGCGGGATGTACTTGATGAACGCGACGACCGGGCTGGACCTGGTGCGGCTCGACGCCTCCGCCCTGCCCCCACTGATCTTGAATTTCACCGCGATCAGCGCCGCAGGCTACGGGGTGCCGCCGACCATCTCCGCGACCGAATGCGCCCTGTACTTCTGCGTTAAGACCTACGAGGCCTCCGTCCAGAACGGCGAGTACACCGAGAATCTCGTTTCGACAGCCACCACCTCCAACACCTCCACCTCCTCCGCCTCCATCACCACCGACCTCACCCTCTTCCCCTCCCCCTGCACCGCCGACCAAACCCATCAATGCACCTACAGCGTCAGCTGGCTCAGCCGCCTCGCTCTCGCCAACTCCCTGACCCCGCTGCTCACAGGCAGTGGCTCCCTCTTCGTCAGCAACCGCCCCTCCTGGACCTCCGACACCATCGAAGCCGTGTACGGGGTGCAGGGGAATTTCCGTGACGTGGCGGGGGTATTCGCGTCGCTGGCGAGCGCGCTGACGACGCACGCGCGCACCGAGGTCTGCGCGGCGGTGGTGCATGGCACCACCTGGACGGTCGACTCGTTCGTGCAGGTGCAGTGGCCGTGGCTGGCGCTGCCGATCGCGCTGGTGGCGCTGACGCTGGGGTTCCTGGCGGCGACCGTCGTGCGCACCCGCAACCAGTATATCTGGAAGTCGTCGCCGCTGGCGCTTCTGTTCTCGGAGGTGAGTCTCGAGGCGCCGCATCAGATGCAGAGGAGTCCGGATTTGAGTCATATGGTGGCGGCGTCGAGGAAGATGGAGGTGTTGTTGGAGACTTCGGGGGAGGGGGCGAGGTTGCGGGCTGTGGTGCGGTAGTTGATTTTGAGGAGTTGAGGCTGGTATTTGTGAGTAGACATGATAGTAGTCAACTAGTTAATGTTTAATGATTATACCACCCGTCGGGATGCGGATGGAGGGAGGTTGGGAGGAGAAGACCCTTGCATAGCATCAGGCCACCCCGCAATGACTCCTGCAGTGAAACCCTACTTACTCAGCGCTCGCATATTGCATTGACGGGGGTACGGAGGACTGCGGTAGGACTATTATTAGCAGTAAACTCCGGGGTCCTGGCATGGCCACGAATCAGAGTATCGATTCACTGCCCGCGCCGAAGCTATTCCCAGCCAAGCTCCAGCCTCCCACCACAATCGGCTACTCCTGCCGCCAGGATAAGTGAGTGGGTGTTCTGCTAGCTGCAGGATGCACGGTACGGTGGTATTGCGATGAAGGCAGCGTGCGGGGCTGGATTTCCTGTTCAAATGCTGTGAGCATATATCATCCACGCCCCCCACCCCCCATTCACTGCACAACCTATCATCCCATCAACCTGTCAAGTTACCGCCCACCTCAACCTCAACCACAGCGACACACCCACCAAAATGCACCCCCCAATCCTCCCCTTCATGATGCTCATCCCCCTGATCCTCCCCCTCGTCACCAGCACGAGCACCAACTCCAGCACCCCCCTCCTCCCCACCCCCCCCATGGGCTTCAACAACTGGTCGCGCTTCATGTGCGACCTCAACGAAACGCTCTTCACCACCACGGCGACCGCCATGCGCACCACCGGGCTGCAAGCCGCGGGGTACAACCGCCTGAACCTGGACGACTGCTGGATGGCGACCTCCCGCCTACCCAACGCCACCCTAACGTGGAACACGACCAAGTTCCCGCACGGCATCCCGTGGCTGGCCGCACAGCTGGACTCGCAGGGGTTCTTGCTTGGGATCTACGCCGACGCCGGCAACCAGACCTGCGGGGGGTTTCCGGGGTCGTCGGGACACGAAGCGCTGGATGCATCCACATTCCAGTCCTGGGGGGTGAAGTATCTGAAGCTGGATGGGTGTAACGTCGACCCCGCAACGGAAGAGACATATCGCCATCGCTACGGGCTCTGGCATTCGATTCTCGCCGCCGAACCACCCAACTCGACGATGGTCTTCTCCGAGTCGGCGCCCGCGTATTTCGCCGGGACGGACAATAACACCGACTGGTACCGGGTGATGGACTGGGTGCCGCAGTACGGACAGCTCGCCCGCCACTCCACGGATATCCTCGTGTATGTCGGTGCGGGCTCTGCGTGGGCGAGTATCATGAATAATTACGATTATAATGTGTTGCTGGCGCGGTACCAGCGGCCTGGATATTTCAATGACCCCGACTTTCTGATCCCGGATCATAGCGGGTTGACCTTGACGGAAAAGAAGAGCCATTTTGCCCTGTGGGCGGTCATGGGGGCGCCGCTGATTATTAGTGCGTGGATCCCTGGGTTGGACGCGGAGGTGGTGGAGATGTTGACGAACCCCCGGTTGATTGCCGTCGATCAGGATGCGTTGGGGTTGCAGGCGACGCTTGCGAGTCGCGGGGTGAGTGCGGGGGTGGATGTGTTGACGCGGTCGCTGCAGGGGGGGGAGCGAGTGGTTGCGGTGCTGAATCGCGGGAATGGGACGGTGAAAGTGGAGGTCGGGGTCGAGAGGTTGGGGTTGGATGCGAATGCAACGTGTGAGGTGCAGGCGGAGGATCTGTGGGATGGGAGGAGGGTCGAGATGGTGCAGGGGGGCAAATTGGTGGTGGAGGGGTTGGCGGCGCATGCGACGGGGGTCTGGAGGTTGACGCTATCCCCGGGCTGTGCCCCCGTCGTGCCCACCGGAATTGTGTTTAACACCGCCTCGGGGAGGTGTTTGACCGCCCGTGACTCGCGGGTGGTGTTCGAGACGTGCGAGGCCCTCGATGCCCAGGTCTGGCAGGTCACCGCACAGGGGTCGCTACGCCCGTTGTCCGATACGGCGCGGTGCTTGACGGCTGCTTCCGGGGGAAGCTTGGGGGCTTGTCGCGGGGATGAGGATCAGAAATGGTCGTATGCTATCACCGGGAATCTGAAGAATGCAAAGACGGGAGAGTGCCTGACCGAGGGGGTGGAGTTGGTAAGTGATTGTTTGCTGGAGGCGAATAGCCAGGTCTTTGGCTTGCCCAGTGGAGTTGCCCTGGTTTGATAGAGATTCTGCAGGAATTAGTCTGGTATATAGGTGGGACGTCCATCGTGAGAGATCATGCGAGTGAAGAGCAGGTAATGGTTAGAACATCCGGGAAGGTGTCTGTAGAAATGCTTGTTGTTCCCTTGATGGAGCTCCAAGTCCAACACGAGCCAGACATGTCACATTCAGATTCACCACAGTCTGTGCATCGTGATTGGCGGACTCGTAGGTGGTATGTATATCAGAGAGTACTATACCTTAAGGTAGTTTAAGGTGGATGGGGCGGCTCAACAGTGCCCAGATTCACCGAAGCCTGACTGCCAGGTACGGCAGCGGATCGTGTTTCCAGCCGTCAACTCGACCGTTCAATCTAGGCGGAGAGCTCCATGATGCATTCAAGAGTTATTGGTTTGTTTGTGGTGTGGTTACCACCGACAAGTGATCTGGTTGGAATAACCTATGCTTGCGCACCGCCCGGTTCACCGCTCACACACACGTCTCAGTAATTCAGTGAATCCAGTGAATCATGCACATTCCGGCGGGGTGTCCCCAGAGGAACAATAATCCCAGGGTTCATCCACTCTGATCTGACTGCGGCTCGAGGCTGTGTCTGATCGCATCCTGATATCAAAGAACGGGGGCGGAAGAAGCTATCGTGGGTCTTTCCCCGCTTAGGCCAAGGAAGCATGCACCCTAATGTACCCATAGGAAGCTGGGCATTTTTGCCCACCGGCTTCGTATTCCAAACCATATTCTGTGCCAGGTGCATCACAAATTCAACACACCGTATATGAAACTGAATAAAAGTGCTAGTACAACAGGCTCAGGCTACAGCAACCGGCTTAAAAGTGGCTGATGGGTTCCTTCGGGGCGAGGCTGACGGATATTACAGTAGTCTGGGCATGAAATCCCTGCCACCACTGCCAATCACCGCATGACACGAAGGCTATGCTATGCAGGCCACGACTTTAAGGTCGTCGGCTCGTGATCCATCCGTGATACTATAAATAAAGTCCCTGGAAGCTGCGTTGCTGACGGTGGGGCTGACAGTTGCTGTTCCTGCGAAAAATAACCTTCTGTCGCAACCGTTGCACTTGCATTTCCACAACACTCACACTGCTGCATCGGAAAGTCGCAAACATGACCACCTGCAAAAGCGGCTCCTCGACGGACTGCAACTTCACCTGTCCCTACGGGGGATCATGGTTTGTGTGCGACACAGCGCCGTACTTTGTGGGATGCTGTGCGTCGGACCCGTGCAACAACACCACATCTCCCGCCTGCCCTACTAGTAGTCTCCACGCCGCCTCCTTCAACCACCAGCTCTACGACGAGATCCTCCCCAACCGCTGCATCGACAATTCCAGTTCCGACTGGTACACGTGCAACGACACCTCCCCGACCTTTGTGGGGTGCTGCAAGAACAACCCGTGCGGCGACGGGTGTGCCGAGGACGACCTCCTCCCGGCTGCCTGGAGCTCTTCATCGGCCGGCCAGCTCAAACTGTTCCAAGACAACGCCAGCGCGACAACCACCGCCTCCTCGTCCGCAACCCACACAGACTCCTCCAGCAGCTCCTCCAGTCACTCCAGTCTCTCCGCCGGCGCCATCGCCGGCATCGCCATCGGAGCTGCCGCCCTCGTCGCATTCATCGTATTAGCCTTCTTCTTCTTCCTGCGCCGGCGCCGTCGACAAGAAGCCTCCGCCGCTGAGGCGGAGCGACAGCGCATGTACCCCGGAGAGTACGGAAGCCATCACAATCCTTCCTCGCCGTATCAGGGTGCGGTCCCCCAAAGAAGACTCAGAAATGTCCCCTCCTGCAGCTAGATGCTGACACAAAGGTAGATTCACCCATGGGCAGCCCCGACCCAGCCGTCAAATACCCCTCCGGCTTGACAGTGGGGTACACCATGTCCTCGGCCCCGTCGCATCGCGGGTCCGACGCCCACCGCCCCATCTCCGAGATCTACTCGCCCAACGACGAGCTGCGTGCGCAGCAGGGCCTTAATATCTTCGGGCTGTCCGCCGCGCCGAAGGGGCCGGTCATCCCCGAGCTGGAGAGTACACTTTCGCGGACATCGGAGATCCATGAGCTAGATGGGCTGAATCCACGGTAGGGAATGCTGAAGATCCAGTCTCGTTTGTGTCTTGATGAGAGTGCACTGTTGTGATTAGCGATGCGCCGCGTGTGCTTTGGGCAGGGAAGGGGGGAGTGTGTCATGAGTGATGGGGAGCTCATGTTCAATGAGTCTGTTGTACTTTTGCGTTATCTTTTCATGATCGGCAGGGCCATTGACCGTGACAGAACGGCCTGGAAGAATTTAATATGAGCTAGTGTACATAATGTGGCGAAAAATCTAGAGAACATGCATAGATCTGATCTTTGTGTTTAAGGGGTGCTGTCGGTTAGGCAAGGGGTGGTGGGTTTTATGGAATGGTGGATCTTCCTGCTGAAGAGCAGCATCGGAGATAATCAGCCAAGCAGGAAGATTAGTTCGCTGAGATAGGCTGCTTGACTTCACGATCTTTCGTTTCAAACTTGCACATGTTTAGGCTTCGTAGTTGTCTCTGACTGCGAATGCAGGGCTTGCCAGCCGGCAAGATATTGGTTAATTATCACCGCAGGAGTATAGGGCCTGATGGCTACATCTCAAATAGGTCAGCATATTGTCGCGGTCCGAATCCCGAGGCAGACAGTTGGATGGAGGTCTTCTCTTCTCAGTCACAGCTATAGACTCTGATAGGTAGACTCATTCAAGTAAGAATGGGCTAGATGCACCCACACGATTAGCACAACAGTGATGTACATAGCTCGAATGCTTACCTTGATCGGAAAATACTCAAAAGATCTTTACTGATTTACTTGCTCTAACGTGCTCGACAAGCGAGCGGATGTGATATCTCAATTTCCTTCAGCAAAGAAGAGAACGGATTCAATGATTTCAGTATGCACTATTTAGATGGCTGGAAATACCTCGTTTTGAAGACGCGATGGACCTGCTCGTGAAGCGAGTTTTGTCTAGCTTTGTTTTCTTCTGCTTTTTTTCACCCCCCCTGGTGCGAAGGCAGAATATACGAGTTTGTCTAACTGTTTACTATAGTCAAGAGCATATAAGTAAAAACTCAATCATTGATGTCCCATACTCGAAGCTGTAAGGGTGTAAAGAGTACATGGCAGCTAAAGGCACAAGGCTGTAGTTTGACCCGTAAAATACTACGTCCATCAGGGCCAGATATATGGGAAATCGATGTAGCAGAGCCACTTGATGCAATGGTTTGATATTAGTTCCAGAACATCCTTTCACAATATTTAGTGACACGGGATGCTTAAATAAAAATATGGCTACTATCTTGATATCTCTCAAGCATTAAGATAGTGCACTCGTGGAAAGAGGGCATCCACAAGGCGTAGTACCTGAATGAATAGATACTTGACTAGTTGAATAGGACGAGGAACAATCTGAATTTATTGCTTGAGCTCGTAGACTTCAATTTGTCACTTTGTCAGGGTGCACCGAAATTTACGTAGTTCAGTCTTGCTTCTAATGCGGTTCACCAAGTTCATGCCACAGCACCCTACCTTGAGAACAAAGCCCCTCAGCTACTACCGCTTGCAAACGATATTCATTCTGGAAGGCACTTCAGCCAATTGCTTTCTGAACTGATACGGTGTCTCCAAGCTGAATAGTGGTTAAAGAGTCATATGAGATGCCTTCACCCAATTCACGAATTGAGCTGTAATTGGAATCCAAATACAGAGATTCTTACGGAAACATCTGAGAAGATGATGGGGATACTTGCTTGAAGATTCGGGCTGTAGATGGTGAATCTGAATATCTACTATAGTAGTACAGTACAGTCGAGTCAGTAAGGGAGAAGCAAGGGGTGTTTCATCGCGTGGAGTGGGCCCTGCCGACGAACCTTGAGGATCAATTCGCCCTGCATACCAACCATTCTTTCAACGGCGACTAGTAAACGATTTGTTTTCTCATTGGTGACTAGCTTCTCCTCAGACCCTGGTTACACTGTACAATGCATTCTTTAAGGTTAAGCAGTAACCACCCCATTCCAAAAAATGCAGCCCGTATAACAAGACGCTGTCCCCTTGACCATGTGCGAAAAACTTTCTTTGTGCTCACTACGCCTTGCACAAGTGTCAGAGATCTAGGTGCGATCTAGGTTTCAGAATATACTTCGGTTGAAACTCAACAACGTTGACTATGGTGTACTGGCTCTCTTTACTGGCCGTGGCTTCGACAGCCCTAGCCAAGACGTCGACTACGACTTCCTTTCAGATCTGCAACACCGAGTATACGTCGACTTCTGCGAACTCTATCCGAACAGTCAATAATCTTTCGACTGCCACAAGGTGGGAATCAAGAATCCTTTCGCGATGCGTGGCTTAGGCTAACTCGCATCAATTCCCAGTGTTGCCGTCCTGACCACCACATCAACCCCCACCGTAACATCAACCGCTGCGGCAAAGACCATCACCGCAGTGGTGACTGACATAGTGTCGAAGACGACGATTCTCGATCAGAGCACAAGCACATACTCAACCACTATCTCGTCCACCATAACCGTGACTGTTCAAGAGATCGTCACGGATACTGAGACTGTCACCTACGATACTACTGTCAGTATTAAGTCCAGACCACTGCGCTACCTTGGAGACCCCCATTCTAACAAAAGGTATAGGTCACCGTCACACCAACATCTACCGTCCCCGCACCAGCCGGATTGACTCCTGCAGCTGCACTTAGCCAATCCTCCGCCACTGGCAAAGGGATCAAGCAGACTGCCCTTGCAAAAGCAGAAGCATCCACACCGCAAGCCGTCACCATTCATGCTGCGCAGTCCAGTGCGGTGGTGGAAACCGAGCCCAGCTACGCCTATGTTGTGACCTGCGTGGGCCTGGTCGAGATCGTCTCCACCAGCACCGTGAACAAGCCTGCCACCAAGACGTCAACGGTCGTTGTGACGCCTGCAGCCAAAACAACCACATCAACCACTCACGTAACCTCAAGTAAGGCCTCCCTCTTCGGCGTCGAATGAACAATGCTGATGTGCGTCTAGCTATCACCCTCGTCCCTGTCCCCGCATCCACCACCATCACCTTCACTACACAAATCATCGAATCCACTGCTGTGGTAACCACCACCACAACGACCGAGGTAAGACATCTGCCAGTACAGCACAAACGATGCGACTAACGAGTAACAGACAGTGACAGATACCGCAACCGTCCAAGCCCCCTTGCAAACCGAATACGCCGCCTGCGGCATCGACAATCAGATCAGCACCGTGAACGGCCGCAGTATCACCGAGGTCATCCTCACCGGAACCTACGAGACCACATCCGCATCGTCCCCCTACGACTGCTGCGTGTCTTGTCTCAACCATAACAGCCCGTGCGCTGGGTACCTGTCCGCGGAGGGCGCCGGATGCTATCTCCTGCTGCCGAGTAGCTCTAACTCCACTTGCGATCCCTCGAATAGAGACACTGCGTCGGTGGATCTAGGACAGGGTCAGGGTGGGTTCACGGTGGGGAATTCTATGTGTGGGTCTTTTGGGGTTAGGGAGATTTCTTAGCGCGACTGCATTGCTGGAGTGGAAGGGGGGGGGGATACACAGTAGATTCGCGGTTGATTGGGAGATGATTGTGAGGATGTGTTACAATCACTTCTGGGCGACAAACGCCGTCATGTATTCAAAAGCCAGCAGACCGAGTCAGACTCGGCTTCCACTCGTTTACCTGAGCCCACGCAAAGCGCAGTGGCATCTGACTCCGACGATCTTGTTGATCGTGATACATCCTCCGTAATCGCCGAGATACAATCTCAGTGGATCCAATAGGGGCAGATGTCTAACTCGGCGCAATATGGCCCAACACCTCCCCGTAGAAAAGAATAAAGTTTGAATTTAAATCCAGCTTGTGACATCGGAAGCCGGAGTAAGCCCTCGATTTGATGGAGTGGGAGACATCCCCCCATCGTTCAGCTGGTGCGGTTAAATCACAAAATGGGTTAGTTATGACAACCGCCCGAGTCATCGGCAACCCTCTGCTCCAAGCGAATCTGCAATTATTGATCGGCGATCTAATCGTGGGCCTCACTTGCTGATCCGGAGTTTGTTCTTCAGTCGGAGTAGCCCCATCGCATTGATGCTATCTTGCGGAAAGTATAGTATCCTGTTTTGTACAATTACAGTGGTGTATGTAGGTGTATCATTCGTTCCTCGAACACACTTCCTTGACTTCATCTTCTCCCACACAGACTTGATACCTCTTAAAACCCATTCTTAGCCGGCAGCGAATGTCGCGATCCCGAGGGAGCGCCTAGAGGGTTTTCTCGTTGCTTTTTTCCGTCTACATTCAGCTGTGATCTCGCCGCTACACCCTTATTTGAGGACTGAAGGCTTCACCGCACTTAGGGTTGTATTTGCGAAAAACCTACTTTGAAGTATACGTGGTTGCCCGCATCGACATCACCCTACAAATATATCTTGCGCCATGTGTTGGGAGTAGCCGTGATGAGAACTCACGATCCTCAGCTCTGTTGATCGGTTCTCAGAGCATGTTCGCTTACTGGTATTTAGGTCAGGCGTATTTCAGAGGATCATCGTTCAAAAAGCATTTTAGGAAGGCGATCAGTGATTGTATCTTGACGATGATGACTCCACAATTTGTATGACACCGACATGAAGGGAAGTTTGAGAAGATAGGGATGAAACAAACCACTGAGAGGCATTGAATGAAAGAGTGAAGGATAGTACAGCACTGCAGTCGCAAGAGGTAGTGGCCGGATCTGTGCCTGAGGCATTCATGCTCAGGGGGGTATCGTGCATCAGCAAAGCCGTGACAGACATCGATCACAGAAATGTCTGCTTTGAACGTCGACACTAATACTAGACGGGAAATCAGGCATAAAGCCATTAGTTATCATACACCGAAGGATTTATCCACATTATACAGTTATACAGTCAAATCATGATGACGTATGGGACTTGAAGCCTCAGATTACGTCAGAATTAAAACTATCATGAACGATTGTATACGGAGTATACTGACACGTTCCTTTCCAGTCTCCTTCACACCATCATCAAGTCCGACAAAGGACAGCACCAGCGTAATCACCATGTCTCGTCGCACGACTGTCCCTGAACTGCCTCGCCAGCCCGTCTCACTACGGAGCTGCATCATCTACGGCTGCGGAGCGGGCCTGCTCGGTGTCGCTGCGTAAGACTAACAAATGCCTTCCAGTTTTCGACACCACTAAGAGCCTGACTGACTTCGGCAGAATGACGGTTGGCGAGAAAATTGAGCAATATTTCACCGGCCGACCCAACTCCTATGTTCCAGGCCACACTCTGGAGCGGCTTTTGTCGCTCCCCGCTCGGCCGGATTCCGAGCGCTTCGGACTGAACATGGCAATGCACTACGGCCAGGGAGCCGCTGCGGCCATCATCAGAGCGCTTATGAGCGCAAATGGCATTCGTGGGCCTTTTGCGGATTTCATGTTCATTTCGATACGGCTGCTGATTGACCAGACTTTGGAAAATGTGACTGGGGTCGGCGCGCTGCCATGGTGGGTTGGACCGTAATCGACTCATGAACAAGGAATTATATTGCTAACCGGGAACAGGACATGGCCGGTGAATGAGCAGATCATCGATATCCTTCACAAGGGAGTCTTCGCCGTGGTGACTGGATACTTCACGGATAGGTGGCTTCAGGGGCAGGTTACTGTGGGTAAGGCGGGTGCCTGACCGGGCTCATCAGCTCGACAAGCAATTTAATCATATAGTAATCACAAAGTACAAGTCAAGTAGATCAGGTTCACTCCAGTCTCCTTCTTTATTGTAGTTATGTGGCCGGTCGTGGATGGTTACAGCTCTTACATTCAGTAGAGCGAACATGATAGTGACATTCCAACAATAATCGGAGGGTCTAGAAGACACTAAACACAGACAATCCACCAGCTAAAGTACCAATAAAGAAGCTGTCCCTGTGCGCCGAACCCGCCGGTGAGGGGCGTGCGAAATGGCATCGGACGGTCGCCATTAGGCAAGTGAGGGTGACTGATGCATGACCTGGGCATGGGCTTGATGAGGGTTAATTCTCACTTTCTCCAAGACAGTAAGTAGATCTATAGCAGGGTCTCAATTGGGTGGGAATGCAATGCTTGGCATCCTGGATGCGAAAACGAGCTTCCCGCTAGGGTTAAGCGTCTTGCCACATCTGTTGAACCGTTTGGTACGAGCACATCAGGATCGCGCAGTCATTGCAGATATGAAGGCAACTCGCATTCGTGTCTAATCTGTGTAGCGAAACATGTAATTTGAGCTATTCAAGGGAGTCGAGACCTGCCCGGGATGGTCTTCTCACATATTCAGGCCGTTGAAGGGCATTGAGTATTTTATTCTAGATAACCCTTCACACCAACATCTCTATTTCTCTCTCTATTTCTGCTATAATTCTTCCTCCCCATGATGAATCTTACCTATTCACCCTCGACAATTTCAACCCCCACCGTTACATCTCGTTCCAGGAATACGCTGATTCCCTGAACACCGCGGATCCGGACTTGTGTGCGTTCCGTCAGGCTGGCGGGAAACTTATCACTTATCATGGCATGGTCTGTTTTTTTTTTTTTTGGTTGCTTCTTGTATGCAATTCAACTCACAACGCACAGGCCGATGCAAGTATCAGATATAGGATTCTACTACAATGCCGTGCGCGAGCAGTTCCCAGATGTGCAGACCTTCTACCGCTTCTTCGAAGCCCCCGGATTAGGGCATTGCGCGGGCGGCCCCGGCGGGCAGCCCCACCACCGCCAATGCGCACCGCGCTGGGAGCAGCAAGCAAGCGCAGTACCCCCACCCCCGCCCTGCTCGAACCCCTCAAGCCCAACTTGCTCAACCGGCCACTGGATAAACGGTCGATACTCTGCCTCGAGTCTCTGATAAATGCCGCGGACAATATGCCGCGACCAGCCCCGGATACACCAGACCCCATCCAACTGGTGCAAAAGCCCTGCGAAAAACGCGAACAGAATCAGAGAGACCGGGACTCCATCCCGCAGATCCCGCACTAGATCATCTGGCAATTGATACAGCCACGCAAATATCAGCGGAAAGAGACCCATGCCGTGACTCTTCTCCTGAAGTGCATGAAGACAGTAATGCAGGTGGTTTACCATCCGGTGGTAGCTGGCAGAGCGGGGATCTGAGTCGAGCACCTTGAGGGAGACAAGCTGGCGGAGGGTGTTGAGATGGTGTTCGTAGTTCCCCACACCTGTCGAGTCCGTGTCTGGGTTCCTCAGGTGGCTGGTAGCCTCCGACGGATAGTCATCCTCGCCCGATATCGCAAAGACTTCCGTCGGAATATCATTCTGACAAAGCTCCAGGATCGACCGAACGCCCAGAAACAGGCCTAAATACCCCGCTGCCCCGTCGTCCTGGAAGGCCAGGTACTCGCCCGGCTGGGGACCCTTGGCCAGCGAGGCCAGAAAAATGAAGACGGTGGAGGCGTACATCGCCGGCGCGATCTCGGGGCTGAGTTGCGGGATTAGGGCTGTGACCTCCTGCACGGCGAGCTGGAGGTGCCGGTCGGCTTCACTGAAGAAGTCCCTTGCGGTGCCCATGTAGTGGGTCCATCGCCCGCCAGGAGAAGTGCGCACTAGATGGAAGCCGGAAAAGGCGAGCAGGAGGCGCAGGACGAAATGGTGGATGAAGCCGAGTCGGCAGAGCTGTTCCTGCGCGCGAGGCTGCACGGCGGTGAGGTCCTTGGAGGTGAGGAAGTGGTGGAAGAGCGCCATGTCGGTGGCGGTGAATTCGAAGGGCCGCTTGGCGAGTTCTCGGGGGGGTTGGGCGATGCTGTGAGACTGCTGGATTGAGGCCCGCGAAGGGCCGTGTGTTCGAATGGGTGGCTTGAAGTTGGTTGGCGTCGAGGTGTAGTATGTGTACTCGCCCTCGGCTCGATCTGATGTCGATGAGGTTGTCGAGGGGCTGCCTTCGGTCGGTGGACTGGAGAGATCTCGGGGCTGCGAGCTGTAATCGCAGCCAATGGCGTGGCGGATGCAATTGGTGCAGTGTGGCTTGATCTCGTCACACTGGAGCGAGCTTAGTGGCGATAGAAGTAACGTAGACAATGCATTGCTACTGACCTTGATCCTGCGCCGCTTACAGTTGCGACACCCGAGGCGAGACTTGCGGTGGGTTTTGCGAGCGAGCTTTTGCGTGTATGGCGTAATCGTTGGAGCCATGTTGGAGCCTACCGATGTCTCTAAACGTGCAGATAAAGGGCGATGATGATAATGAAAAGTTGTGATTCAGTTGGGCTGCAGCCCTACAGTATAGCCTTGAGGTCAGGGGTCGGCAGCCCGTGGGAATCGGGACCAGCCGATGCTGCAAGCCTTGGTTTCAGGGTTCCAGGGTGCTGCCCTAAAACTCCCTCGCTGCTTCATTCGTGGATCCGCTTTCTTCTCCACAACCTTAGTGTTTGCTGGGTTTCATGGTCCAGTTGATGGCATTTCCAGGAATACAAGTGGTTGTTAAAAGTGCGCCTTCCACCGACTTGTTTTATTCTCTGTTACAATTTCTATCAGGGGTGAGTATCTCCTGGAGTCTGTAGAACCCTATTGACTTAATCTCTTTCGTTCTGCTTGGTTCTTTCGTTTTGACACTATTTTTCTTTTCCTTTTCTGTTTGTTGGTAACAATTCCAAGAGAGCTTCAGTCGCAAAATATCAATCACACCTTGTAGAAAGACATAATAACCACTTCCCAGGCCAACCAACTCTTACGCTCTGAGCCGAAACTCTGTGGGTGATGCCTGATACAGTGTTCGAGAATACTTCCTTCAACTTTTCTGCGCTCATTTATCATTTATTCCTCGTATGCTAGTGTTTTGATGCATTATGCGGCATTCCACGAGAAGCTTGTCCAATTTATAATGTATCATATCCGGCTTTCTGGGCCTAGCTTCTATGTGTAATCTGACCCCACTACTGAAGCTCGCATGTTCAGATCCATCAAGATTGCTAATTATCTAGGTTAGAGGTGGGACCTTTCTCAATCAGTGAAGACTAGCAACGCTAGCGGTCACTCTCTCTCACGAGCGTCTACTCTGTAGGCATATAAATATAAGCTGACCACCGACCAAAGCTCTGCACTGCCTGCACAGTTCTCCTTGATTAACGCTTTCTTTCGATATAGATACGCAACATGAATTTCTTCAGCTGGCTCTTCCCTTCTTCTGACACCACCTCTCCCCCGCGCACCCAGGAGCATACCTGGGATCCGAAGACCGTGACCATGCAGCAGCCTGTGTCTCCGCAGACCCTTCCTGCCGAGGTTCCAGTATGTAAACTGTGCTTCAGACGAATGGGAGATTGAAGCTCCTGAGGCTGACTTTCAGGCAGACGACCGCGGCTGAATCAGGAGAACTCAGCATGCGCGGTGGCGGTGAAGCCGGGAATGTCTGCTGTGGCGTGTAAGTTGGGGCTTCTACATGTCTAGTACACACATTCATGGATAGAGCGCTGATAGATGCAGATGTTGCGGACTTCTTTGTTTCGAGTGTTGTTGTGGTGGTGAGGAGTAGAGGCTGGTTGATGTTGACTTTCCCTATTCTGGTATCATGTTATTTAATTCAATTCCTGTAATATGATACATATTTCATAAGACCATCGAAGTATAATTCATGATCTTATCAGTATCTACACGACCGATGCAGTCGTGACGTGCGGAGGTTGTAGGCGTGATTCTTGAGCTTCCACGCGTATTGCCAGGGGTCAATCTAAATTGCTTATGCTTACAGGTCAGTCAGGGGTGAACAGAAAGCCTTCTGACTATCCAGCAATGCTGGAAGCATGTTCTCGAACTCGATAGTCTCCTGTGTACGGAGTAACTGATGGGTATATCTTAGTCGACGGCAATTGACCCACCCGGTACTTGGTGACCCACGTTCTTAGGTTAGGAGTTCGTAGCACGCCTTTCTGTTTACGGACACGAATGCGAATCGCCTTATGAGGATTAGTGTCGCTTGCCCGATGAGGCGAATCCCCACTGCACCGTTGAAGCTTGTCCTTGCTGCCTATTTCTGGAATCTACGTTAAACTGGATGAGTAGACAATCACTTAAAAAGAGTTTCTTACGAATGAATCCCTGGTCAATTTTTCATCCAATGAATGATAGTGGTAAAGGGGTCAGAATCCCAGTTTGCCAGTGGCTTGAAGACAACGTTGTCGCTGATGCCGAGCTTATTGAACACATTAATCTATGCTATACAAGATGAACTAGGGCTAGGGATATTTCTGTAAGAGATTTGATAATGCGTTGGGACAAATCTATGGCTGATTGCCCTGTCTCCGTAGGACTCTGTTTCTGACAAAGATATTACCCAATGTATAAGCGCTATTTCTTCTTTTGTTGTGGTGGAAGGAGGGTTATTCTCTCTCGTGTAGGACAGTGTCATCAAAGACTGCACAAATGCAAGTGGAGATGAAACCGCAATAGATTATGCAGAGGCAGGAAGTAGGTAATCCAATTCAGGCACAGAGTCAGCTAAGTCTACACACGAAAAGAGACTCCGTGACAGTCGCCGTCTTCTGGCATCTGTAGCCACTGACTTGTAAAGCATTTCTAGTCACAATTGGCTGTGAAACCAGGCGCAGAGTTTCCTTGCCAGGGTTGAAGCTCATCTGAGGTTATTCTAGAAGCCGGCAAACCCCCCTCCAGCCTCCCCAACTCCACGCCCTCCTGCCTATCATCCTCCTCTCCCAAAACCCAAACCACCTCCCCTCCTGCGTCCACCCCCTCCCAAAACCGATACCGTCGCTTCCCCTCCCCCACCTCCTCCCCCTCCATCCTTGCCAACCTCCCTACTCCCTCCACACCACCCACCCACGGAATCAACGACCCGATCGCCTTGGGAATCCGCGGCGCATCATACCGCCCGAAATAACATGAGAAGACCGCCACCAGCGCCAGGGCGTCCACCGATAGAATCACGATGATAACCACGATCGTCGTCGTGGAGGGCATGAAGCCCCACATGGTCCAGGTAGTTGTGCCGGGTATTTGGACCGTGGGACCGCTTAGGAAGAGGTGTGGGCGGTGCAGGGTAAGGTAGTTTGCGAAGAGTTGGAGGTAGAGGGTTTGGATGGCCTTGGTCAGATGATTGATGGGTTCTTGGCTGGTGGGTTGGTGGTGGGTTGGGTCTGGATTTGAGAGGCTTGGGGGGCTGTCTTGGGGTTCTTTCTGGTTGTTCTGGAGGGTGGTTTGATAGATCTTGCTGGTTTGGTGGTTGGGAAAGGAGGCGAGGTAGTATGGGAGTGGGTCCGGGTGGGTGGAGAGGTTGTGGATGAAGGTGCCCAGGTTCTGGTTGAATGTCGCTAGCACGGTGGAGAGATTGGCGTGAAAGAAGAAGACGTCGGTGGTGCGAGGGGCGTCGTGGGCGACGGGGGTGGCCTGCTGGATGGAGCCATCGGGGCTGACTTGGATTTCGAAGAACCCCGTGGTCAGCTGTGGGATGCATTGGAGGGTGGTGGTCTGGTTGTCCGGTAGATGGGAGGAGACAAAGAAGCTGAGTCTCTCGCAGTCGGGGCTGTCGGGCCAGGTATATTGTATTGTGGGGGGTTGCGTGGCGTCGAGAGCGACAGGAGGTAGTTGGACGTTGCACTCGAGGCCTGTCTGGGTTGATGGATGGTATGTCCAGTTCGACCTGCCGCTATAGGGAACCTCCTCGCACGAGAGTGTGGTGCCAATGCCACGCATTCTCGCCGTATAGAAGACGCCGACAGCCTCCCCGCCCACATCAATATCAAACGGTTGGAATGAAAAGTCGTCGGTGGTCCATGGCAAGCTCGATGGATACCGCGTCAAGGGTTGAACACTGCGGTCATACGCTACGAAGTCTGGCTCCAGTCCGAGCAAGACCGAATCAGTGTACGAGGTGTTCAAACTCGAGGCAGCGAGGACATTGGTAATGTGTGGTTCATACAGACCACCAGTAGCCACGACCAGAATCAGATTCAAAACGCCAATCAGGGACAACCCAAAGATGGCGAGCGAGGGTCGGGGCCCAGATCGCCCCGTCACAACGAGGGTTCTCCAAGGACCATAAACCGGGGCGCATAGTGGTCCCGAGGAGACCCACCCCCGCCGTAATTGAATCCAAGGCTTGGCCACACTCAAGTGGCGATGGAGAGAGTTGAAGAGGGATCGCACCGTCGAGGCAAGCATAGTCGGACCGTACTGCAAGAACGCGGCCGCGAAGAGGAATTTTTTCGTGAACATCTCCTCAATCGTGCGAACTTGGATCCATTTATATGTGAGTCCAAAGGCGCTGGTGACTCCCATCAGCAAGACACATTCCGCTGCAAACCATGGCAGAGTCAGAAAATGCGGCATGGGATCCCGGCGTCTGGATGTAACAGGAGGGGGAGCTATCTTTGCCGGAGAACCATTCGTCGCGCATATTTCAATTCGTCGACCGTGAGAGTCGGTAGTCCACCTACACCAGAGCCCCTTGGCCCACTGCCGAAGTTTACGCGTTGGGGCGACGTGGTAGCTGGGTTGGGATAGAGTATGAAGCGTGTCTGGACCGACGATGCGAAGAAGAAGTTCGCACTGGGCCGCAATGGTGCTAGGATCCCGCTTGAGAAGATTGAGTCGCCGAGGATATATGAAGCTCAAGGCGAGGACCAGGGCGGAAGCGGAGAACATGATGGTTTCTGCGATGGCAGCCGCTCGAGGGACCACGGCGATGGTTAATGAGTAATTGGTGAGGATCGCATCAACCTCAACCATATTCTCCGGTTGATCAAAAAGCATATTGAGTGCCGTCGTGAATTGATGATTCCATATGCTGCGAAGAGCATCCTGATAATCCGTCAGGTTTTGAGCCTGCGTCTCGTCCACGACGCCAACCCTTCCGTTGTTGAAGGCACCCGTGGGACTGTATTCCGAGGACAACAGTTTCTGAAATCCGTGGCTGCTGAACTCACTCTCACTCAAGTTCCTAGTCGTAGATGGGATGACCTCGACATCGACAGAGTATAAGTTGTCCGCCAGAATCACATGAGCCGCTGCCTCCTTGTACACGGGTTGGCACGCGAACACGGTGAAATTCGAATGCATCGTTGTATTCGTTGTCTTCATCTCAGCTAAGATCCCAAGCAGACCAGTAGACGGACAGCCGGTAGCGTTAAAGGCGGACTGAGCCACTGGCACTCCATGGGGTACAGGCTCCCAATGACGCAGCTGGGAACTTTGTTGGCCGAGCGTGACGGTGTCCAGAGCGACGCTAATCTCGCAGGGCGTCGATCCGATTCCCGGCAACGTGACATTGAAGAGGGTCCACGACAAATTTCGGTCGTGCATTGATTCTCCGGTCACAGAATTATTGGTGTCGGGAATCACGTCAATGGCAGTGGTGTTCACGCAACTGATCTCAGACCAGTATACCGACTGATTCAAGCTTAAGGTCGCAAGACCATCACTGAAGTTGGCCGAAACCAACAGCGGAGCCACGGCATATCCTGCGACGCCTGGGCTTCCATTTCTCTTGCTCTGATCGTGCAGAGGGTTCCGGTGAGCAGCTTCAAGGGAAAACCAATTATTCTGAGTGTCGAGATCCACCAGATGTGGCCAGGTTCCTAGGGATCTTGTCTCCACCACAATTAGAGGCGACAAAACCAGAAGACCCGATAGCAATGACGCCACAAGGAGGTGCATCGCCAGAGACATTGTCGAAACACATAGCACGATCCAGTGTCGGTGTCGAGCGGCACGCATGGGGACGAGGATGGCAGCATCGAAGCTGTAGTTGATGAAGAGCACACTGGCCGGCGCACCCTTGGGGTGGGCTAGCTGGAAGTACGGTTCCAGGCGTAGTACGTCGTAGGCGAAGACTTCCCACAAGACTACGGCGACCAGGCCGATGGCAGTGGGGGTGTCGGTCCACGCTCGCCATGTGGCTGCTGAGAGGTCTTCTCTCTGTCTATACTGGACGATACCATTGTTGCGAAGGGAATATTGGCGGAGGACCTCGACACCGATGGCAATCAGAAGCAATACAATCGACAAAATAAGCAGGAAGGGTTGGCGTAAAGTACGTGGTAGCCAGTTATTTTGGGCTTCAGCATCATTTACCTCACCATCTGAGGATTCGCAGCGGACAAATTGCATGAGGTGTGGGGGGAGGAAGCGGGGGAGGGCCTCGAAATGGTCCGTCCATGACAGCTTTGGTGCTAAAGGGCCAAGTTCATCTCGACGTGGAAAGTGAGCTTAAGGTAATCTGATGCTAGTTAGTCAATCAATGTGTCCAAAAGATTGAAGAGATTTTTGGGAAGGGTTGAAGATGGATGCCTAGAAAGTCCGAGTGGAGACAACAGCGGAAAAGGGAAAAGGGGGGGGGTCTGTCTGCCACTGGATGAGGCAAAGTTAGGGCTTGGCAGGCCATGCGAGACCCGGATTGCTGCTTCAGGCCTCAGACTCCGCTGATATCGCCGAGGATCTTCCGCCACTCGTCTAATTCACTTCGGCTCTTGTCGATACCTTCCTCTAGAACATCTCTCTCGAATGAGAACCTTGTCCCCCGGCGAAACTGGTGGTTGGAAGCTCTTGTGGGGAACAGATTGTTAACCCCTCTATGTGCAAGACCCAAGTTCTTCCGTTAAGAATACAAAGCCATTGCTCTCAACCACAAGACAGCCGACCTACAAACGAACTTTAAAAAAAAACACAAAAGATTCTCTTTCCACAATCATCCTACCACAGCCTCACCGAGCAACTATACAAAGCCCCTCCTCGACCAACTTTAGTCTCCCTCGTCACGATCAATCACCCATTGTACTGAGCTACAACTTCAAACATCGAAGTTCTTGCTCTCTAACACCAACCCCAAAGTAACTCAACCAACCCATCATGCATCTTCACATCGAAGCCGTCCTCCTAGGAGGGTTCCTCCTAGGCGCCTCCACTCCTCTTCCCCACTAAAGACACTGCCGTCCCCAGCATCAACACCACCCTAGACCTCCCTGACATTTCCCACCTCAGCATCGCCGAGCGAGGCAACAAAGACAAGAAGATCGAGGTCGTCTGCCACGACCACATCTTCATCCGCCAGAACGTCAAGGACGCCATCAGGAATAAATGCATGAATTAGGCAGAAAAGAACATCGTCTTACACCACATAACAGCAAGCCTTTTGGGTTGTCTTTTTATAGAAACTCATTTCACATCGCCAACATGCTCTCAACAACAACTGGATGAGACTTTCGATGCAGGCGTACTTCGAGGGGAGCCCCGGGGCGCAGTTGACCTTCCCAGAACAGAAAGGATGTCAATGCATAGGAGAATTACCAGCCTCAGGACGTCACGAAGGTGCGCGGCCTGCCTCTTCTGTGATTGGGGGTGGATAGGCCAAGGCTACTCGTGACCATGGAACCATACCCGGCGAATGGCTCTGTAATGGGAGATAATTCTACAACGGGTCTATACTAGTTGTTCTTCTTCGAGTTGTTCCCGTTTAGCCCCACATGTACCACATGTGGCATCGAGACAGCCAAAAAAAGAAAAAGTAATGGGGCAAGCCGGGCTTGAACCGGCCACCTCCAGATCTTCAGTCTGACGCGCTCCCAGATGCGCCATTGCCCCGTTTCTTGTTTATGTCAGCTATTCATTGCAACTTGATTCCAGAATAACATCAGCCCTGCTGGAAATCACACACCGGAATGCCAACATGTTTGTCTACTTGTCTATATTATCATTGATTTCTGATTTACGGGTAGCAAGTATTGTCAACCGCTTATGCTTTGGATATCTGACTGAGTCTGTGATACTGTCCACTCTTGCAGATTTTTTCAACAGGGGTTTGTTTGTAGTTGTCACGGCTACATATATTTTTTCCAGACCATCCGAGATGACATGCCAGAGAATTACTGCAGTGTTCAAGTTAACCCATGAAAATTTTATCAGGTTCAAAGGTCTTCGCAGTCTGCACCACTCTTACGTACACAGTGCAGAGCATAATTGTATGACTCGAGGCAATAAGTAGTATAGGTACCACATCTCACTGCTTTATTTATTACCCCAACTCCCACCCACCCCAAGATTTGGAGCAGAAGCCCGCCGATGCTTGGCAAACGGTTCCGATCGGAAGAGGACGGGCTCCACCTGCCTAAACCAGTGCGGCGGAGCGAGCAACCCGTGGGGGTGGCATGCGATAAGATTAGAGTATATCTATATAATATACTAAGGTAGATACCAGCCGTAGCCTCAACCGGTCAGTTTCCGCATCAATCAATCACATCAATTCGAAGACAGTCACCATGGTAGAACCCCCTCCCACCAGACACTCACCACGCACGTATTCACTCACTCACCATCCCTCAGACCTCCACCGAAGCCCTCTATCTCGATGACGCCTCGCTCGTCACCACCACCACCACCATCCTCTCCTACCAGCCCGTTTCCGCCCTTCCCGACCCCGAAAAGTCCCTGGCCAAGAACATCCCCCCAGAGGACTACGCCCTCACCACCCGCCACACCGTCTTCTACCCGCAAGGCGGCGGCCAACCCAGTGACACGGGCGTGATCGTGGTCGCGGGGAGCGAGAACCCCGCGGCGACCTTTGAGGTGCGTCTCGTGCGCAAGACCCTCGACGGCACGATCCTCCATTTCGGCCGGTTCGCCACCACCCCGACCTTCCCCCTCGCTGTTGAGGTTGGCTCGCTCGTCACGCAGACCATCGACGCCGTCAAGCGCAACTACCACTCGCGGCTGCACACGGCCGGCCACATCATCGGTCTGGCGATGCGGCTGCTCGTCCCGGAGCTGGGCGAGCGGAGGAAAGTGAAAGCCAACCACGCACCGAGGGAGGCGTGCATGGAGTTCGAGGGGCTGCTGTACAACGAGCACAAGCCGCTGATCGAGGGGAAGGTGAATGAGCTCGTGCAGCAGGCGCTGCCGGTGCATATCTCCTGGTGGGCGGAGAGTGAGATTCAGGAGAAGGAGTTGAACATGGTGGAGGGGCTGCAGCTGGGGGCGGATGGGAGGGTGCGGATTGCTGAGATCGCGGATCTGGATGCGAACCCCTGCGGCGGGACGCATGTGGCGCATACTGGGTTGACGGGGTACATCTCCATCCGGAAGATTAGTCGGCAGAAGGGGGTGACCAAGTTATCGTATGAGGTGCCGGTGCAGATGTAGTTAGTTGTGTGGGGGATTTTGATCGGATAGGCATGGAATAAGGCACACCAAGCAGCTATGCGCTAACTGAAGTCTGCAAATAAAAATGTACCGTGCCGGAGCCGGCTCGCAAGCGACATAAATTTGCATAGGGCTGTGGCGTTGCGTCATGCATCTCTAACTTATGACTTGAGTTACAGGAGACATGAACACGTGGGCCAGTGGCGGTCTTCCTGAGGGTTACTCCCAGTCGGCCCTAACGAGACGCAATCCCGGCGTGATGCAGGGGCACAGCTACCTTAGCCAGCAAATTGAGAGGTTCTCCGACGCCAGGGTGTCTTGGCTGCGTGTGCACGACGGGAGGGCTGACACCAAGCTTTGGCTAGAAAGCTTGCTTTTTGGTTTATCAGCCATCCGAGCTTAGATGGGTGGAGTGAAGCTCCCGTTGGCAGCTTCAGTCACCGTTCGGAAGCGAGTCATATGGCGACAATCTCATGGTTGATTCGATAATCTCCCACTTGCTGCTGTCTGCGATGACTGGATACATGTCTGATTATGTCTTTCCAGACAACCTGCTCTGACAGATGACAGACCAAAAGAGACTAGTGCAATATCGAAGATGGACCGGCGCAGTGACCCACATCTTCTCTATCAACCAATCGACCAGCCTTGCGATAACACGCCTTGACTTCCCCGCGCGTGATTGGAATCCCTCACCCGTCTTGCCATCATGTCACTGTCGGTATCGGCTCCGCTTCCCACCCTAGCGGCGTACCGCGCAGTACCTGTGGTTATGAGGGGAAGTCGCTTCACTTTGGGATAAGGAGCACGTGGGCACTCGTCGGGGGTTGTCAGTGGCTAAACTAGTCTGTCTCCTCTCAGAATAACAGAGAGAGAGACGGATCCGACGGCTCTGTGCTGCTACATGAGGGGTAATTGCCCCGGATGGAGGCTATATAAGGGCTGTCCTGCCACAGATGCAGCAGGAGAATCAGAAACGGTTGGACACGCAGCTGACAGGCCCTCCTCTCCTCCGCACGTTTCCCTCCCTCCTTCCTCCTGCTCTTGCAACTCGCCATGCCCTCCTCCTCTCTCCTCCGGGCTGTCTATGCCCTCGGCCTGGCCACGGGAGCCTCGGCCTTCTCCTACCCGGCCGCCATTCCCCAGTCCACACAGGAGAAGCAATTCTCCCAGGAGTTCCGGGATGGATACAGCATCCTGAAGCACTACGGCGGCAACGGCCCATATTCGGAGCGTGTCTCCTACGGCATTGCCCGCGACCCTCCCAGCAGCTGCGCCGTCGATCAAGTCATCATGGTTAAGCGCCACGGCGAGCGATATCCCTCCCCCAGCGCGGGTCAGGGCATCGAGGCCACCCTGGACAAGGTCTACTCGGCCAACGTCTCCGAATGGAAGGGCGACCTTGCCTTCCTGAAGGACTGGACCTACTACGTGCCCAACGAGTGCTACTACAACGCCGAGACGACCAGTGGGCCGTATGCCGGTCTCCTCGATGCGTATACGCATGGAAACGAGTACCGGGCGCGCTACGGCCATCTGTGGGATGGCGAGTCGGTGCAGCCCTTCTGGAGCAGTGGCTACAGCCGCGTTATCAACACGGCGCGCAAATTCGGCGAGGGGTTCTTCGGGTACAACTACTCGACCAACGCCGCCCTCAACATCATCTCCGAGTCGGAGTCCATGGGCGCCAACAGCCTGACCCCCTCGTGCGACGTGGATAACGATACCTCCGTCTGCGACCAGCTCACCAATTTGATGCCGCAGTTCAAGGTTGCGGCGGCCCGCCTGAACGCGCAGAACCCGGGGCTGAGTCTGAATGAGTCGGACGTCTACTATCTGATGAGTATGTATCTTTTTATTTCCCGTGTGTGTGAGAGAGCCCCTTGCTAACTTACAGCGCAGCCATGGCCTCGTTCGAGCTCAACGCCCGTCCCTTCTCCGACTGGATCAACGCTTTCACGCAAGATGAATGGGTCAGCTTTGGCTACGTGAATGATCTGAACTACTACTACTGCGCGGGGTAGGTCAAGCCTCATCTACACTTGAAGTTCTGTTGCTAAACCGATGAACAGTCCCGGAGACAAGAACATGGCCGCCGTCGGCGCCGTCTACGTCAACGCCAGCCTCACCCTCCTCAACCAAGGGCCTGAAAAAGCCGGGTCCTTGTTCTTCAACTTGTACGCCCTCTGTCCCCTATATCGAGAGAAGATGGTAAACTAACCAACGCAGTGCCCACGACACCAACATCACCCCCATTCTCGCTGCCCTCGGCGTCCTCATCCCCGAGACCGACCTCCCCCTCGACCGCATCCCCTTCGGCAACCCCTACACCACCGGCAACATCGTCCCCATGGGCGGCCACTTGACCATTGAGCGGCTGAGCTGCAACGCCACGGCGCTGTCGGCGGCGGATACCTACGTGCGGCTGGTGCTGAACGAAGCGGTCCTCCCGTTTGGGGACTGTCAGTCGGGCCCGGGGTACAGTTGTCCGCTGGCCAACTTCACTGAGACCTTGGAGGGGAGACTGCCGAGTTACGTGGAGACGTGCCAGGTGCCGGCGACATATCCGCAGTATCTAGATTTCTGGTGGAATGCTAACACCACGACGGGGTTGAATTATCGGACGAGTCCGATTGGGTGTCAGGAGGCCGCTAGTATGAACTAGTTTGGTATATGCTTGAGTTAATGATAATGTGCTTTTGCTTCCGGTGAATCATAGACTCACTTCTGTATCATTGGGGGAACTGTTGTGTTGTAAGTACGGAGTAGGGTTCGCTGGATGACAGGGGATCTGTTTCCCATCTCGTGCATCTCGTGCAGGAGATCCAGTGACTTCAGTATCAAACGGCCTCCTTGACCAGGCGATATGATTCGAGTAAGCTTTTACTTGAATTCCAGTCGTCTTCCCATCTGCTGGATGTTGTGGCACGACAAGTGAGACAAGTTAAAACTGGCCCAAAGCAAGGAAAGAATCTCCGATTGGCCCAATAATCAGATTGAAGTGGAGGAGTTTTAAAAAAAGGAACAGACCTGCACCTGGAGGGATTCGAACCCTCCACCTCCCGGTGCACCCTCTCTCTCCGCCTCAACCATGCATCCCCAAGGCAAAGCCATAGTGCAACACAACCTCATTGGTGTATCGGCTGATTTCGATTGATATCAGTCCCTATTAATATCATCCTCGTTGTATGAGCACAGCTGGCAGGTTCAGAACAAGGCTCATCACTCTGCTCTCCATTCACTTCATAAACGCGAGATTGCGATCGCAGCTGACCACAACCCAGGGATGTTAAGGATTCTTAGAGCATCAAGCTCTACACGGATCTCCTATACGAGACCGCGTTCCATGGATCCAGACAAGCTTCATGGGTGGCCTTTATTTAATTCTGTCTCGATCTTAACTATTGTTCCATGGCTGCCTCGCTTCGCCCACTTCAGCCCCAGGGCAGAGACTAAGGCGAAGTACAAAAGCACACAATGCATAAGGATCTCGTATAAGTGAGACCTTCCTTCAGCCACCCTGCGCCTCATTCGGAGTGGGACTGCAATCTGGCGGTTTCAGATGCCTAATATTATATTTTTTACTCGTCACTCGTCATATTCGCTCCTGAATCCTCCATCCTACATCCTCCATCCTCCATACGTAGCCAGGCTTGACTCCTCCATCCTCCAAGATACCACAGCAAAATGACCACCACGATGGCACCCGCCGCACTTAACGTCCTCTACTACTTCCAGAAGCAAGAGTTGAAGCTCGATTTCAACGTCGCCGACCGGGCGCAAGCCTATCAGAACCTCAACCGCGAAGGCCGCATCTACGCCACTGAGCCTACTGCCGTGTACCTCCCTCTCCCGCCGTCAATGGCATACCTCCGCGACAGCCACAACGGGATGGTGATCGGCTTCACGACCGGCACAGATGCCACTCGGTGGTGTCAAACCGCCGTGCTAGCCCGTCTCCACTCTCCTACTGCTCCGCACGAGGTCCGCATTCGCCGCGCCTGGACGGAAGAGGCCCTGGACCAGCAGCTCCAGGTGCACCAGTTCCCTCTGTTCATGCCGGACCAGGATGAAGCGCCGCCCTCTCCGGGCTCCTCACCCGACGCACAGCCCGCCTATAGCCCCGAGGCAAGCCAGCCAGTCAAGGGGTCCCAGCCCGGAACATCCCACGGGGCCAGACCGAGCATTTCGATGCAGTCCCCCCCCTCAACGAGCGCCTATCTCCCTGTTCCCATGCCCCCACCGCTGCTGCCGGCGCCCTTGACGATTAGGACGCCGGAGCGAGCCCCAGCAACGCAGGAGATGATTGGACGTCGGCCGCGAGCGAGCAGCTTCTACTAACATCGTTTTTCTTTCGAAAGGCGGTTGTTTCTGCTTGAATTATTCTTTGTCTGATCGACTGTGGACTAAACACATCATACACTCCCGTTCTTCCCCTCCTATTTTCTCTCCGGCCAGGCATTGTAGAGACCCTCCGACACCGAAACATTGCGGAAGTGCACTTCGCCCTCTCCGTTGTGGAAGAACCGGATCTCCGTCGAGTTGGCGTACCAGGATCTGTTTCTCGTTAGCATTGCGCATTGCGTTTACGTTCAGTAAGTAAGTAACATACCTCGCCCAGGTGCTCAGCGCAAATCGCCCGTTGGCATACACCTCCAGGACCGCATTATCCACCACAACCGTCAGCTCCAGCGTCTCGATCTTCTGTTGCCCCCCCTCCTCGTCCACCACATCAAACAGCCGCAGCCGTCCAGACTCAGTGAAGCTGTCCAGCCCGGGGTTGGTCGGCGCCGCCGCACTGGTCTGGCTGCGGTCGATGACCAGCGACTCGTTGCTGAACTGGTAGTAGATGGTCGTGTGCTCCAGCCCGGAGGCGAGGATCTGGAAGCCCGATTGCAGCCCCGAGGTGCGGGCCTCGGCGGGGAAATCCAGCTGGGCCGTCAAGACGAAGAACTTGGAGGCAGGGGACTGGCGGAAGGGGACGACGCTGGCCTCGCGCATCGTGCGCACCGCTTCGTCCACCACCGAGCCATTGGCCAGCAGCGCCGCCTTGGTCTCGCGCGCGATGGCGATGCCCAGCGTCCGCAGCGTGACAGTCGTGTGCTCCGACTCGCCCCACTCCACCACCCACGAGACGCCCTCCTCACGCACCAGCTCGTTATCCACCACATGGTCCACCGTCCGCACCGTCAACTCGCGCGGCAGCAGCAACGAGCCCGTCCACCCCTGCTGCGCCGTGGGGAATCCCTCCGCCTGCTCGAACTGATCCCCGGTTAACCACACAAACGAGAGGAATCGATCCACCTCCACCCCACTCCCCCGCGAGACCTGCGAGGTCGCCGGCAACACCTTCCCTGCCGCCGCATAGGCCGAGAACCCGCAGTCCACGAACCCGGCCATCGAGGGGGTGAACTGCACCCGTCCATCCTCCGGCCTCGTCTCTACCGCGCCCGCCGCCCACAGCATATCATGTCGGCTCGACACCTGCGGCACAATCGGCACGTCCGACCCCTCCGTGCCCAGCGTGACAACCACCATCCCCGTCTGCGGGTCGTGGCCCTCCTCCGTCAGGAAGGCCACATTCCCCGTCTCGAAGTTGAATCCCCACCCGCCAGCCCATCCCCCCTCCGCCCCCCAGCTGGAGTTGGTGGCCTCCTGCCACCACTCCCCCAGGTACTCCCAGTACTGAAACTCCGAGCTGTTGCCGTGGTATTGGCGGTACAGGAACTGCACCGGCCCCTGACCGTGCACCCCGCCGGAGATGACGATGTACCAGGGGGCGCCCTTCTCCGTCCAGTGATCGACCGCTGCCTGCACGGCTGTCTCATTGGTGGTGTCGGTGGTGGAGAGGAGGAGGACATCCAACCGCGCACTGCGGAACACAAACGGATCGCGAAAGGCAGTCACATCCACCGCGAAGGGATGGTCAGGGATCACCGGGCCCTGGTCCAACCGCTCAAACCGCATGCCACCCTCCACCGCCACCGCGAGCGACTGCGTCTCGCTGCCCCGGGTGTACGGGATCGACCAATGGATCGGCAGGAAGGAGACGCTGGTGTACAGCAGGGTCGGGGTGTTGTTGACCCCCGTCGGGATGACCGACCCGTCGAAGACCGCCACCGGGTCGTTCTTCCCGCCGGGCTGGATCAGGAAGCTCCCGTTGGCGGAGACGTCGGTGTAGGTGACGAGGTTGGAGGTCGTGGCGCCGGCGATGCCGGAGCCGTCGTGGAGGTAGCCGATGTGAAACACCCCGGTGGTGGGATCGGTGTAGTGCGCGCAGGGGTCGCCGATTTGGCCTTTCGCGGGGAGGATGTGGGCACGGGGGCGCCAGAGGTGGAAGAGGGTGTTGTTGGGGAGGGCGCTGAGGTTGGTGGGTGGGGGGAGGGTTGTGTCCAGGGTGTAGCTGGTGGCCGTGGCCGTGGCCGTGGTGGCCAGTGTGAGGGTGGTGGTGAGCTTCATAATGCTCGTGCTCGTGCTGTGCTCGTGCTCGATGCTGGAAAGTCCAGGGATGATTGGGCTGGTAGTTGGAGGGTTATATAGCTGTCTCATGTGCTGCTCGTCTCAGCAAACAACGCTGCCCCGTCCGAGATCTCCACAGATTCTCCGCGAATTCGGCGAAATCCCGCAACTGCCGGCGCGGGGGAGGATATCGCCGAGGTTTTGCCTGGTGTTTCACCGAGAACCGACTCTGGGCTGCCGATCCGAGTCGTATAAGGTTAGAAGAGAGGAAATGAATAGGGTGAAGTAGACGACGTTGAAACTGGAGGGAACTTGAGTTTGTTTTGGTTTTCATTGCGTAACTGCGAACTAAACAAAGGGGGGGTTGGGGGTTGGGGCTGGGGCTTCCGAGGAATGCGCCTCCGAATGCGGCATCCAGTTGAAGCCCTAACCCGGCCACATACTATACCGGCAATGTCTCCATCATGGAGTCTGTGATGGACATTTGACACACTCCCCTTGCGGGCTGGAACGGTGCCTGAACGTGGTGATCATCTCCATGTCCATGATGCTGGTTCAGTAGTTGACGGGTCACTTTGTAGTATATCAGTTGTCAGCACATCAACTATACCCTTGGACCTATGTACCACCCCTTCCCCTCCCACTAACCCGTAACATAGAGAAAGAAACATACATCAACAAAAACAACCTCCTCCCACGGATCCCCCTCAACCAAATGCTGTACCTCACACCGCTCCGTAGACGTCGTCGCCACCATCCTACTCGCAAACCTTCTCTTGTGCTCTGCAGTCCAGTCAGATGGTCTGTGAGGGTTTAGCAAGCGTCGAGATCTGTGAGTGGGCGGTTTGGATGGATGCGGTGGCGTTCGGGAATATGGGGGTGGCCGTTCGCTCCCAGGACGTTGTTGACTTGTTGGTTGGCCTGGCCGATATGAGCGGCCAGTTCAGTTAGAGTGGGGGACGGGGGGAACGGGTCAATCTTGGCGGTGTCAAGAGTAATTCCTCAAGCAAACAATCTCCAAATGCAGTGCAACTCGGGACAGCAGAGTATTCGTAGAAACGCGAGGTCTACATTAAGCAAGGCAGTTACAAAGTCCCAACGCTGAGCGCGAACCGAACCGTCTGGACATGATCCACTGCATGTTCTGGCTGGTCATACAGCACTAGCCCTGATGTCCGTGGCTGATCCGGTACAGGAGACGAGACTTGTGGTCTTCGAAGTCGACGACGTCGAAACCGACTGGCCTCTGCGGCTCGATTTAGGACAACCCATGCTGTAGGCCTACCTTACCTTTGCCCTCTACTTAAGCCCACCATCGCACCCTATCACCCTCTACCACTGGCAGACAACCATCAATCTCACCGCATCCGGCACGCTCAACGCACGCAACAACGTCAACATATTCTACGAGCTCCTGCGCGAAGCCTGCCACCGCATGGGCCGTCCGTGACTGTCGGCGGGACGCCGCGGGAATCCACCGTGCAGGCTGGTTTCTGTAATATTCATCATGGGATCTTTCCCTTGCCGTTGGGACGTGGCCAGAGGATCGGCGGTTGGTAGGTCACCGTGTTCTGTGGTGTCTAGTTGCTTTGGGTTGTGGGTGGTGCTGACCTGTTCGCCATGTGCGGTGGGTGCGCAGAGTTGTATAGCATAGTTGCTGTTGCAACGGGTATTGGTTTACTTTGGGGTTTTCTGTATGATATGCAATGTGAGTTCGTCTGTTTGGTTGGGGTCTGAATGATTACCTATGTAGTAGACACTTGAGACTGCCCCAATTGTCTTACCGAGTTCTTCACTGGCGATGTGTGGTTTATAGCTATGATTAGTAGAGTTGAGGGGGGATTAGTCGGTACTAATGAGTATCTGCGAAGTCATTGGATATATATCTGTGAGTATATTGTTGTTTCTTAGATCCCCTGGTTTACTAGTAGCAAAACATTCAGTCGGACCAGAGTAACTGGTAACGTAAAAAGTCACTCACATCAACTTGAAGGAAATGCTCACCCGCGCGGCATCAGACTTGCGGACACGCTGCTGCTCCAGCGAGTCGGCCAGCCGACTCAGGCTCGCCTGGGTGTCCACGGGTAGTCCACAGTGATACGCATCGGTCTGCGCTATCGGCTCTCTTTCGAAAGCGTCCACCCATAGTACCAGCCGGAAGGTATACGCCGACAGACAGGTACACATGGTGCTCAGCATCGTGAGGGCCTCCGGCCAGTGGCCATGGACCTGGACCCGTTTCAGGGTGATCGACCGGAGGACCGGAAGACGCGGGATCAGAGCGAACAGGTCCGAGTCGGAGAGGTAGGTGTCTGTGAGAGTCAGCTGCTGCAGTTTGCATCCCCGCGAGGGGATCGCAGCCAGTGTCGGTCCCACGGAGGGAAACAAGAAGTTCATCCCCTTGCCGTGAAGAAAGAGATTGCGGAGCGGTTTTCTGAAGATGCTCCGGTAGAACTGGACCATCGGGTGGGTGCTGGTGCTGGCGAAGAACCCCCAGTCGAGGCGCAGGGTCTCAGTCTGGCCCAGGACCCGGTCGGTGAGCTGAGGAATCCGGCCCTGAGGCATGTCCCCCCAGCACCAATCCCGGGCTTCCATCGTCAGATACAGAGCCGTGATGGGACGGCCGATGCCGTTGAGGATCCGGAACAGGATCTTGGGGATGTCCCCGGGGTGGATGAGGTGGTTGACGGGGATCCCCAGGGGACCCAGGGCCAGCTCGAACTCGGTCATGCCCGGGAACGAGTGCTGGAGCAGATGTCGCAGCTGTTGAATCTCCGGGATGCGCATTAGACCGGGGATTGTGTGGTCGGCCCTGCGACGGAACGGGGTGTTGGGCCCTGGGTTGAAGCCCTTGATGCGCAGCCGCCGCGGGAACTGCGACAACGCTGTCCCCAGAGACGTCGCCACCTCGTGCAGTGAATTGATGCTAGTGGACGACATGTCTATCTGGAGCTCGTGCAGCGCGACCGCCACATCGAAGACGGTGGAAGTTGTCTCCATGGCCCCGGGTTGTCGCATTGGCTTCGGATGCGCGGGTAGGTTTCCTGCGATGCTTTGCAGCAAGTCGGGTCGACCATCTCCCTCGTCCATGGTGAGCGTCTCAAGCGCCGAGCAGAGGTCTTTCACCTCCTCGTCAGACCAACCGCGCATGACGACTTCGGGCTCGTTCCGGGTAGCTCCGACTGGGTCACTGAATGTGAACGCTGGCATCTTTCAGGTATAATGATGGATAGAGATCAATGCCACTAGACCGCAAAGGAGTGTCGTGCCGACTGGACCCCCAGAGCAAGGCGTCGGTAGGTCTTTATAACCAACGCATGCTCTTTCATCGATTGGCCATTTCCCGGGGGGTTTTGTGGTGATATTCTGCTGGAGACGAGTCTGTCGAAGGACTCCGTCACCTTCACTGTATACTGCTTATCGAGTCGTTATCAACGGTATCGACACAGGTCTTGCCGGAGAGTACCATGACAGTGACCCTGGAGCAGAGCATTGTGGTTGATGTGTGCTGGAAAGGAGCGAGACCGTTGATGGAGATTGTCGAGAGGTGGCCAGGTTGGTCCCGCGCGTCTTTGTGTGCTTAACTGTTCCTCCATAGGCGTGACGCAGGGGAAGCCCATCTGGGAGGCATCTTCCCTCTCTAAGGTCCCCACCAAGACTTCCAAGACCATGGCTTGCCCTGATACCAAGGCCCATGTGGGTTCTGACAGACAGTCCTTGACCGCTCCTCTGATGACAGGCTGGGGCCCTCTCTCTGCTTTGTCATCCAGCCCTAAATCGTTCGTTATCGAGTCAACATCCTCCCTCTTCCAGGCAAGCCTCATCAGTGCGAGCGACTCGCCTTGCACGCTAATGACCAAGGTTTAATCTTTTCTTTCTGCCCAGTGGGTGGCAAGTATCTCTTCATATCCCGATCGATATCTTCACCTGACTCCTACCGCGACCAATCGCCAGGCGCACCGCGTACACAAGCTCGAACTCTACTTCTCAAGCAGAACTTGCACCAAACTGCTATCCAGATAGATCGCTAACCTCGATCGACGCCCCGAGACGACGTGTTCTTGCTTTGAGTTTTTCTCTCTGTTTGTGGATGGTGGCAAATTCTCTCCCCGGCGTCCTCACCCAGGCGTCCAGTGCAATGCCCAAAGTATCCCAAGTATCGAGAAACTCTGGATATGGTCGATAAGCAGAGGGTCGAAAGAGGGATAGTGGCATCAAGAGCAGGAGGGGTCAACCAAGCAATGCATGAGGGCGATCGTGCGGCGATCAGCTTATCGCAGAACGGGGCCGTTCTATTTCCGGTGGCTGCGCCGTCTCCCACCCGACTGACACCATAGTAACCGTTAATTCCCTGGTTACCTAGTGACTAGTAGTAACGGAGTATATAGTATGTCTCTGGGTTGTAGTTGGGTCATGAGTGGATGGTGGATTCCACTTTGCACCATCAGGATTCAGCCGAGTAAGCCCACATGTAGAGAGGTAACCGAGAGTTAACATCTACCAGCCTCACTCTTTTTTCAACTTTTTCTTTTACTTTTTTCATATGCTTTGCTTGAAGGAAGAGGGGCACCCATGATCTACTGAAGTGCCCCACCATAAAATTTTTTTTCCAACTTTGAATGTAGTGGGATGCAGCCGAACCTTGCAGGCAGCAGAAGAGAAGCAGTTGGTTGTTGACATTATGCCTATTTGGGGGGAGGAAAGAAAAAGAGAGTGGGGCCACGTGACCAACCAAATCTCTTTCTCTCTCCACTTCGTCTTCTGTTTTTTCTCCTCCTCCCCCCCACTTCCTCCACTTCTTCGCATCATTTCTTCTTGTCATGCTTAACAATTAACTTCAGAGAGTACTCGGTAACTCTCAATTGCAATGTGATGTTCGCTTTGTAACACTTGGATGATCGTCAGTACATACACTTCCGAAAGACCCTTCCCCTCTACTGGTTCTGTGGCCAATTTGCCTGTCATGTACATCCCAGGGATCCACGTCACCACCAAACCATATCGGCCTCATACTTTCTCATCTTCACCACCACCACTATACCACCACACCACCACACCACCACCATCATTCATCCCTTGTTCGCATTTTCGGACTCAGATCGGTAACCACCGAGCAGATCCCGACCCAGGGAAACCATCCGACACCAGTGCCAGAGACAGATGAAGACGATCCCCATCGATATCGTCATCGCTGGACTGGGCGTCGCAGTGGCCCAATGAACAGCTCTCTTTAGCAACCTCGGCCGGGGCGCAAACAGCAACCAAGAGGATGAAGTGCGCATTCACCTTGAAGCGAAAGGAGCCCAACTTAGCGGTGAAGAGGAGCCGGTGGGAAACTAAATCGAAGCCAGCGCCCGTAGCCGTGACTCCACCACCAATCAGCGCTTTCTGACCTCCTTCGAAAGCTCCAATGCTCTTCCTCCTCCTTTGTCGGACCAGCTTGAGGTCCATGCTAGCCTTATCGCAGCGGGCAAAGAGATGAGAAAAAAGAAAAAAAAAAGAAAACAAACCAAACCAAACCAAATTTTTTTTCGCTATGGGCTGACTTTGCCCAGTGCCTCTTCCAATTTTCATTTCCTTGGAAAGAGGGGGGGCACTTGGTCCAAGCGGAGAGGAGCTCTAAGTCTATATATTACTGCCTGTGCTCCATCGGAGCTTCTTCCTCTCTTCTCCTCATCACTTCGCTTTTCCTTCGTGGATTCGCTTCAAGAACTCAAAGACCTGGTCGGTATACAGGTCGTTCACCACTCCTCTCCGTCTGTGTCTTTGTTGCTGGTTCGCCGTGCCCCCGTCGCATCTCACACCACACCAATGTTCAAGTCATACTCGCACATCCTATCCCACAAGCGGAGAAGAAGCAAGAGCAGCGCCGTGCAGATCCTCTCCGCTGCTCAGTCCGAGCCGAGCTCGCCCACCCAGGCCGTGCCCGATCCCATCGAGATCTGGGCCCACTCCCAGCCCCTCGCCGTCAGTGAGGAGCAGCTGCAGGGCTGCTTCACCACCCTTGTTCCTCGCATCCACAAGTACGACCATGTCGCTCAGCGCGGCAGCGACCGCTTCGTCCAGGACTTGACCACTACCCTCGGCCCCGAAGAGGGCAAGGAGCCCGCCAGCTACCTGTCCTGTCCGGTCGGCAACTACGCCAGCTTCCTCTACCCCGAATGTTTGCCCGAGCGTCTGGAGCTTGTCGCTTACTTGACCGAGCTCGGAAACCTGCAGGATGGTACGTACTGCACCAGCATGCACGACGGATGAGAGACGAGAGCTAACCGGCACGCCTAGCCCAGGGAAAGTCGAACGGACGCACGACCGACAAGCCCGACGAACACGTGGAGTCGCCCCGGGCCGAAGCCAGACGCAAGCTGCTGGAGAAGGCAGTGGCGGAGATCACCGAGAAGGAAATTGACGGACACGAGATCATCGACAGCTACCGGAGCAACTGGCTGGTGACCCCGGAGGTGCCCACCGCCGACAACTGTGCCAACCTCGACGACTATGTGGCTCGCAGACGCCTCAACGCCGGCATTGAGTAAGTTGCTTT